TCTGTTGTGCCAATCGTGCCTTTCCGAACCTTACAGGTTGACCCTTCTTAATCCCCTCTAATGATTGTGCCAGTCGTGCTATTCCAAATCGGCTAAAAATGTGTGCCAATCGTTCTACGGCCGCTATCACCACACCAAATTTCAGCCCAATCCGACCACAATTTTTCGCGTTCACAAACATCAACAACACAACCACAAACACCCACAAACAACCACAAACATCCACAAACATTCATCCATCCATCCATACATACATCCAAACTTTTTCACTTATACATTACTAGCAGATTACGCGTCCTTCGTACGGGGTTGGTATATACGTAAGTATAAAATGCTTATTGCAGTTATGGGAGAGGACACGGTTTAAGAAAATTTGGTCTTTTAATTTATACGGTATCCTATAGTGCAGCACACATCTATCATAGCCCTAATGTTTTACCACTGCACCAAAACCATAGAAAAAGTAAAGTTCTCAATGTGTACCACAACTTTTTGTTGCTAGTTAGTTAAAATATTGACTTTATATCTACACTTATCCTGACTCATATCTACATCTTTAATTCCTTTAAATATGAATTGAGAAACTATCTAACTAAGGTTAACATGTCAGCTATCATCATACCAAATTTCAACCTTGTCGGTTTTAGTATTTTTCGCGTTTACTTGTCACAAACATCCATCCATCCATCCATCCATACATCCATCCATACATCCATACATCCATACATCCGTACATCCAAACTTTCTTACTTATAATATTAGTAGGGTAGGTACATCCTTCCACCATGGGGTAGGTAAGTAAACTGTTGTAATATTGCTTGTTTATGCATATATTTTTATCAAACTTGGAAAATTTATTTATTTTATACTAAGCTAATAATATTTTCCTAAAAATAACACTTCGTTACTCTCCCTGTAGCAGCAAACCTAGGTACTTGTTAAATCTAATGTTATTGAATTTTTTAAGTCACACAAATAGAAATTTGCGTAGGCTCTTAGGCTGCAGGTTTGCTGTGGTGGTGGTATTATGGAATTGTAATTGATGTAGAAAGAAGACTTTGTGGTAGTACACATGATTAACTCTAATTTATGCAAGATACTAGCTGGCCCGACATACGTCGACCTGTCCTAATGTGGTTTTATGTCAAACGTTCGTTCCTTTTCAAGATGAGCTCGTTCGCATGGCTCAAATAACGTCCTTGTCGAAGTTCGGTCGCTACGCTCACTCACCTTTAATGCGGAAGAATAATTAAATCCTGGATTGTGAATAACAATTGGAATAAAAATTCGGTGTATTGGAAGTACAGGACTGATCTAAACATCAGTAAAGGATTCCTCCTTTTAGGCACAAGACTGTTTATTCCAAAATCGTTGACAAAGGAAATACTGAGTAAAATACATGAAGGTCACATGGGAATTGTCAAATGTCGAATGCGAGTGTCTGAATCTGTGGCCTGGCTGCTCAACAGATATTGCTACACTTGTAACAAATTGTCCAGTTTGCTTGGAGCAAAGTAGTAACAAATCAGAACCTCTACTGTTGACTGAACTACCAAAAAATCCCTGGGAGTCTTTAGGTATTAACCTTTTGAAATGTAATGCGAAATGGTATTTAGTTGTGCAAGAATACTATTCTAGATTTCTTGAACTGGTTTATGTGGATGCATTGACTACCGGAGCTGTGGTTGCTAGATTGAAAAATATATTTGCTCGACATGGAGTACCATATGTGGTAAGAGCTGATAGAGGTCCGCAATTTACTTCTCAGGATTTAAAAAATTTTGCTGAAGAATATGGTTTTTCCGTATAGTGACATGAAGCCCAAGGTATCCACAATCAAACGGAGAAGCAGAAAAAGCAGTTGACATAGCGAAGCGGATTCTAACGAAATGTAGTGATCCAAATCTTGGATTGTTAGAATATAGAAAATATAAATACACCCTTAGAGTCTGGTCTTTCACCTGCAGAGTTACTTTATTCACGGAAGCTCCGATCAACTTATTTATCAAGTTATTTATTGACGGTAATGTCAATAAATAACTTCAGACAGGTAACAAGGGAAAGATTGCAAAAGTTTAAAGAGAAGGATTTTTCAATCAAGGAAAGAAATAAGAGAAACTACGATGTAAGGGAAGGTGTAAGAGATCTCTCACAGCTTGATCAAAATGACAAAGTTTGGATTCCAGATTTAAAACGTTATGGACATGTTGGGAATAAATCACAATGAATAAATCATCCTCGGTCCTACCTGATAAAAACACAGGTAGGGAAGATCAGAAGGAACAGGAGACAAATAATAGCTGTGCATAGGCCTATTGAAAATGGTGAAATGAAAATGACAGACCTAAAAGAAGTGTAAAACCACCTCTTAGATACAGCGATTCAGATTTTTATAAATAAATTTAAAAAAAAGAGAAAAGAGAAAATGTGCTGTTTGGTATTTTTATAATTGTTATCATATATGTTGCATATTTTGATGTTTGTTTTTATTGAATTGTTGTTTTGAGCTTGAAGGCTTACTTTTGGGATCTTGGCTAATAAAGTATCTATGCTTAACTGTGGTGTGAGTTTTACCTTTCACTTCAACGTGAAATTTTTTTTAAATTTTTTGTTAACACTAAAAAACAACATAATTGAACTGAAGAGCTATATATCGCTTGCACTTTCAAAATTCAAACTCGCAGTCTCGCAGACGAATCATTCAGAATCATCAACACAGGACAGGATCAAGGTAGCCAACATTCCTCCAATTAAGGAACAAAATTTCTCGTAAACGAAATTCCAACAAACTATATCGCTAATTGATTATTGATTTCTTAAAATAAGGCGTGTTTAGCCGTGGTTAAGCCTAGTTTAATCAAAGTTAAATGAAATCAAAGAAACATCAAGTTTATTCGTCCAAGTCAAAAAAAAAATTATTTTTGCTGAATTTTCGCAAATATTTAAATTTTATTTAGTTTAAAAATATATTTTTCTTGTATCTGACTTCCCAACTGTCCCAACTCGTGGCAAGGAAATTCCCAACTTTTCTATTTCCCAGATTCTAGGGGGAATCCCCCCCCCCCAAAGCGACGCCCCTGCAATCTTGACACATACTTTCTCCCATTAGCTTGTCAACAACCTTTATCATGGGTAAGCGATGAGAGTAACTGATATTTAATAGGTAAAGTCACAAAAGTTTCATCTTTAACTTTTGAACAGTAATTTTAACAGGAATGAAGGGATGCACTATTTCGTTTGAAATTATTTGGGCAATAACAGAAAATTTTCAATCAAAATAGGTTTAAAAAAACAATTTTCCCGTTTTAAATCGGCTTTTATGGGAAAATAACATAAGTTACAATAACTTTTGAACCATAATTTTTACAGCAATGAGTTGCACTATGTTGTTTGGAATTATAAGGATTATCACATACTAATTTCAATCTAAGCCGGTTTCTTTCGAAAATACGATTTTCTCTTATTTATGGGGGTTTTTATGGGAAAACCACATAACTTACAATAACTTTTGAACCGTAATTTTTTAAGAAATGGAAGTTCTACCATTTCGTTCAGAATTTAAATGGCTACAACATACAAAGTTTTTATCAAAATCGTTCGGGCTATTTTTGAGAATTTCATCAAAATCGGACCACAGGTGTAGTCTATAGCTCTGTACACATCCACACACACACACACACACACACACACACACACACACACACACACACACACACACACACACACACACACAAACATCACTTCAAATTTGTTAATTGGGACCCAAAATGGATATATCCACTCAAAACTCAAACTCGAAAATTTTGACGAAAACAATACTTTCTCCATATACTATGTATAGGGGCAAGACCCTACTAGAAAAACGTTTTTCTATAGTGGGGCCTTGATAGGGGGGAGAAAGTAAAAGTACCCGTAATTTCCATCCCTAGTGGTGAGGTCCTCACGCGCAGCCCGATCCGTCTGGAGTGGTCAGGCCCACCTCTTTTACTCAATTAAATCTTGTTCCTAACCCACACGAGGTAATTTCGGAGTCTTAAAACCCTTGTATTGATTAAACTTTCAGATTTTTCTCTTTTTTTTACACCGGAATAATTACCTTCTTCAAATAACTGTCAAAATATTTTTTCGATGTTATAGGATATCGATGCTATGACACCGACTCTATCCGACAAAGTGGGCCTCCAACTCTAGTGGGCAAAGTGGCACTTTGCTGCACACGAGAGCAATGTTGCGGAATGATCTCGAGTGCAGCAAGGCCTTTTGCACTCGTGTTACACATTATATTTTTCCTACAGTCACTATAAAGAATATAAATAATTAGTCTTTCAAACACTATACAACACGTTTTTAGGTTCAGCTGGCAACACAAATAGGAATGGAATAGGTGCCCTAGAGAAAGTAGTACCCGGTCCGTATCACTCCGATATTTTTCCTCGGCAAGAAATGTGCTCCGCGTTTTGAGAATATAGTTCCGTATGTTTTTGTAATTTGAAGTGGTTTCCGCGCCTAAAGAAATGCGTTCAAGGTATTTTCTTGTTTATTAAGATCGTAGGAATGTTTTAAAAACGTTAAAAGAAAAGTCCAGAAAGTTCAGAAATACCGAAACGATAAACACGAAATGACAGGTTAAATCGTAGTTATAATAGTCAATCAGCTGCTCATAGTATTATTATCTTTAAGCGTTGCCAACCTATTTCCAATTCCAATTGCCAAGCGTACACGGATTACGTGCATAATAGAACCACACTGTTTTGTGTTGTTTCGTTGGAATCCTGATGTGCGGCAAAGTATAAACTGTACGACAAAGTATAAACCGTACGGCAAAGTACAAATATGCAGCAATTAGCATTTTTCTGTACTATAAACATACAAGGAAGCCAACTTTGTCGGGTGACTGTAGGAAAAATTTAATACATGTCGTTAATTCCTGTATAATAATGTGGAGAAGAACAACTATTGTCAGCTGGTCATTTTTTTGCGTTTTACCTCTTTGCCCTTGTGTCTTCTTCTCTTCCCTGTCCCAAGTCTCTTCTGTTCTGCTCGATCTATCACTACGGGGCTTATACTTTAGTGAGATTAAATTCTGCTAAAATTAAATAATTGATAAAATCGTCAATAATGGTTGGCGTAATTTCAACAGTTTTTCGGAGAAACATCTCAACCACTCCGAGGCGTCTTATGTCTCACGGAGCTGACCCTGGAGCAAGTGAGTAGGCCTACCAAACTTAGCCTAGGCTATATAGCCTATCAGGAATAAAGAAATTGCTTATTATCGGCCTAGGCTAGGCCCAGTCTATTTAATTTTAAGTCTTTTATGCCTCTAATTAGACCTATATAAATTTACAAAATTTTGACCTAGCTTAAGAATAGGCTAACAGGTTCAGAAACTCTAGTAGAGATGTTTTTAGTAGTATGTTTGTTGTTTTTATAAATTGCAGCTCGCACTACTGTCTAAGGGTTAGCCCTTGAGCCACATTAGGCTTAGTCTCTTATTAGGCTATATTCAATCGCAGGCCTAAATTGAAGTTGGGTATACAATAAAAAACTGCTATCAAGTTAAGTGTAGGCGAAGGATAAGTTACCCGTCCGGTAACCAGGCGTGGATTAGGCGTCCGGCAGTTAATTTTTTAACCCTAGCAGTGGCCAATGTTAGAAGTGGGGAATGGCCAACCCATTTTGGCGATTTTGCAGACCTTTTTTTGAAAATTCGTAAAAATTCAACCGTACAAGTAAACCTAGCCAACCTCATATTCATTTTGTTTGGAAAGAACAGGAGAATCTAGAAATAGTAATATCATAATGATTTAGACAGTGTATTTTATCGGTAAAGTAAAAAAATAAAAAAAATTGAATTTTTTTTTGAAATTTCAAAAGCGACCTCGGTATTTTTTTTCTACTGATTTTTTTATGGGAAATTCATTATACACATTTTGTAGACAATCTAATTCCCTACATAGAAATATATAACATGTTAGGAAAATATTTTTTTTTTATAAGTTTTTGGGGCGAAATATAATGACAAACGGAGAACCGAAAAAATTGAAAACCGTACAGTGTTAGTTTATGTTGTAAAAAGTTCTATAATATATGTGTACTAATAATGATATATACATGTTTGTAAAGCTAATGAAGTAAGGAATAAAAAAAAGTCATAAAGTTTATGGTAAAAATAATTTTTTACCTATAAACATACGTAATAAAATAATGTTTTTATATTTTAGCGATTTCTCGAGAAAAAAAATTCACAGTACTTAGTATACAACTTTTGTATCAAATTTTTTTACTTCAAACCAACATAATAATCTTGTAGTCTATTCAATTACCTACATAAAAATGTATAACATGTTAGAAATATTTTTTTTGTAGGTACGCAATAGGGACATAATAATACAATAACCGCAAAACCGCAAATACGTGTAAACTATAGCCTACAGTGTTTGCTTGTGTTGTGAAACATTATGTAGGCTGATGATATGTAGCCTACATATTTGTAAAGCTAATGAAGTAAGGAATCCAAAAAAGTCATAAGTATGATGGTAAAAAGTTATTTTCACCTATGATTATGTATCAATTTGAGAACGTTTTGAATTTTTTGCGCATTTCGAGAAATTGGAGTGTACAGTATTTAGTAGCCTATATAATTTTTTTACCAAATTTTTTACACCCAAACCAATATAAACATGTTGTAGTGTATTTACCTTTAAAAAAATGTATAACACCTTGGGTAAATCATTATATAGCATATAAAGCACCTCTGAATGTCAGAATCGTCATTTTTGGACATGATGCTAACAAAATACAGTAGTAGGCCTATTTAGTATAGGCTATAACTTTTTTAGAAAGTTTTTTACCCCCAAACCATTATAAACATGTTGTAGTGTATTCATTTACCTTTATAAAAATGTATAACACCTTGGGTATATCATTATATAGGTACAACAATCTCTGAATGTCAGAATCGTCATTTTAGGACATGATGCTAACAAAATACAACCTTTTATGAACACTATTTCACACAATTCAGTAATATTTATGCATGAAGATTACTGTTATACACACACACAACACTTCACTAACACTAACACTACGAACTAATAACATATTTAGTAATAAATCGCGGATAAAACTATTACCGGCAACAACACAAACAAAAAATGGCAATACAAGACAGCTGACAGACTGCAGCAGTAATGACTCACTTCGTCGTCTACATGCGAGCATACAGAAATAACCCTGAGTGCAGGGCTGCCACTCTCTGAATCTAAATTTCTTCCTCTTCAAAATGATATACTATATGACTAGTAATAATAAATTATACTGTATGTAATTCCTATTTTCCACATCGTCATCTGGAGTCGATTGGCCATTTGTTAAAAATTTTGAAAACAGCTGTTTTCATAAAATCGTACCGGTTGTGCAATCAATATTTCGTTATAAATATTACTACCACAATGAAGATAAAATCAATGGCTATCCAGTGGTACCACTCGCAACATCCCACGACGAAAATTACCCGAGCAGGGTAATGCCAAACAAGACGTGTTTTGCCAGTTCCTAAGTGTCGGCTGCAAAAGTCGTGCCGCGTCGAAAATTCATTTGATTTCTAATCGTCGTGACATTGTTATATACCTGCTACAGAGTTTGTTTATGTAATAAAATGAAAGTTCAGAATGTGATCTTTCGAATGGTATATATATTATTCTCATCTGAGTTGATTGTAAGTGTTTTTTTTTACCGCTAAAAAATTTTCGGCCCAGATCGTCACAAGGAGTCGTTGGCCATTCTAAGCATCAACGTCAGATCGTCACCAGGAGTCGATCGGCCACTGCTAGGGTTAACCAACCAACCAGTTATTTTACCAGTTAATTTAACCTAACTAACCAAACTTGCTGGTAAGAAAAATTCAAATGCGAAGATTAAATTCTGTTCATTAAATAAAATAGTAAGATAACCCTCCGAGCGTCACTCGTCGAAAAATCAACGCGCGACACACTTTGTGTAGTGTCACACGTCAATTTTTCGACGCGCGAACATCGTTTACGGCGAAGGCTCTATATGACTGACTGAATCGGATTGAACTGGATCGAGTTAGGTATCGTTCTTTTCGTTATATTCTAAGCTTTCTCCAGAGGTCTGTCTCAGCGCTGTATGTTCTCCGAGCCGATCGTAATTGTAGCAGACAGCTCACGTGCGTAATTGTAAATAGCTAGGTTACCCTCGGACCGATGACTGATGTGTTTTATTACCATTTATCATTGTTTTAGTGTTAAAAATCAAAAGTAGTGATATACGTGACCGGTGCATTATAAGAAGATTTAAGTGATTTTGGAGGGCTGGTTGATGATCCTGAAGAAGTAGGTAGTGATATTGATGTAAATTATCAGCCAGATTCCTAGCTATGGTTAGGCTATGCATTCTTAGCTAAACGCTATGTACTGAAATCTGTTTTTTTCCTATAACTTATAAATGGTACAACACACTGAATCCTGCATAGATAATATCTTAACTAGAAAAATAAATTCACAATATTCAGTCCAGACAATGAATTTAGAATTGGGTCTTTCAGATCATAGGGCTTTGTTTATAAACATTTTTGATAGCTCATTTGAGGATAATAAGGACAGAACAGATAAAACAACTAAAAAAAGAATGTTTTCAAAAGCCAATGTCACAAGTTTTGTAAATAATATTAAAGAAATAAAATGGGATGTATCTGTAAAAAAATGTTTTGAAGAAAATTGTATTAACTTTTTTTGCCATTTTCACAATACTTTTGAAGAGTCTTTTCCCTTAAAGTTTTACAACAACAAAAATAAGAATCAAAAGAAGTCTTGGGTAACAAAGGGTATTAAAATATCTAGTATAAATAAACGAGAACTAAGTAAACTGGCAAAAAAATCAAACGACGGACTCTTTAAGGATTATGTTAGAAAGTATAAAACAATTTTCAAGAAAGTTTGTAATCAATCTAAAAGGATGTGCAATGCTAAATTCATAAACAAATCAGAAAATGTGAGCAGGGCTGCGTGGTGTGTTGTTAAATCAGAGCTAGGTTGTAAAAAAGTCAAGAATAGTTTTCCTGATATTAAACTCTCAAATAAAACCATTAGCGACGTAAAAGAAATAGCTGAATTCTTTAATAAAAAATTTACCAATATAACCAAGGAAATGGGAACATCACCATGTGAATTTGAGGCACTAAATATGACAAGGAACTTAATGACTAGTAAACAACTATTTAATTTTGATTTTAAAGCCATTGAGCAAAAAGATGTAGTCAAAGTAATCAAATCACTTAAAAATAAAAAATCTGCGGGATGGGATGAAATTTCGGTGGATCTCATGAAAAAAGTCATAGACTCTATTTCAGAACCTCTCACAATTTATTAACCAATCATTTCAAAACAACATATTTCCTAAACAATTTAAATATGGAGAACTCAAGCCACTTTTTAAGAAAGGTGAAAAGCATAATCCTGACAATTATAGGCCTGTATCACTTTTACCTTCTTTTTCCAAGATTTTTGAAAAAATTGCTTATAAACAAATTTATAATTTCTTGGAAACATACAATATATTTAGTAGTAAACAGTTTGGTTTTAGAAAGGGTTGCAGCACAATGACCGCTATATCCCATTTTGTTAATGAAGTGTCATGGGCCTTGGATGAGTCACAGAGTACAATGGGGGTGTTTTGTGATTTATCCAAGGCTTTTGATTGTGTCAACCATGACATTCTTTTGAAAAAACTGGAAATTTATGGATTTTCTAAGAAATCTATTTTATGGTTGAAATCTTATATAACAGGTAGATTTCAAAGAACTGTTATTTTAAAAGGAGGCTTGCAGTCAAAATCTGAATGGAGTGAAATTAGAGTAGGTGTCCCACAGGGCTCTATTTTAGGTCCTCTTCTTTTCTTAATTTATATAAATGACTTACCTGAAAATATTTCTCATAATTTAATACTGTATGCAGATGACACAACTGCTGTTGTTAAAGCTAAAACGGAGGATGATTTATGGGTGAAAGTAGAAGACGCTTTAACGGATCTTAGAAGGTGGTTTGAAATAAACGGACTAAAATTAAATCCAGAAAAAACACAACTAGTAAAATTTAATACGATACAATCCCGAAATTTCACACATAAAACAAGAACCAAAACTGTCAAATGTACAAAATTTTTAGGTTTGTATGTTGATTCAAATTTAACCTGGGCCAAGTGCATTGAAAACATATTACATAAGCTTAATTCTGCCTGTTTCCAAATGCTTTGTTTGAGAAATATTTTGGATATGAAAACACGTTTAATGATATATTATGCCTATTTTTATTCAATATTGCATTATGGGATTGAATTTTGGGGATTCTCATCAGAAATAGAAAAGATTTTTAAAGTTCAGAAAAAATACTTAAGAATAATGACATTTGCTAAACGAAAACAATCATGTAGACCAATTTTTAAAGAACTTAATATAATGACTGTACCAAGTTTAATCATTTTTAAATCCTTATTAATGGTACAGTCAAATTTTGAAAACTTATGTGCGGAGAATTTTGACCATCCATATAACACCCGTTTCAAAAAGAATTTTCAGTTTCCGATTCACCGATTAAAATTAATAGAAAAAACACCAAAATATATGGGAAAGAAATTGTTTAATAAACTGCAACCAAAATATAAAGATTTAATAAACAAAACGTCTTTTAAAAGCAGCCTTGCCTCATTTCTTGTAAACAAAATATATTATAGTATTGACGAATTTTTGAATGATGGTAATTTTTTAAATTAGCAAATATTATGTTTTATAAAATAACCCAAATAATTATTTGTAAGAATCATTGTTTATTTTTTAGTATTTTAGGTACTTATTATGATATATGATTATATTGACAATGTCACCTGTTTTTGTAGCTTATGCTATGTAATCTGTAAAACGTTTATGTGACAATAAAGATATATTTATTTATTTATTTATTTACTTATTTATTTGCAAATCTACTTCCTTATATTATTATATATTTGTAATCCTCATAAAATTTAGAACAAAGTGGCTATTTTCAAATATTTATAGGCCTATAATTTGTACAATTTCATTGAGCGCAAACTTATTTTTTTTTTTTTTAATTTTTTAAAATATTTTTTTTTACCCAAAACATTTTGTTGAAACAAATGTTCCCTTATGTTTTATGTATAATATTGAAGCCCATGATTTTCGAAACAAAATGGTATATAGAACAGTATAATTAACATTGTTTTAAGCTTCTTAGATCGGTTTTAATATAACCTTGCAAATGCGCCAAAAATAGGCGGACATTAAGGCCTAAACTATGGACACTCGGAGGGTTAAATGCCTCAAATTCTAACAAAAGATGTAGGCCTAAATTACAGTTTCTTAACTGGGCTATGCTAATATCGATTGAAACTATCGATTCGATTATTAAACCTTCATGCAATTTTTTCACCATGTCTGCAAGTTTGGTTGGTTAGGTTAGGTTATGATAGTTTAATTTTATAATAGATATATTTAAAAATATCGATTGGCCTATTAATCAATATTTCCAATTCGATAGTTTCAATCGATATTAGCATAGCCCAGTTTAGAAACTGTACCCCAGTTTAGAAGAAATGGTCTATTCTAAGCAAAATCTTTGACAAAAAGTTAGTGTCACCGAGGGATTCAATCTAGATACATCTTTAACATCAGCCGTGTAAAAAAACTAAAACTAGATAAAGAAATACCTAAAGAAACTTTTAAGTTTAGATTTTTATCTGAAAACAATGGTGCAAAAAATTATCTGCTGTGACAAAAACTGAATAAATTACAATTGTTTTAATTTAATTTAAATGTTATATTAGGAACGTTGAATCTGCATCTAAAATGATTAACTAGTCCCCAAAGCGTGAGGATTTGTAATTTGGAATTTCTGATAAAAGAGTCCAACCTGGAAGATCGCACCCACTGACATCTTTTAGCTTTTTTCTTGTTTATTGAAACTCTACTCTCCAGCATCTAAATAACCACTGATCGTTCAATTTTATGTTTTAATTAAACCTCGGACAATTTGTTTCCTTATTCAAAACACTGTGCTTAATTAAAAAAACTTTTAATTTCACTATAATTATCAAACACAATTGATTCGAATAAAAACTTAGGTCACATGCATTTCAAATATCACCCATTACTAATACCTAAATTGGTAACAATAATTAAACTTACTTGATAATTAATTAGTTGCTAATACAGATGTTATTAATCTGGATCTATTTTCTGGGCGCATTTTAGCGTACCGGTAGTATGTAATCCATTGGTTAGCAAACTAGATTACAGCAATTCAGTGACAGTATCAATTTGGTATTGGTGATGTGGCCGTGTTATTGTAGTGGCATTAGGCTCTATTCCTTGTATTTTAAGAGAATAAATTACATTTATTAATGATTAATGTTGGTTTTATTAATAGTTAATAGTTTATGAAATTGTTAATGTAGGCTAAATTATTGTTTTTGTGTTACAAATTGAATCGTTATAAAATTTTATAGTTTTAGCGAATTTCCCATATAGGGAATAAGCTATTACCGTAGTACTCATGGTAAGACCTGGACCCGGGACCGATTTTTTTTTTCGTTTTGAGGTCCCCAGAGGCCAAAAACACCATCCGTTCAAATTCATATATATATATATATATATATATATATGTGTCCGTTAGCGCGATAACTCGAGCAAAAATGATCCGATTTTGATGAAATTTGGTACAAACGTGTAAACCTACGTTTATTCGAACGAGTTCGCGAACCAGCATGATCGGACCATGGGAACAGGGGTATACGGGGGCTTTTATGGGATAAAAATGGGTTTTTCCTATTTTTGACCCAAAAAACATAAAATTTTGAAATTTCTTTCCAAACTATTGTAGAGCTTAAAAAAACAAATAATTTAGTATATTGAAGCGTTATAATGCGCCTAATGGTTACGGAGAAATTTCCAAAAAATTGTTAATTTAAAATTCCCATGTTATTCTTATAGAGAATAAGTAAACCGTTGTAGTGTGCTTGTTTATTAACATATTTTGCCCAAATTTGGAAAATGTTTTTATTTCTTACTAACTATTAACATTTTACATAAAAAAAAAAAAAAAACACTTACCCTCCCTGTTGCAGCAAACCTAAGTATGTGTTAAACTGATTCTATTTAAACAGGGAATAAATGTGATATTTTTAAGGAGACATTTTAGTCTAAATCCAATCAGGCAAATGGAAATTCGCTTAGTCTGCAGGTTTGCTGCGGCGGGGGTATTTTATTTTTTATTGTTGATTCTTTTGCATTGAATCATAAAAAACAAACAACTAACAGCTGTTTCCACTCCACAAACCTTCCTCCCCGTTCAGTGTTAGTCGCCACTAGAACTTGGACTCGTCCAAACCACAAACATCTGAATAACTCAACGAACAATATAAATAGGTTAACATACCTTACGTCGTCAATCCTAAAATTAGTCTATGGCAAATAGATTTGAAACATCAAGGTTCATTGTCGAGCCTCTTGCCTCTTCAAAATATTGGTACATCTTGTCGTCGTCATTACACAATAGTACATTTAACATATAAACACAAACTATTTACAAAAATGAATGTGCGGCTGGCCATAGACACTGCGGTGACGGACACGATGCAACTAACCGACTCCTGTCTGTTGACATTGACCTTGGAGGGGGTAAAACAGCTGATTGTGAGCGCTTCCGTTATCAATGTCCTCAATCCTATCAAATATTATATTACGTCAAAAATTTAGTTTTTAATTTAAAATGTCGTGAGGATATTTTTTGTTGCTTTGTAGATTTCTAGACTTTCTAGAACATTCATTAAGGACCCTTTGGTACAGTTGTGTAAAATATTCAGGCTATCATTGCAGCTATTATGGTTTTCGTTAATCAAGTGTTCAGCAAACTTGGGAGTGTTGAGTTCTCAATTTAGGTTTAGGAAGGTGTTCGTTAAACCTTTTCTTGAACTAACGACCTGTTTGTCAATGTCCTATATATATTTTAGGGCAGTCGCTGCAAGATAGTTTAGTGAGGACACTAGAGTATATAAACTATTTTGCAGCGACTGCCCTAAAATATATATAGAACAAACAGGTCGTGAAGAGATTAACATAGATGATGAGAAGAATAAAATAATTGATTACAAAATATTATCATTGACTAGAGAAATATTTCAAATGATTCTGTATACAATAATGTTTCTATCATGGGGATTTTGTCCCATTATGTCCCATAGATGGACTGTCTGACTAATTAATTACATAGGTAGATCTTATTCAGGCGTGTTAGGGTGGTCGGTTGATCTTGCGAATTCGTGTCTGCATTAAGTGTTTTGAAGCTAGGTTAGATGAGGAAAGTAAAGTTTAGGTTAATGAATCGAGTTGTTAGTTTATGTTACCTACAGACTCTTTTTGTACAATTAAAACCCTGAGAAACACACTGTAAAGTACTATTTCAAAAATGCTTGCTTACCAGCTTGTGTACCTACTTCATACAACTTGATATGCTTTACTTAACTTATTGCTTAACTTAAAAAATGTACTTTAAAACATTCTTAAATGAGACTGGTTTTCCTTCAATTCATTGAAGTTTCTGGTCAAGTATGCTCAGTCATTGGTAATTTTTACACAATTTGTATTGCTGTGCAGCAAGTAGGCCTAATAAGAGCAAGGTCTTCATGATTCAGTCAGTTTGCTATCACAACTGCAGTCAATAATTGAAGGGTTTTTCCAGTGAAGCTGTGGAAGAACCTCACCTACTTTGTGGCTATACCTGCTGTTGGGCTCTGCATGGTCAATACTTGGTTGACTGTCAAGGAAGAGGACCATACCCCTCCAGAATTCGTTCCTTACGAGCACATGAGGATCAGGACTAAGGTACATTAGTTTAAACAGGTCCTCTTAAAGTTGGCCTGGAATACTTTCCTTGCAATTTAAAAAAATGTACTGCTAGAGAAAAGTTTATAAATTTAATTATATACAAGCTGCTATACCCGTGCTTTGCAACGGGAAGAAAATGTGACCTAGAGAGCTATTAAAGTGGGTGCTGATGTGTGTTTTAAAATACAGTAACTCTGTGATTTCAAAAAATACATACTGATTTAAAAGTGTAAACCTACTTACTTTCAAAGCCCTACTTTTGATGTTAATATATGAATACGACAACATACCTTAGTTTAGCAATAGCACCAATTGCATCATATTGATGCTTCATGAATGACCCGTTTTACCATAATTCTTCAATTTTAGTCACGCCTTTTTATATGTAGCCTAGCTTACTAAATAAATTACAAAATGAAACTTTGTGCAATAGCCTACTTTACAAAACGTATACAACCTGTCTTTAAAACCAAACATAACCCTCCCAAAGCGCCACAAACCTCTTTTTCGAGTAAATAAACAAACACCAGTTTATTGTACTGACCAGCTGTTTCACTAAATTAAATCATCTAAACTTTGGAAGCTTGCCAGGCGCAGCCCATTGGAAATCAGCCTGTGGGGCAGAGCCCTTAGGAAATTCATCCATATCAATACTTTTTGGCAAATCTACACACTCTAAGCTTCATTTTGATGTGCCATATGCCTATATTTTTATTTGGTAAATGGCCTTAACCGTTTACATAAAATTTGACTGTATCACTTTAATAATATAGATTTCTGAAAATATACTTTTTATTGATTGTGGCACATAAAGTAGCATATTTTCAATTACAGCTGTGTAGCTAACAAAAATCATACGGTATTTTTCCAAGCTTTTAATTTGGAGCAAGGTAAAAACACAATGTGATGATAATTCTCCTACTTGAACAATTTGTTTAATTTCACCTAGGGGTATTTGCAGTAGGCCCTAATGGGTTTGTCCAGCCGACAGTGAAACGATGACTGAATTGACGAGCTGCAATGATTATTTATAGAATTACATGTCAGTACAACATAGGGACATATTGTCGATTGCTAAATCAAATACTCAAAACTAATAGATAAAGCCATCAGTATTTACACAAAAACAACTGAATCTTCTCTATTTTCAGAGAAATAAATATGTGCACTCGAGTTTAAGCTTAAATACCTCTGAGATGGATTATGTGAATTTGTTGGAAAAAAATAAATACAAGCTAGTTTAAATACATTTTAAGTGGTAACAATAAAAAAATTCCGTTTAGCAGAAAAATTTATACTCAACTCTCGATTAACCGGGATAATGTAGGGCTGAGGCTTCCCGGATACGTAAAATCGCCATTAATCCGCAATAGCCTATAAATTGAACGGGAAGTTTATTAAAATGCAAAACAATACTTTTTTTTTATAAACAGTGGTAGTTAACATAATTGTATTGCAATAAAACACCTGAATGTTACTTTCACAGGAATCGTGATGGATGGCACACAATTTTAAACACAACAACACACGTAACAAAAATTAAATAAACCATTTACAAGGCACGAACCAACATCAATTACATTTTTTTTTTTTAAGTATGTTACAGTTTTCTGTTTCCGAACAGAGAAACATTTATTTTTTTATCCTGCTCCTCATGCTGCGCAATCCAATTTTGTCAGCAATCGGAGCGTCTACTTCATTCTCATAGTAGGTATTCAATCAGTTGTTCAACACTCGCGACACAGTTGTCTGCTGTTGGTCACGTGACTCCCCCTCATCACTTTCACTCTCATCCTCACCAACCTCACCCCTTATCTTGTTTAGAATCTGCTCATCTGTCAGCTGCTAGTATCCTTGATCTTCCGCATCACAACCCGACCACTGCAGTACATTTTCTCTGTCCACTTCCTCTCCTCCTGGCGCGATCTTGTCATTTTGTTATTGACTAAGGCCGACATATTCCTTAGACACAGCTGTTGATTAATAGATAACATTATTAATACATATAGATAACATTATTAATAGATAAAATTAAAATATATATAACAATCAAGCTTAATGGTGAGGGTCAATGACAATATAATGCTCTGATAACTCCACTCAATTTTGTGGGCGCCTCCACAAATAACACCTAGTTCATGCTTCATGAACCAAACTCAGGGTTCTCTAATGTGTTGTGTTTGTTTCAGAAATTCCCGTGGAAGGATGGAAATCATTCCCTCATCCACAACAGTCATGTCAATGCTTTGCCAAATGGCTATGAAGAAGGCCACCACTAGAGGAGAAAACACTATTTATAGTGCAGATGTCTGCTAAAAATACTTGTAATTATCTTGTATTATTGTTTGTTATTAATAAATAAAAGAAAATTAACTCTAACTGAAAAACGTTCCAGAGTTTATAACATGTTTTGTATTTTGTTTAACCACCCAGATACTATGATTTGAACTAGTGATGGGACAACCGACTGGAAAAAACAATCGACTAGTCAATCGGTTGTTTTTAAAACCAGTCGGTTTTTCATTCGACTGAAATTTGAGTGATTCCACTACAACTGGCAGTGTTCAATCGGCGCAATGGTTTCAGTCGTTGCAAGGAAAAAAGTCAATCACATTATTACTGGACACATTTGAGTCTTTGTTGTTGATTCATTGTTTGTTGTCTTTTGTCTTGAAATTGTATATGTATTATTACTTAATAACATTTAGTTTATACAGGACATGTTTATTCAGTAGTCCTAGAGTGAAAATTTAAAAACGTACGTTTTCAGGAAAAGCACTTTGCAAATTTTTTCCCCATTTTTTCAAAACTTTTATTATTTTTATTTCATTACATTTGAAGTTTCATAAAATGTCCATGGTAACGCAATATCTTTGGTATTTTTTAAAAAAAAGAGCATCTTTAGTGGAAAAACACAAAATCTTGTCACGACCATAACAGACGTTTAAATGAATATTAAAAATAGTTAATATTATTTTTATAACTATGTTTTGCTATAAACTAATTTACTTTTATGACCATTATACAATAAAAAGGCCACTGAGCTTTTAGTATATTTGGTCTTTCTAGAAAAAATAAAAAAACTCAAAAAATTGAAAAAAAGCCAATAAAATCTTTTTAAGTTTGTATAACTCCGAAAAAACTTACCTGAGACCCGAAAAATCGTTATGTTTGTATAGAGGTGTGCTTCTTTTGTGTATAAAACGGGATCATCTCATAACTCCAAGGTTTCAAAACTCCAAGTGATCATAACTCCAAAGTTTCATAAGTCCAAGAGATCATAACTCCAAATTATATTTAATCCAAAGTTTCACAACTACAAGTACCCGAAAAGGGATAATTTCATTAGCATACTCCAAGAAAAATATAAGTGCAAGTGATCATAACTCCAAAGTTTCATAAGTCCAAGTAAAAATTAAACCAGAGTCTCATTACTCCAAAAGTTGAGTGGAGTCTCATATCTCCAAGTGGAATGTGTAGTACAGTCAGCGCCACAAGTTCCTGCGCTGTCCGCTCCGCTGTAATACTGTCAGCAGCTGATGCCGCATCATTGTATCCATATACCTACCGTCGCCTGTCAAACGATTATGTAATTTTGTTATATACTTACAGATTAATTAATTGCTATACTTCTTACTTCTATGCTAAAGGTACTTTAACCTTTAACTACTCGCGCGGGTTTTACTAACGTATGTACTCGCGTGGGGTGTTTTTGACACCCCGTTATTACATATTTGTTATAATTGTATTAACACTAATAATTGGTAAATAACATTTTTTGTTGTTATTTAAGTTTATTAAAACGTTTTTATTAGCTTGCTTTCTTGTCCGGTACAAACTTTGCAATCAATTTTATACTAACTTCCCGATGAGCTAGAGACTTGAAACTTGAAACATAGCCCACAAATGGAAGACAATGCAATATAATATCATTTAATTTTCATATTTCCCTTAGGCTACGCCCCATGGGCTTGTTTTTATTTTACTGTATACTGTTTCCAATATGAAAGAGTTATTTATTTTAAGTTATACAATGTAAATAATATATTTCTTTTACCAACTGCAATTTGTGTGTGTATTTGGTCAAGTTTTGCATATAAACCATTTGTTGTATTAAAAAATATGTATTTTGTCATTGAACTGTTTGATATTGAATAACTAGCATATGTACTACCCGGTAAATATATAATTTTTAAAAGATTATATTATGTCTGTGAATTGTAAAGGTATTATTTTTCCCTAAAATGTACTATTAAAAAAACCGTTTGAACCATTTGAACAACATTAGGCCTTTCAATTCTGCATTTTTTAGGTAAATATAACTTACGTTATTACAGTAACTAGCCAAATTAATGCCAATTAAACTAATTAAAGCAAATAAATTTGTGACAGAGAGGTTATACAGAAAATCAGGCAGTTCTTAAGTAATGTAAACAACATTTAATCGCTATGAAAAATGACTGAAATTTGTAAACGTACTGGTGACACTGGGTAGTACCATGCTGACTACATTTTGACGAAGATCAACATGAACAACATAATGCAAACAAATATTTACAAGAAATGTTTATTATATGGAACTGTTAGGTACGTAGTGTATGAGTTGGGTCTTAAACTCGTCGGAAATTATGACTTTCATTCTTTTTCAAAAAAGTTATTTGTTTTTTAATAACTACTTGACTTCTTTGCAATTGCTCGGTTTCAAGCAACATGTACACTATACATTAAAACGTCACAGAGTGATTTATTTCACGATGCTAATCAATAACCATTTGACATATTTTCATGATTTTGTGTTGCAAGAAACATCGTTACCCCGTCATTAGCCTGTATAATGAAGAACACCTACAAGATTCAGATTCCTACAAACTATGGACGAGGATGTTAGCCGAAGTGCTACAAATTTTATTAGGAAACATGGACTTAACTTTGTAATCACTGCAGAGGAAAGCCCTCTAAAGCCAAATAAATCTGGTACGTCAATGACATTAATCTATGTTTTCATAAAAGTCAAGCAATTTTAATAATAGCCTATGAAAATATCCGAGAGCCCCTTACCAACATTTTACTGAAGGCTTTTAATTATTATTCATATGCTAAGGGAAACAAAAATCATCTGAACAACAGAAGGTCTTTAACTTTGCATTTCTCAGGTAAATATAATTAACGTTAATTGCAACTAAACAAAAAATACACCAACTGAACAAATAAAATTGTGACAGACAATTTGATGAAAAATAAGTACGACAACGAATTTAACACAAACAAAAAACTAACATTTGGATTATGAGTTAAAATTCTGGTGACGCAATAACAACGATAAATATAAAGAAAATCAAAACAAATTGAAGACTGGTACACAATCATCACATGTTTGATTTTCAGCGTGGGATGAATATAGATAAGTTCATATTTTATTTGGATTGTGGTCGAGTTTTGACCACTGGACGACATCAATTCTTATATTAAAGTACTTAACTCATTAAGGTACTTCAATAATACCTAAATGATAAATACCTTCTAATTAACTCAAATAAAACAATCTGGTATTAGGTATAGATGTATTTACTCAAAAACCTATTTCTATGATAATTTAGTCACGAAATCCAAATGTTTAGACCTATCTATAGATAATATCCGCTTGTTTGGATCATACAAGTCTAGATAGTATTTTTAAAATTTTAAATATGGTATTTTTTTTATTAAACCCATTATGCACTACAGACATTTTGCGTACAATTTACTTTGCTAACATACACTCTCATATTTGTTACGGAATAAAGATTTATGAGGGAACAAGTAATTGTAACTATAATCAAATTTTATATTTACAAATGAATGCTACAAGATGAAACCTTAACCTGGATTAATACTGTTTAAATTTTTTCCGAAAATAGGAGATGAAAAATAGTGGGAAAAAAGGCACTACGACTTATTTGCGTTGTGCACCACGAATATTATGTAGAAAAAATTTCGAATTTTCGTACATACAGCTTAAGAAGTTAAGACTAAATATTTTTCATAGTTTAGAAATTTTAAAACGTGAAAAATTGTGTTTCTTCACTTTGAAGATGTGCTCATTGTAGCACGAAACAGCTATCGTGTTTGACAACTATACAGGATCATTTTAGGCAAGGTAACATAAACCATATTCTACTTAATAATTTATGTTAGATCATGTGGGTATAGAACAAAAGATAAAAATATTAAGGCATTGCCATCCCTTTTATTGTTTACTAGCTGTACCCACGGGCTTTGCCCCGTTTAACTTCATAAGTATTCGCACGCATGGCTCAATCACGTCCCGGTTGAAGTTCGTTCGCTACGCTCACTCACCTTTAGGTTGGAGCTCGTTCGCTGCGCTCACTTGTTTTCAGGTTAGCTTGTTCGCTACGCTAACTCGCCTCCAGGTTGATGTTCATTCGCTACGCTCACCTTTTGGTTGCAAATTAGCTGTTGTCATAAATTTTAAAAAGTCATCCCTTTTATTGTTTATAATACTTTGATAAAGGTTTTTATGTTTTAATATTTAACATTGGAGAATTTAAACGTTGTTAAGTGCACCTGTGTGCTGCGATTGGGTTTAATACATTTGGACTTATTCAAAAGTAAAATAGTTTTCTGTGCTGCACTCTGTAGAAACACTGTGGCTCCTATTTCAAATCATGACTAATGCTAATACAGAATGTTGTAATAATTATTCAAACCTACAAAACAGTTGGTGAAAGTAAACATCTGCTTTTAAATTATATTTATTTGTAAACATTGTAGATCAAAAAGTCGGTATTTACTCAGGGGAGGTACGGAAGAGGCTACGATGACAGCTGTGGGCTTCTTATTAGCTGAGGGAACGCTATTACCGTAACAATACGGCTTGCGGACAACGGCTTCGGTGGTCTAGTGGTTAGCGTTCCGGGCTGGCTGACTAAAGGCCCCGGGTTCGAATCTCGCTGGTTGCATTATCTTTTTGTCTCAGATTTTTTCATTATCAGCAAGTTTGGTTGGTTTGGTTCGGTTATGACAGTTTAATTTTATTATTAAGTCATTATAAAATTTTAATTGAGCAATTTCTAGTTTTATTTAATAAACATAATTATTTTTTCTATTACTAATCTTTTTTATATTATTTAATTATCAGCAAGTTTGGTTAGTTCGGTTAGGTTATGATAGTTTAATTTTATAATTAAAAAATTATAAAATTGAATTTGAGGTATTTATAATTTTATTTTATGAACAGAACTATTTTTGCGAATAGTAAACCTTCATTGACAAAGTGCTCTCTACTACAGCGCTGTTCGCGGAGGAATTTTGAACTAAATGCCTCATTCGTACCTCCCCTAAGTCAGACCCCAAAAAGTCTGGCATTGGCCCACTTAAAACCCTCTGGGGCAGGGCCCTTTTGACAGATCATCACCAAACTTCACTCGAACCATCCTTGAAAGATGCTTAATAATGCCTGAAAGTTTCATTACAATCTGTCGAGCGGTTTCAGAGTCCATAACGTATATACATATATATACACACATACATAGTTCCTCTTTTATAGATATAGATAATAGGTACTTTGATAAAGGTTTTTTTGCCTACATATTTATTTAACACTAGCTGTGTGCCCGTTCTACGCACGGGGATCTTATAGTAGTCAGTTAAAACCTTATTATATAAAGAACAGCAGTTGGTTTGCATAATTTCAGACGTGCTGGCAAAACTATTATATATAAACCTAATATTATGACATATAAAGAAAAAGCAAAACATATATAAAAACTTTGGTGACAGTTTGAACCAAACAATCTCATCCAAACAGCTTTTTGTTATTTAGAATATGACGTATTCTCTAAACTATGTTTGGTATATGTAGTTAATATTACTGTAGAAGGAAATGTGAACAAAATCACACAATGTTGTGTTTTTGAAAGTTTTTAATTTGATTTCCTAAGTAGGTACCTAGGCCATGTATTCCAGGGAAAAGTACCGGTATCAAGGATAGTCGTCGAATAGGTTGTTATGAATAATTGGGTAGGCCTATGTACCCAATATACAGTCTTATTGGCTGTATGGTCCAGCGATTGTAGCACATAGGGGTCAGTAGAACGGTGGGGCACACGGGAGGGACTAAGGCTAACATATCTTGTAGTGTCAGCGTTCGCCGCTAGAACTGCTTAAGTTGAAATAATTTAAATTTTTTTTTTAATTTTATTTTTAATTATAAAATTAACTTTTTAATTATAAAATAAATTTTTAAAATTAAACTGTCATAACATAACCTAACCAACCAGACTTGCTGATAATATAAAAACTATATAAGATAAAAATCTAATTAATAATTACTTATAATTTTTAATTAATTACAAAATTAATTTCAAAATTTAGTATTATAAAATTAAACTGTCATAACCTAACCTGACCAACCAAACTTGCTGATAAGAAAAATTTGTTGACAAAAAGTTAGTGCTGCCAGCGGAATTCGAAACCGGGACCTCCTGAACACCAGTCCGAAACGCTACCAACTATGCCACGAACGCCGCTGAAATCACATCGTTTCGTTACGGTAATCGTGTCGCCTCAAGAGAAGACATTAGCCACTAGAGATATGACGTCACCACACCTTTAGCCTTAGTCCCTTCCGTGTGCCCATTCCGTCAGTAGAAACCGAAAGTTACACATTGGAAAAGTGAGTTTAGCATCATCCGTAAACCTCTGTTACAATCACCCACTGCAGTTATGATTTTTCACTTTCCGCTTTACACAACCGCCATTGAAACGCCGTCAATTTAATAAACGTAAGTTTCCCAGCCCTATACATCACTGTTTCAAGGTCTTTTTCCCGGTTATCAAAGCTTCAGAGCAATTTTATAAACATAGAATCTCTATTTCATTTTACACATTATTGAACTTGCGATTAATGAAATCCTTTATGTAAGGAAAATAGTTTTTAATCTCACTTGGTTTTGGATTTTGCTTTCAAAATGTGATCGGAAATGTTTGCTTTATTTGTAAACAACCTTTAATGTAAACATATCAGTGACAGCTAGAAAAAATTATCTTGATCCGAACAGCTGTTCGTTATTTCATTGATGATTAAGTGATGAACATTGGACATTGGGAGAACACTTGACAAAAATCGCTAGAAGTCGGGTTTTTAAACGTCCGTCGTTTTATATACAAAGTAGTGACGCCATATTTTAATGGCTAAAGACAATCTCGCCAATCCAGTGAATACATTAAAATTATTTGGATCTTGATAGGTACTCTAGTTTTTCAGGAGAAGGCCGCGTAAAATGGCTCTTGGGCCGTAACAGACACGAAGACAGACAGAAATTTAGATGAGACTTGTTTCGCGTTGTTTAATGTATAAAACGTAAAAATAACCTAAAAGTTTATGATTCTGAGCAATGTACAGACAAAACTCTAATTTCATTTATATAGATTGGAGAATTTAAACGTTGTTGAGTGCACAGGTGTGCTGCGATTGGGTTTAAATATATTTTGACTTATTCAAAAGTAAAATATTTTTCTGTGCTGCACTCGGTGGAAACATTGTAGCACTATTTCAAATCATAACTAATAAAGCATGTTTTGATTATTCAAACCTACAAAACAGTTGCCGGGTGCTAGTCATATTTATTTGTAAACATTGTAGTTCAAAAAGTCTGACATTGGCCCACCTAAACCCCTCTGGGGCGGAGCCCTTTTGACGTATCTGGACAAACTTTACACTAACCATCCTTGAAAGATGCTTAATAATGCCTGAAAGTTTCATTACAATCTGTTGAGTGGTTTCAGAGTCCATAACGTACATACATTGATACATACAGTAGTTCCTCTTTTATAGATGGTCGGTTTTGAAAAAAAAATTTGTTTAATCAATGTAATTATTTTAAATTAAGGATTCTTTCTCTAAGGGTTTCTTCCTTTCTCCAAGGAAAAACTCATTCAGTCCGCAATGAATTGGTAGCCATGTTATCTCGGCTGACCTTTCCATACAACTAACAGACAATCTTTTTAATAAATATGGTTGATCGGTTTTGAAAAAAAAAAATTTGTTATTACTAGTTAAGGATATTCTTTCTCCAAGGAAAAACTCTTCCAGTCCCCAAAGAATTGGTAGCCATGTTATATCGGCTTGGTCTGTTGTACTTTGGGAAGTACCCCAGCCTCCTTTCCTCGGCCCAATCCTGTTTTAGCTCTTTATTTACGACATGCTCTCATTTATCAAATCCAAGTTCAAATGTATATATTTGTCTAATCACAAAGGTTTAGTTACAGCGTGGGGTGAAGGTGAAAATAGATAAGTTTGCACAATACCTACATATTTTTGGTCGAGTTTTCGACCACGGGGCGACCTCTAATTTATATAAGTTAAATAAAAAAAGGGATATACCAATACTGCCGTGGACAACTCCGTAGTCGATATCACTTACATCGCTAAAATAGTTTTTAGTAGAAACTAACTATAGGTAGCTACGTTTATTCAAATAACTACTAAACAATTTTAGGGCAATGCCACGACGTTAACGCATATCTCGCGAGCTACACGATAGAAATGCTCTAGACGGCATTTATTTACTCATGTTATGACGTTGAAAAAAAACTTGGAAAGGTAGTGGGTCTTGATAAACACCGGGAAAACTTTCCAAAAATCGAGCTTTCTTGCACGACCTATGCACGGATAGGTATATTTTTTACATTGTAATTTTTTTTTTTTTTATAAAACAGGTTTTTGATTTTTTGTAAAAACGTGCCCCACACTCTTTCCCCCCTCCTTGACTTGATAGTTGTATACCTGCTGGGAGGACTAGACTTCCCATGTGATATGAAAGAGTTTGAAGCCAAGATTATAAATGAAGTTCAGGACCATCTCACCAGAGTTTACTAGTGTATTTGGTTGAATATTAATTAAAACCAATGCAGTATCATACCAAAAAGCTGAATGAATTATCACTATAATATCGTCATTAGTTGGTGGCCATCTCAAAAGATTGCACAACGATTTTTTGGCTTCAAATTTTTACATTACATGGGAAGTCTTTTCTCAATGCTACAACAATAGTTTTTTTAACCTCATTGATGCCTCAAGGAGAGCGGATTTTCTGTTTTAATATCGTAAAATGCCTTCAACAACAATCATAAGTAAAAACACCGAGTGCACTGCACTCGACTCCGGACTCCCTTAGATGCTGGATGCTGGACTAAGATCAGTTAGGGCTGCGCGCGCTGAACCTGGTGGCCGTGGCTGAACACATGGTAAGGTGGTGCTGGTGCATCAAATCAAGATTGTTCCATGCAGATTGCAGATGACAAGCTTTACATATCGTCTAACCACCAATACTTTGAAAGCAGCTGTCAAATTACCGATGCTATAACTGACGATATTATACCATCGATAAAGGTATCTAATCGATACGAACCTGCGCAAGCAAGGAACCGTATAAATTAAAAAAATAAATAAAGACAAGGTCCAGTCAAGAGTTAAGACAGTTGTATAAGTTTGAACAATTCTTTATTATTCAAAATGTTAAAATGATATAAAAAGTCATGTAAATAGCTGATATCCGATAACTGTTCAATTCCTTTTAAATAAATAGTACTGGTTATCACAGATTTTTTATAATAAACAATAATGTGATAAAATACTTTTAACTTATTGGCTTTAATAAACCAGAAGCCACCAAAGTTCTAGATTTGTCGTCTGCTCCTGTTCAGTGCTTCCTGAACTGAACTGAATCCTCAATTTTTGCTTGCAGATTAAACGAAGTTCGAAGCGAAGCTCACAAAATGTCACTTCGACTTGTCACTTTTTACTTGTCTACTATATTTTGATTAGTAATTTAAATTGAAATAAGATCTTTTACAAACTGTAAGTTTAACAGATGACTAAATGAGAGTTATCTGGTTTCAATCGCATTGTATTAATTTGCATTACTGAGTTGTTTAGCAAAAGGATTCCTCTAATTAATATTCACCAATGATAAAATCACATTCCCCATGTATGGTTCAGCATAACCTAAAAATGGAGAATGCTCTAAAAGATGCTTTAAATACCTCAACTATGACTAGGACAGGCCACAGTGGAGGAGGATGCATAAATCAGGGCGAGGCTTATATTACTGACAATGGAACAGTGTTTGTCAAAAGCAACAAAAAATCAAAGGTAAACATAAGCTAACTAGCCTATTTAGTTTTTGTATACTTAACTTTATTCTGAAATAGTGACAATACGAATTTAGGCATTTCAAGCCAAGTATGAATGAAGATGAGTGTAGAGTGAGTGGTGCGATCTTGTAGTCTTGTTAGCGACTAAGGCCGACATGTTCCTACAGGCCCGTGGGTAATTATTTACTTGAGGGTGACCAAGCGTTCTATAGTAAGTTATATATCATTGGAAACTAGATTTTTACCTGAAAATAATGGTGCAACAATTTTTCTGCTGCCACAAAAACTGAATTTACTACGATTTTTTGAAGTTTATAAATGTAATGCCGCTTGTCGGCTGGTCTCTGTCGCCATAACTTTACTGTGAATTGACTGACCAACACAAACATGAACAATTGAAATCGAAAGGATCGTCTAGGGAAGAAGAAGAAACCTAATATGACAAAATCAAGTTTATACAAAGATGTAGAGGCATTTATAAATTCAACTGAGTGTTGATTATGAACTACTTAAGTTCTTATTTAGACATGTGAGGTGGGTAGGTTGGGTGTTATGCGGACTCGTGACTGTATTAAGTGTTTTGAAGTTAGGTTAGATTAGGAAGGTAAAGTTTAGGTTATAATGAATCGAGTTGTTGATTTATATTATCTCCAGACTGTTTATGCACTTTGTTAAAAGTACTACAAACACAATAAATAATAATATCAAAAATGTGCAGCATCTGTTTGCTTTTTGCTTCCATCTGAAGGTGACCTCAGGTACAGCAAAATTGTTAAGCAGATAAGTAGATGCAGGTTGATTGAGATTGAAAGTTTTCTGACCCTCCGCCACAGATGAGATGAAGTATTGGTTGAATTCATCCGCAGTTATGGGTAGAACGCCAGTCTTGCTGGAGCTAATCCTAGCTGAATTTATAACAGACCAGGCTGTCTTACATTTGTTCGAGGACGATTCGATAATCTTGGCGTTAAAGTGAAGTTAAGCGTCTTTAATAGCTGCTTTATAGACCTTCCTTGCATCCATGTAGGTCTGCCTGAAGAATCCCACGTTGATGTTGTACGTGCCCATAATAAATTATGGTAACATGTTAAAGTTTCTTCAGGAGGGGGCCGGGGTCCTCCCCCGAAATGTTTTGAAAAAATATAAGCGCTCCAATGACGTATTTTAGGCTATTTGGAAATCAACATAAAAGGAATTACAGATTCAGTGAACACGGTGAACATACTTGAAGGACCTTAATCGGCTAATTTACGAATTCCATGTAAGAATTTCCACCCTTACTCATTATGGAAAATAGCTGATCGAATCCCTAAATGTGTGTGTACTGTGTACCTAGGATCCTAAATAAATTAGATGAATCCTAACTCAGGTCTCCTCACAGACGAGAGCTCCAACACCTTTCTGGCAATGGTAAGACGTGATTTTTCACCAAATAAAAAGTTAATAGTTAGGGTGTCTACTTTATTTCCATTTAAAAATTCAAGACTAATTTCAGACTATTTAAGACTAATGCCAAATTTTCAAGACTGGATTTTTCAATAATTAGTGATGTGTTGATACCAAAATGTAGCGATTCTTGATACCAATGCCAATTTTTATAATTTAACCAAATTTTTTCATTCCACACCAAACTCTGTCTTTATGTCATAAAGTATATGTAAATGGGTGTTTTTCAAATAAAGAAAAAAATGCAGCAAAAAAATTCTAACTAACCAATTAGGATTTTTTGGATGATGAAAATCTTCCACGACCAAGTAGACATTATCATTAACTGCCTCGGACGTCATCGTCGCTGTTCGCGATCGCGGCAAAATTATGATCATTTCCCGCGGCCGTGTAGACATTATCATTGACTCCTGCGGCCACGGAAACGTCATGGGCGTCGTCTGCGGTGCTCGCGGCAAAATCATGAAGAGTCCCAACTTTCATATCAAAATAAAGACTAAATCACGACTTTTCAAGACCGATTTGAAATTCAATACTAATTCCCGACTTTCCCGTTTTTTCCGACTACTAGACACCTATAAAAATAATAAATTTTGTTTAAGTTAAATAAAATCAAACTTTGAGGTTCCTATTAATAAAAAAAATTTCTAACTTAACCAAAAAGAATGTGAATCCTCATATCTGGGGGGGATAAGCCCCCCAAGATCCCCCCCCCCCCTTTAGCCACTGGATGTGCCACTGAATGTGCAATTTTATACAACAATGCATCAAGAAGGAAAATATTTTATCACAATCCTTGATACTTCTTAATATGATAAATACTAAGTTTAATGGTTTTTATCTGTAGGAAACAATTATCAACTATGGTTTTTATAACACTTAATGCTAGTGATGGTTGGCAATTCTACCTTATTACTTGGAATTTTGCTTACATTTACCATTACTTTGTTTTACTAAACTAATCGGTTATGGCATATGTCTGCAAAAATTCTACTAAAATCTATACTTATTTAATACGCAAGCAGGGTTTTTGTGACAATTACTCCTCCGAAACAACTGAACCGATTGACATGTTTTTGGTGTCATTGGAAAGAGCTTAACTTGAAGTTGTGCAGGAAACTTTTTTTTAGGGAAATAATTAGAGAGCTAGGCCCTAGGGCCCTTTAAAGGTTCGTATTTCTCCATAAGATTAACATGGGAAGCAAAAATTGTTATGAAACTCCAGCTGTTGTCAGAAATTAAATAGTAATAAATGGTCTCCATGGAAGCATGAGAAAATTCACAATGTTTACCTTTGCTTTGACATTTAAATGTAAACAACCAGAACTGTCAAATGCCTATTTCACATTTTCAGACAGCTGATCAAAAAAAAAAAATAAAAAATAATAATAATAATAATAATAAAATACTTTACACAACTATGTGGTAGGTTTATTTAATCTTAAACTTCATGATGGATTATTTATTCTAAATATATTTCAATGATTATAAAACTGATTGTTTCCCGTTGCGAAGCACGGGTACAGCAACTAGTAATTAATTAAGGGATAATAAGATATATAACCCTCCCAGTGTTACTTGACGAAAATTCGACAAGCAGCACACTTTGTGTAGTGTTACTTGTCGATTTTTCGACACGCAGACATCGTTTACGGCGAAGGCTCTATGACTGACTGAATCGGATTGAACTGGATCGAGTTAGGTATCGTTCTTTCCGTAATATTCTAAGCTTTCTCCAGAGGTCTGTCTCTAAGCGCTATTCATTTTAGTTCCGAAAATATTGTAGCAGACAGCTGACGTGCGTGTATTTGTAAACAGCTAGGTTCCCCCGGACCGATGACTGATGTGTTTTATTACGTTTATCATTGTTTTAGTGTTAAAAATCAAAAGTAGTGATATACGTGGTGCATTATAAGAAGATTTAAGTGGTTTTGAAGTGCTGGTTGATGATCCTGAAGAAGTAGGTAGTGATATTGATGTAAATTATCAGCCAGATTCCTAGCTATGGTTAGGCTATGCATTCTTAGCTAAACGCTATGTACTGAAATCAGTTTTTTGCCCATAACTTATTTATTTGCAAATATACTTCCTTATATTATTATATATTTGTAATCCTCATAAAATTTAGAACAAAGTGGCTATTTTCAAATATTTATAGGCCTATAATTTATACAATTTCATTGAGCGCGAACTTATTTTTTTTTTTTTAATTTTCGAAATTATATTTTTTTTACCTAAAATTTTTTTTTTTTTTAAATGTTCCTTATGTTTTATATATAATATTGAAGCCCATGATTTTCCAAACAAAATGGTATATAGAACATTAGAATTAACATTGTTTTAAGCTTCTCAGATCCGTTTTAATAAAACCTTGCAAATGCGCCAAAAATAGGTGGACATTAAGGCCTAAACTATGGACACTTGGAGGGTTAATATTTACCTGTAACTGTTGTCATGATATTCTTGACAAAGAATTAAAATTTTATTTACATATTTACAATTAAAACCAGGATAATTTTGTTTTATCCTTTCATTGTTAAACTGTCACTTAGAGTCTAATTTCACCAAAATCCTGCAATAATAACGGTACCAATCCATTAGGCTGAGGATAACTATGTTCTTTACTTAATTTTTTTTTCTTTTTCGGATGAACTAATAAAAATCTATTAAAAAATTGAAATGTTAATTTAACATAAAATTATGTAAGTTGTATAAATATAAGAATAAGTCATGTTAAATCTATTGATCTTTGATACAATAATTACTTCAAGGTGAATAATGTGAATTTTATACAATAATGCGTTTAAAAAAGAATATAGCCTACCATAGATAATTTTATCAGATAAGACTGGGACGCATCACTCACTGGCTGTGTAGTTTAACCGGAATTATGAATGAAAGATCCAGCTATGCTGGTCAACAAAGCAGTTTTTGTAATAAGATAATAAGGGTCAACAACTGCCTTTGATTGAACTACCCACAGAATAAATATCACTCAGGTAATCAATAAAGTTTAATATTTTAAATGTTCTTTTTACTTTATTATTCCGGTTTTGAACTATGTGTTTATGTTTGTCTCAAATATCCTTTATAGCTGTAATACAAATTTACGTTTATTTTCATAAAATATTAATATTAGCCTATTTAATAAGTGGGTTGTGAAAGAAAATCTAAGAATGTAGGTGAGTCACCATACCGAAAAGTTTGGGACCACTGGATTAGCTTATTTGTTTGTGTTTTACTCGGCATTGGCATTTTCATATCGATTCAGAGATTAGATATGAGTGTAGTTATGTTATTTGGCTATGCAACACCAAGGCTAACTTATTTAACTTATTGCTGATCAAACTATAATTTTATGTCATGGAAAGTGTTGTAAAACATATTCTGAGGACCAAAACATTAACCAAAACAAATTATACTGAAGAAGGTTGTATTAGTAAAGGCAGTGCTTATAAAACTGACCATGGGATTGTTTTTATCAAGCAAAATACAAAACTAAAGGTAACTTAAACCGTTACTATTTTGTTTATCTATATACTATTATTAAATTGAGGTGGTGTCTGTCTGTCTGTCTGGGCAGCTGTCCCGACTAAAATACTTAACGGATAAAGCCAAAATTAAGCACAAAGATGTTCCACATATCTAGGAGTGCCATAGGCCTATTCATTTTCCTGAGTTCCTCTTGGGCTACGCCCCTTGGATGTCCAAAGTTTTGAAGTGAGGTTTTCAAAAGTAAATTTTAATTGGTCTCCATGGAAGCATGAGAAAATTTACATGTTTACCTTTGCGTTGACATTTCAATGTAAACAAGCAGAACTGCCCAATTGATTATTTCACAATCTATTTCTGACAGCTGATCCAATGAAATTAAATATAATATTTTACACAACTATGTTGCAGGTTTATAATATTCTAAAACTGTCATTGTTATAAAATAACCCCGCCACAGTAAACCTGCCGACTAAGTGAATTTCCATTTGTCTGAATTGTTTTTCAAATAAATATATTTAAATAACATTAGGTTTAACGAATACCTATGTTGACCTCATAAAACGAAAAGCCCCGTTCCCATGGTCCGATCATGCTGGTTTGCGAACGCATTCAAGTTTATCCCGCTTTACACCTTTAGACCAAATTTCATCAAAATCGGACAAAAATTACTCAAGTTATCACGTTTAAACGTACGTAAATATATATATATATATATATATAAATTTGAACAAATGGTGTTTTTGGACTCTGGGGACATCAAATTGAAAAAGTAAATCAGTGCCAAGTCTAGGTCTTACCGTGCCACCTACGGTAATAGCTACTTCCCTATAGGGAATTTCGCTAAAAAAGATTCTATAACCGTAGCTCTACCTGTTGCATTCTATCAACGCAGGCTCTGTTTTCGATTTATTTAAGTGTTAAAGTTATGAAAATAATTTTATTGATATATTTTCAGGACAATTACAATGTAGGCTATACTTTTTTTATAAATTTAGTGGCTTTATGTTTACGAATTCAAACTACCTAACAAGTGTTTGGATTAGGCGGTATAGTAAATATTCCCGTTGCGAAGCGCGGGTTCAGCAGCTCAGCGCTAGGCCGCCCTCCTGCCTCCGCCACGTCGCTTCGCCGTCGCTCGTGGCGTATCAGAAGTGGCATGTCCGTAGCGCGCCCGTTGTTCGGACTGCAAATATTGTACTTACCAACCTTGTTTGTTGTTTTGTGTTTAGAGTAATTGTGAGTTGTTTCTTGTTCTTTTCACAATGCAAGAGGACATTGAATTCAATATCAACTTTTGTGAGGAAGTTGAAAATTTCCCTTGTTTCTACAATCACAGTAGTTCTAATTAAGTGACAGAAATAACTAATTCACTTGACATAAATAACTTATTCAATTGACATAAATAACTAACAGAAATAAGCAAAAACCAAAGCGTCTAGTCTACATACAAGTTTTCTCGCCACTGTACCGTCCCTTCTGAGTGGGTTTCTGCCACGTCCGTGCTTCGCCCATGCCACGTCTCCGCCTGACGTCCGTTCTGTGTGAATTGGGCCTTAAAATATGACATTTATTCCCTATTTAAGTAGCATTAGTTTAACAAGTAATTAGGTTTGCTGCAACAGGGTGTGTAAAAAGCTGTAAAAAAATGTTAAAAGTAGTAGTAAAAATGTAGTATGAAATGAATGCATTTTCCAAATTTGATCAAAATATACTCATAAACAAGCAAACTACAACGGTTTACTATTTTCTCCATAAGAATAACTTGGGAATTTTAAATAAAATTTTTTTTGAATTTTCTCCCTAGCCATTAGGTGCATAATAACACTTCAATATACTAAATTATTTGTTTTTTTAAGCTCTACAAAATGGTTTGGAAAGAAGTTGCTAACTTTTATGTTTTTAGGGTCAAAAATGGGAAAAATAGATTTTTACCTCATAAACCCCTGTTCCCATAGCTATGTTATATAATTAATCCTATACTCTAATACGAGCGATGTTTGCTTGCTTGCTTGCTTGCACAAAGATCTCGAAAACGGCTCCGACGATTTTCTTCAAATGTTGTAAATAGTTCATTTCTGGCCTTAAAACGAGTTTCATGCAGTTAGAACTGCCAACAAAAATCTAATTACGTAGAAAAATGAAACTGAAAATCACATTTTTTTAACATTAGTCTTATGGGTTGCTAGGTAACCATGTTGGCTGAATTAAATAACAAGGAAAAAGTAAACAAAAGACTTGAAGCTGTAGCATGTGTTCATAATAAGCCAACTACCCACAGTATACTAGCAAATTACAAATACAGTTCAAAAGGAAAAACATCACTTGTTAATATTGAGCAAAGATTATACTTAAGATTACTCGATACATTGTAGTCAAGGGTAGCAGTGCGAAGTCTAGGATCTGTTTATGACGAATACATTAAGGTATCTGCAATCCTAAAATGCTATGGGAAGGGAAGGAAACAGGTCCGTGACGTAGGAAGTAGTGAAGGAAGTAGTAAAGGCAATCATAAAATGCTATGGGAATAGAGGGAAACAGGTCCTTGATGTAGGAAGTGATGAAGGAAGTAGTAAATGCGAGCAGTCCGGAGTGTGGGGACTGTTTATGACAATAAGATTAGGGTATGGGCAATCCTAAAATGCTATGGGAAGGGAGGGGGAAACAGGTCTGTGACGTAGGAAGTGGTGAAGGAAGTAGTCAAGGCGAGCTGTCCGGAGTGTGGGAACTGTTTATGACGATTAGATTAATGTATCTGCAATCTTTAAATGCAATGGGAAGGGAGGGAAACATGTTTGCGACGTAGGAAGTGGTGAAGGAAGTAGTAAAGGCGATTAGTATGGAGCGTGGGAACTGTTTATGACGATTAGATTAACGTATCTGCAATTCTGTAATGCTATGGGAAGGGAGAAAAACAGGTCCGCTACGTTTGAAGTGGTGAAGGAAGTAGTCAAGGCGAGCTGTCCGGAGTGTGTGAACTGTTAATAACGATTAGATTAAGGTATCTACAATCCTAAAGTGCTATGGGAATGGAGGGAAACAGGTCCATGACGTAGGAAATGGTGTAGGACGTTGTAAAGGCGAGCCGTGTGGAGTTTGGGAACAGATTTATGTATCTCCGATACTAAGACTGCTTTCAGAGTGAACTAATGATTTTCTCCGAGCAAAGCTCGGTCCCCAGGTACTAAGCTATAATAAGCTATGTTCCATAGCTATTATTAGTTAAGTAGACCTCAAAACGAAAAAGTTAATCGGTCCTGGCTCCAGGTCTTACTATGAGTACTATGGTAATATAAACTTAAAAATATAAAATAAATAATACAGTATTTAAATAAAAATTCTGTTTAGTTTTTCACAGCAGATTCTACTGTCTATTTGTATTAGTTTTGATGCTGGACAATATTAACCCTTCTCAGATGGGCGAAATTGTGACATAGAACAAGAAAAAAACTATAGGAAAAAATAAAAATTAATTTTCCTTATTTGTGTTTTGTTTTACAAGTGTACATAAAATAACTACAATGGAACACTTCATACTGTCAAAATAATTTTTTACTAGTTTTTAACTATACGGATATATCCGCTACCCGTCCGCGGATGAGTAGAAAAGCAGCGGATATATCCGCCGCCCGTCTTTGAAGATATGACCATGACAACGTTAGGCAATAAATAAAGAACAATATGTAAACAATAAATAAAGACAACGTAGTGTTGAGCGCGAAACGTTAAGGGGGGAGTGTAGGAGAGGTGCGTGGTGCGCGGGAGAGGGGGTGGCACGGGAGAGGGTTAGGCACGGGAGAGAGGGGGGAGTGTGGGAGAGAGCGCAGCCATGGAGAGAGCAGGTAAGTACCGCGGAAAGTACTTGGTACCGCGAAACATCTGGTTACTGCTCAAGCACCTGAAAGTCTGTCTGAAGAGAAGGATATATCCGCCACCCGTCCTTTATCGCCAAAGACTTAGGCGGATATACATCTGCCTATACTCCATTCACAAAGTTTAGGTGGTTTTAGGGGAAGAAATCTATCCCCTCCACTCTACACAGCTGAGGTTTCGCCAAAACGCCAATCAGCTGCAACATATACGTATAGTAAAACATTAGTGGGGCACTGCCCCTCAAACCCCCTAAATTTTGTGGACCTACTATAGTAAACATTGTCCATGTTTAGGCCCGATTGATGTTTGATGGAGAGTTTGAAGGACTCAGTGCTATCGCAGCCACCAACACAGTTGCAGTGCCTAAACCCATCAAGGTGTTGGATAATCCTGATGGAGGTGCCTGTTTGGTCATGGAGTTCCTAGAGATGAAAGGGCTCAGAAGATTTTCAGCACACTTGGGCGACAGTTTGGCCAAAATGCACCTCCATAATGAGTCACTGAGAAATTCTAAGGATTCTGGACACGTGAAGGAGTTTGGGTTTCACACACCAACTTGCTGTGGCTACATCCCTCAAGACAATACTTGGAAAGAGGACTGGGTGGTGAGTAACCAGATGAATACAAATAATCACCCTATTATCTGTTAGAATACGTGTTATCTCCATCAGTTCATCTCTCTCCTCTAATATTAACACTAAATAACTTCTTGATCAGCATTGTACGTGTTATTAAATTTACGGAAAGTAAATAAAAGAAACGTCTTATAACACTTAAAACATATATTTATGCTTATACTGTTACTCACAAGATGGTAAATATACAAAAAAGATGGTAAGTGGTGATCGATTTCGATTGGACACTCCAATCATCATCAGACCTAATCATGCATTCGCCTATTAGGTCTGATGATGATTGGAGTGTCCAATCGAAATTGATCACCAATTACCATCTTTTTTGTATAGTTACCGTCTTGAGAGTAACAGTATAAGCGAAAATATATGTTTTAAGTGTTATAAGACGTTTCTTTTATTTCCTTTCCGTAATATTAACACAACATCATCCGCAAATGCCAGTGGTCCTATTTTAGTCACAATGCTTATACCTAGATTTATAATTCTTAAAAATTTCTTTTAAGGCTCGTTCCAGAGCTAAATTAAAGAGCAATGGAGACAGACAATCAATGTGCTCTCTCTTGGGTTGGTGGCGTTATTTGCCTCAGCTCTGATTCCCAGCTCTAATTGACTAGTAATATAATCCCTCTTCTTTTTTCTTCAGATTTTGGTAGTTTCATTTCATATCCTGCTAAACAACATTATACTTTCTTCAGTGGCGTAACAAATTTTTAGGGGCCCCCCTGCAAACTTATTTTTTGGGCCCCCTCTCACGAGTTATTTTTAGACCACCAATACAACATAATCAAACGCCCTCCCCCTCCACCCACAGTTATTTTTAGACCACCGATACCATGATCAAAAAGATTAATCATAAAAAGAGTGGTAGATAAATTATGGGTTATGTTCCATAAAAGGGTGTGTTAAGTATTTCCGTCGTGGTTTGATGAAAATGTTGCATCATTATATCAATATCAGTGTTTGTAAATAGTTTTGAAATCAAATAAAAAAAGCTTATCTTCCATTTGTAGGTATCAGAATGTTTATATCAAGGAGGTTTTACATTTATTTTATCACACGTGTTATCCATATAATTCACTAGCTGTAACCCGCGGGCTTTGCCCCGTTTAACTTCTCAATTTTCAAGATGATCTCGTTCGCATGGCTCAATCACGTCCTGGTTGAAGTTCGTTCGCTACGCTCACTCACCTTTAGGTTGGAGCTCGTTCGCTGCGCTCACTTGCCTTCAGGTTAGCTCGTTCGCTACGCTAACTCGCCTCCAGGTTGAAGTTTGTTCGCTACGCTCACTCACCTTTTGGTTGCAAATTAGCTGTTGTCATAAATGTAAAAGAAATAATAGTGCTGCACCCTGTTGGTAATCCTTGTCACTTTAATGCTATTGAACATCATAGAACAGAACCAACTTGTTTAATTGAAACAGCTGTTAAGATTCATTAATTCCATTTCTCATAAGGTTAACATGGGAAACTCTAGAGCCACTGGGGCGGAGCCGATTGGACGGATCACGAAATTGATGGTGTATAAACCTATTCCATGAAATTCTACACGTATGTACCAAGTTTCGTGGCAATCGGTTCAGCGGTGTCTGAGTTTATCACTGCCAAACAAATATATATATATATATATACAAACATCCTCTTTTATACTTATAGATTAATTACAAGGCAAAAACTATGTGGTTCGAATTACCCTATAAACTATAGGCCCCTTAGTTGTCTTTGGCTGTATTGGCTATTAATTAACAGCTGTGACTAAGGAATATGTCGGCCTTAGTCCCTTTCAAAACTAAAAGGTTGGGCCACTCATCCTACACTCATACCCATAATTCTTGGCTTAAAATACCTACATTGGTATGGTCGCCATTTCAAAGTAAAGTATTAAAGTATTCATTTATTAGGATAGTTTAATCTTTGGTTATAATTAACTCATACACTAAAAGCTAGTTAATTTAATAGATTGACGTACTTTTATCACAGGCTAAATAGCCTATTGATTTATTTGATTTTATCTTTGTATGGATTTCAAGCGTTTAACTTACAACAAATAATGTCTTTAGTATTGGTTAATTGTGAGGTAAAATAAGATATGGGCTAACAAACACAGTCAGTAGAGTAGCAGTATATTGTATTTAACAAAATACAATCAATATCAGGGAAAAACTAAAATATAAAATAATACAATATTAAAATCCCTAGCCAACGTTCATGACTTCAGGCTCCAAAGTAACTTAATGCTTCAAAATGTTTGCAGACGACATAAGCAGTGTACGAAATCACCGAGAAGTAAAATATTTCTTGGTGACAAAAGTAAGATTGTATAATAATCAAAGACCCACGTTACAACACGTTAAATTTGTTACACTAGTTCGTTATCAATGAAGAGGCGTAACGAAATTAAACGATAACTGATAACAACATATTATTAATAAAATCAATGGCATTACTTGTTAAATAAAATTATTGAATGATTGATAACACATTTAGACAAGAATGAACTCCAATTTTTAGGCCCCACTCGTCTCACGGGCCTCTCTGCTCACCGTTTCCCGCTCACCGGTTCGCGGGCCCCCTCAGCTCCCGGGCCCCCGTGCATTGCGGGCCCTGCGGACCCTTCTGTTACGCCACTGACTTTCTTCAGTTTGTGTTTCCAACCACATGTAACGGGTCAAATGTGTAGGGGGTAAAATAACAGCTAAACCACAAAACTTAAACAGCTGAATGTAAGCTTTTGTTGTGCCCTAGTCGCGATGCTAAACTGACATCGTACCTAACCTCAAATTCCAAGACCGCAGACAACGTTGGTGTCAGTTTGGTTGTTTGGTTGTTGGACTGCGTCTGAGGGCGGGCTACGGGAGAAAATAAGAGCAGCTGAGCCACCTTTTGAGTGAGGCGGCTACAAAGCTTGTGGAAGCTGTCATGCGCCTGCCTTCGCCGATACGGGTCTCAGCTGACTTTGGTTCTGCTAGCCAATCAACGGGCGAGTTAACCTATGTCTCAAATCTGGGACGAGGGTGAACGAGAGAAGAAGAAGGATTGTTTTTCTGATTCCCGGCTGAGAGGAATTCGCTCGTTCGTCTTCGTTTTGAAGTCAAGTGATTTGGCTGTGCTTCGTAAATTCGCAAAAGTTATGTTTTAAAGTTAAATATTTGTACATCTTGTGCACGCAAAATCGTTAAGGGAATATTTTTCGTCGTAGGTAAGTTGTGCAATAAACAACTTAGGTTTTCGCATATTATTTCCCCACCAGTTCTGTTTCGACGAAACTTCGCAGAAAGTTTGCAGGCTAGGCCTGATTCGCAGACCTAGTCATACGCCTTAACCAACAATTTGAATAGTTAAGTACTGCAGTTGGTGACATAGTTTTTTTAATTAACGTTTCTTAATCCGTCTTGGGACTTTCTTTTTTAATTTGTAAAACCCTTTTTAAAGTTCCCCAAACGTCCCAAAGTTTGTTCCAGCAGACAGTTTTCTGCTGGACAATTTCTGTCGAAGTTGGTTCAAGTTGCACGTGAGAAAGTTAAAGTTTTAGATTTTCGTTTTCACCTCAAGGCGCAGTTTTATTGTTTTAATTTCAGTTTTTCTCGTTTCGTTTCTCACCTGGACAATTTAAGCCAACTTGTGTTTTTTTTGTTTAATAAATTCGGACTCTGTGGGAATTAGGCTAGGCTAACCCTATCTTGTACTAACCTTGTTTGTTACAGGTTCACGTCTTAACCCCGTAGGTAAGCGGGGTGACTACTTAGCTTACTAGTTGTCTCGTTAAGTTAGCTAGTAGAGTGTCACATAGATATTTGCCCACAGAGTCAAGTTAAAATTATTAATTTTCCTACAAGCCCTAGACTAGAGTGGTGATTTCAAGTGTGGTGTTTGGTAACCCGCAACGTTTGTCTCTAGCTCTGATAACCAGGGCTATACCAAATCACCATCGAATCCTGGGAAAATCCCCGCGACCAGACTTGGGCGATTCCTGGGATCTCGTTTCTCGTATCGGTGGCGTAATTTCCCACCTGTCGCCAGCCAGGAAAATTACGTCACACACATCCTTTTGCTTGATGTCCTTTTTCTATTCTAACCCTACATTCTTTGTCAAACCAAGGTTTTTTCTTTACTGTCCTTTTCTTTCCGTACTCTTCCTTAAGGCCCGTTGTGCAAGAACGCGTCTGTCGCGTCTGACGCTGAGTAATAGACGCTAGCGATGGACGCTCAGTGACTGCTAAACATTGATTTCAATGGGCCCGTTGTCCAAGAGAGCGTCTCTAGCGTCTGACGTGGGGCACTGCTCCAGGAGCAGACAGGATCGCTGAGGACCAGCGTCTATTGCGTCTATTGTATTGTTGTTTCTGTGTTCTGCCGTATACTCCATAATATACAGTATCTTAATGTAATGGCTATAATCAAAAAAATATAGGATATGACCTAAAAAAGTTGCAAGAAAATGTTTTAGGGTTTTATTTTTTAGTGTTGGGTCTGCTGAGTGACATACTAAAGGTTGCCAAAAATCGGTCAATGGGAAACCCCCCTTAAATCATTATAAAAAATGGTAGCTTTTCCCAACATTGAAAAAATAATAAAAAATGATTCCACATGCATTTTTATGCACATTTTCGAGATATTGACCTAAGACCACCACCAGTATTTATTGGGTGGTTAGTACTTCATTTCGATAGGAAACACGTTTATGGCCGCCATCTTGGATCCGCCATATTGGATATACATATTGTTTTTATGTAATGATAGTGTTGTGACACATAATTTACAAAACTAGATTTTCATGCTAATTTCAATGCGGAAATCCGTTTTTATTTTATTTTTTTTTCGTTTTAAAGATATTCAAACTCTCCCCCATACATTTCTTATAGACGTTTCGTACTTTTATCATTTGTTTAAACATTTTTTTAAATATCTCCAGTTCTTATTACCGCTTGCAGTTCGTTTCAACCTTAAAATATTCAGTAATGTAACGGCTTCCATTTGAGCCATCATTAAAATCAGACGAGTTAGAGACAAGCTACGAACAAAAACACAAAATTAAATCTAACTTTTTTAGAAATTTGTTTTTATTAAAATATTTATATCTCGGGTTGTTAATACGGCCCAAGGCCTCTCTGGTGTTAAATTACTCAGTAAATGTTTGGCTTTAATTTGATTAATCACAAAATAAAATCCAACTAATTTAAAATGAGTCATATACCTTAATTTAACATTAAATTATTTTTACTGTATTTCAAAATGTATCTTCAGTTAAAGACATAATATATCCCCAATTAACTCCCAAAACTCTTTATAGTCTAAAATAATTCACCAAAGTATTGACTTTTATTTTAGCTATGGATTACATATTGGGAGTTATTTAGAATAGGGGATATCTGTAGCAAAGAAAATTTTCAAAATAATAATAAATTAATGTTCAATTAAATTATTAGGCCTACAACTTAAACTTTAAAGGATTTAAAGGAACTTAAACTGTTTCCTTTAAAAGTAAAAAAAAAAAATCACTTTACAGCCTCTTGTCTGCATTAAAGTGGTTTTTGATAAGTATTTAAAAATATCCTTCCTCACTTCTATTTTTGAAAACACTGTGGGTACACAATCAAGGTTCACTAAAGGTTCAGAATTTCCTCGTTTTCTATCTCTTCGATGAATAGGATCTTCAACAATTGGCTCTTAACGCTAATTGTGAGAGCAAAATCAATTTTAACACAGTCAGCAACCAACTGTTGAACTGAATAGAAATTGATTGAATAGAATAGATTGTTCTTAGACAACGGGCCTCCAAGCGATCGACGCCCAGCGACCATCGCTCGGCGATCATCGCTCTGCGTCAGACGCAACAGACGCGCCTTGGACAACGCACCTTTAGCTGTTTCTTGTAAAACCTTTTTTTAAAGTTTTCCATCTTTGATTTACACTTGTTTCTACTTCATTATCCTGCTCACTTTCCTCCAACACTTTTTTGAGTTTCAATCTGAATTCTTCACCTTTATTTGTTTTTAATACTTCAACATCATGTCTTTCATAAGATATTTCCAACTTGTTACCATAGATTTCCTTGTTTAACACGCTCACGTTGTTTAACGTTCACTGCTAAAGGAAATTATAAAGTCGAATCGTATTGCTAAAAAACTTTATTGTTGTATAACATTCCTTTTTGTGTCCTTACTAAAATACAATATTATATAATACGATCGGTATTGAATATGACGTCAAAAAGTTACCTCATACTAATGGTCAGTACCGACCCATCAGGAGCCAGAGTCAGAAAAAAAGGAAATGTCACTGAATTAATTATATATGTCAATAAAAATATATGTTCTGAAGATATATGTAGTCATTATCATAAAACAATCAACATAAAATAGCATATCAATTGATTGGAATTGATTATGACTTCATAATGTGACGTCATATACATGGGTCAGTGCTGACCCATCAAGAACCGGAGTAAAAAAAATTGTAATATTTAACAAAGATGAAAGATATAAAAAACCGGATTTTTTTAACCGGAAAGATTTTTTTTAAACCGGAGTAAAAAAAATTGTAATATTTAACAAAGATGAAAGATATAAAAGATTTGAAATGGTAATATTAATGAAATAAAATAGTTTAAAAGTTAATTGAATTGAATATGACGTCATAAAGCACACAGAAGTAGCACAGCGATGGGCGTTCACTGTAAGGTGGTAAGGTGGGTCAGTACCGACCCAGCCACCTTGGCGGGAGCGAGACGCGGGAACCAACTCAACGGTGAACAAAGCAAGTCACACACTGCACGCTAACGTGGTATAGGTCGACCTTCAACCGACGCTAGGCTCGCACTGAGCAACAGATTGATGCACTGCAGTGTGGGTTAGTACTGACCCGGCCGCGTGAACGATGCGACCGCCGTGGGTCAGTACTGACCCACCTGCAGCGAACGTGTTTACTTTTGCTTAAACTAAATAATATCTGACCTTATAGCGTTATTAAATAAAAAGTAACATTAGTTTAGCATTTAAGTAATTTTGTTTGTTATAAGTATCAATCTCTAAATGAATTTTAAATTTACAAGCAATAGGTACTTCACCTTACAATGTCATTCATCTTATCAGCCATTTATCAAGTATGTGGAGTTTGAAGCAAATTAATGTTATCTTAGCAGTTTCATAGGGAAAATTTTTGAATGGATACTTTTTATTTCAGTTATTCTTTGCGCAAAATCGACTTGATCACCAGTTTAGACTGCTGGAAAAAGAAGTAAGTAAAAAGTTCAATTAATTATGAACTACAGTTAAACCTCACTATGTTGATACCCGGTAACTCAACAGTCAACAGCTGACAGGGCGCTCGTCTAGCTGGCTTTGTGTTATACCCCTACCATGTAGCCAATTAGGTAGTATACTTTAATTTAGGATGAATCTAATTTAAGCTGGTAGTAGAAGAGAGATGAATTAAAAGACTAAGTAGGCCAAAGACATATATATTTTATGGTTCTCAAATTTCACAAAATACACTTTCCAAATAAAATAAAATACGCTCTTATTACTTCCAAATATTATACTAAATAATAAAATACTGGAAAGGTCTTACTTTAATCAGAGACACTGGGTTTAATGGTCAGAACTGGCACTAGCAGTTACCATGCAAATAGAAGTGGTACAAAGAAGCTACTGGACCAAGAAGTGGTAGTACCAAGAAGTGGTTGATATCTGTAATTTCTACAGCAACCACATTTAATAGACCATCATTTCCAGTGAACTTAACTGACAAAACTTGAATTTGTTATCTAGATCACTACCAACCTACAAAGTTAAATCTTTTAAAATCTAGGACACTATTTCTTAAGCTTACTCTAGCCAATCTATATATATAATTCCGTAAGTCAAATTTTTGTAAAGAAATTGTGAGTGACTGGATGGCCGTAGAAGGATGGGAGGGGTCTTATTTTAAAGGTCTTGACGTGAATTTTGAGGGAAAACTATTCATTTTTCTTATTTTTTTACCATAAATTCGCAACAGAATAAAACTTTTCCCATTAAAACAACATGGGGTTTAATTTGTTTACATCTTTTGAAATTATAACAGCTGTGCCACAGATTTGAAAACAGTGATCAATACACGCATTTGGTTTACTTTTAGCCAGTCAACTATGAAATGTATACTATAATAAAACTGAAATATTGAAGATTAGTCGGAAAAACGTCTGCATTCTTTGTTTATATTTAAATCATATACTCAAGTTTCATTTTTTCATGCTTTTACGTTATTGTCGTGTTAAAGGAGTAAACGACATAGAATAAATATTCTGTATAAATAATCAAAGAGTCGAAATTAAATCTAACTTCTGTTTTGTTTTTTTTTTAAATCATATGTTCAAGTTTATTTTAAATGATGTTGTTTTCTTTATATTTCTACACATTTTAAGGTTAAGGTTGTGTAAATATATACAACTAAAATAACCTATAAATGTTATTGGTTCTAAAATGGTGTATTTGCATTCCTTCGTAAGTAAATTTTTTTAGTGCAGTGAATATACAACGTAGAGTAATCATATTCGATCATACTTTTATAAAATCACCAGGGAAGATGTTTTGGTATGTAGGCTGCTGGATATATATTCTTTTCATTATAAGTACTGTAATTAATATGAACGCCAGGGGAATACCACAAAGGCGGGGAACAGTTCATAGGAATGACAGTGCGCGTAGGAGAGCAAGAGTAGATAATGACAAACTTAATCAAGATATGTTATAACCCCTTTTTAGGAGACCCATGGTAGACGAGAGAAATGAAACGATCCATGATGCAGGATTATTGGACCAAGAGTGCATTCAATGTAGTGCTCTTCATTTTAGAGAAGAACTAACGAATAATCATTTTATGACATGTTGCCATAACGGACTTATTAACCTTCCTCAGTCAAAAACTAATGTAGAACTTAAAAGTTTGTTTGAAGAGAGCCCACAACTGTATAAATTCATTCGACAATGCAACAGTGCGATGGCTTTTGCTTATTTTTCAGCCAGTAAGAAAGATATTCCAGGAAAAAGGGCCATACTGTTTCAAAATTCAAGGACAGATTTATCGTTCAATCTCAGATTTGCTGCCTCAACATGATGAAGACCCCGTGTATGGCCAATTGTACATTATTGACACATTAACAGCAACAGAAATTCGTCAAAGGCGTCGAGAAAATAGTGACTTAAAACCTGAAATATTGTCAAAACTAGCTGAAATTCTATTAGAAAATCCATTTGCACAAATTTACAAAAGAGCTTCGGAAGAAATGGATGTACAAGGTGACAGTGAATTAGAACTTAGGTTTGTAGACAGGATAAATATGGATCGTCGTAGGTATAATAAGCCTACTGCAGATGAAATTGCAGGCGTCTTCAATTCATCTGAAGGCGAACCTCCAATGAATTTTTAAAATTCCAAACAGGGAAGCTTTTATTTATCCTCATTAACCGCAAGACCAAAGCTACCTTAGTAAACCAGTATTTATTCACAAACAATTATATGTTTGCTGCCTTTTAATGTTAAACCACTGGAGTGATTCAAATTATTTATTGAAAATGACATCAACAAAAGCAAACAAAGAAGAACAACAAACTGGTTTTTACACAAAAGATATGGTGTAGGGATGCCTATTCTGACACATAGATAATGTTATTCTGAGTTTGTTTAAATACCGGTATTGCAAAAAGTTGTTTTACATTTGAGCTTTTTAGGGACTTATGTCCCTACAAGCCACTAGTGATTAAATAATTTAATTTTGTTTAGGTCATTTCAATTTACTTAATTTACCACGGTACAGTGTCTTACTATTGTGTTAGACTTTTCAAGGACGGCTGAAGATTGTTTGTAAGATTCTTTGAGATTGTTTACTCAATATGTACAAATACTCATGAAATTAATAAATTCATAAGTAAAAGTTATTTTAAAAAATAGTTGTTTAGCCTCCGGATTACTGTATTATACTTAAAATGGTTTAAAATACCTGCATATAGTAATCCTTTGTTGCTGATTTAGGCAACTAGTTTCGGTTCTTGTTTTGAACCATCTTCAGGCCTCAAGGTGTCAAGTGATCACTTCATTCGAAGGTCGTTAACAGAGGCCTCGTTAACAGAGGTTCGACACCTTGAGGCCTGAAGATGGTTCAAAACAAGAACCGAAACTAGTTGCCTAAATCAGCAACAAAGGATTACTATATGCAGGTATTTTAAACCATTTTAAGTAAAAGTTAGTCTGTTATGCATTCATTTTATTATCCATTAATAGTTTCAATGTTCTGGATAACTCAGCAACCCCCAAACTCGACAACCTCTGCGTCCACAAACTGCCGAGTTAATGTCAATTTACTGTAGTATGAATTTGTTGTTCTTTATTGTTAGATAACTCATAAAAAAATCTTAAATTTCATTTTATACTAGTTGTTCCAACTTTGTTTAGGATTTGATATAGCAAAATGTTTACATCAAGTTACTTTTCTGTATTAAAGCTTAAAAAGTTACTAATAGATTAAATAGGCCTATTATCATTTATCACTGTAGCAGTCAAGTTCAAGCATTTTTAATTTTCCACCTCATTGACACTTTTTCAAGATTTGGTCCTATCAAAGGTCTTGTTATGAACAATTTTTTACCTCATTTGAAAAATCAATATTGATACTCCATTGGTGGCTGCTCGGTCTAGAATCAGGCCTTCTTTAAATAATATGTAATATCAAATTTGAAGGTGTTTGTACTAGTATAACCTCAGTTAGTTTTTAGATTTTAAATGTGATACCAAAAGCTTTGCATGATCTTGGTTTAAAGCGAAGGCACCATTGAAATAATGAAAAGTGAGTGTTTCTGGGCACAAGTCCTGAAGCAGCATAATTTTGTTGACATCCTCTTCTTTGTAGTTGTAAAAATAAAGTTTTGTTTCCATCCAGTATATAAAGAATTGTTTTTAAGGTTTACTATTCCTTCCCTTTTATATACCCAACTTTCAAATTATTTAAACCCAATTAACTTACAAACTATTGTTTTTTTCTCTGGTGTTTTAACCGAATAGTACATTTAACACATTTAAAAGCTTATTCTTCAAGCCAACGGTTTAGAGAGAAAAAAAGAAATTGTGGACTCTCAGATGCAACAAGTAGAACTTTGGGAATATATTAAAATAGAATAGGAAACTTTTGTATGGTATAGTATATCAAGTGTAGTTATTTCTCAGTATAATGTAATTTTCATCAACATGTGTATAAAGTCTTTGTAACTTTAATCACAGAAAGGTGACAGGGAGGCAAATGAATTGTGGTCCAGACTTCAAATTGTGCTTCCTACCTTCTTTAAGGATTTAGAGATCAAACCCTCTCTGTTGCACGGAGATTTGTGGGGCGGAAACGCTGCTGAAACTAAGACCAATCCAGGTATGTCATTAAAACTGCTTCACTCTGGGCCTATGACAAATCTCAATGTTTGTTTTGTTTAAGGAAAGGCTCTAGGCCAGGATTTTAAATGGTAGAAAAAGGAGGATAGCAGCTAGCTTACCTTGAAAGTGTGGGTAGGCCATAGAACAAGTAGAAAAATATTTTGCACACAATATTTCGTCCCCTAAGGGACTTTGTCAAGTATAGAGAGAGTTTATAAATTACAAGATGGCTGCTGTCATGGCTGATGGCTGTTGTCAACTATGCAGGGTTGCCACATAGTCTCATTAGTCTATTTACAACTATGTACACAACTTTATATATACACACACACATATAATATTTTATATACAAACTAGGCCTATTATGTATTTAGCTAGCTGCTTGGACAGGTTTATCTTAGGTTAAGGTTGGGGGGAGTTCTGGAGTTGGTTATATACTGGAATGCCAGTTCCCACCTTCTTAACATGGAAGGGTTGCATTCATCCTTTGGAAGGGATTTTATTACTTTAGTTGTGAAGCAACTATCAAAGTCCATGTTGTGATTGTTGGCATGGATGGCCACAGGTTTTTCTTTGCCCGTTTTGACATCTTGGCGGTGGCCATTCATTCATTCAGTTGATATATTAGGTTTTCTGTAGTGCAGGTGTGGTGGCCTTTGATTCTGTACTCTGAATTATGAATATTGCTGGAAAAGGTAGTGACTGGCTTATGAATATTGCAAGTCTTACATCTGTTACTGTCACATGGATATGAGCCTTGGGGGAATGGTTCTGGTAGGTTGGTGGAAGGATTAGGTAGTTTCGGTCGGACGAGCATGTTCTTCAGGTTTGGAGGTTGTCTGTACACAAGACGGGGAGGTTCTTTGAAGAGATCTTTTGTTTGGCTGGAGTGTTGTAAAATTTTGAAACCAGAGCTTAGGAGATTGTTTATTTTTGATGATAGGCCAGGGTGGTAGGTTGTGATTAGGTTAACTGATTCAGCGTTCTTTTGCGGTTTAGGTTTCTGGTGTTTGAAATTGTTGGTGGCTGCATTAATTTGGGATTTGACAAGTGCAGGTGGATATCCTCTCTTCTCAAAGGCAGTCTGGAGCTTTTGGTTATAATTATGGGCATCCTCTTCCTTACTGTTGATCCGGAGGCCTCTTAAGGCTAGGCTGTAGGGGAGTGCACGTTTCGTGTTGTTCGGGTGGCAGCTTTCAAAGTGGAGGTACTGTTGGTGGTTAGTGGCTTTTGTGTGAACTGTTGTTGTTATGATCCCGTTGATCGTTTTGACAGATACATCTAAAAAGTTTATGGTAGTACTGTATCAGAAGTTTCCCATGTAAATTTAAGGGGGCTACAGTTATTTAGGTGGTTTAAGAAGAGTTCCAGGTTTTCACGACCATGTGTCCAGATTAAGAATATATCATCGATGTAGCGGAACCAGCATAGAGGTTGAAGCGTTTCGCTTTTCAAGAAGGTTTCTTCAACTTTCCCCATATAGAGATTGGCATATGAGGGGGCCATTCTAGTGCCCATAGCAGTTCCTTTTATTTGTAGGTAGTGTCGGTCTAGAAATTGGAAATTATTCTTTTCTAGGATAAATCTTGTTAGGTTTAGGATGAATGAGGTTGTAGGGAGGGTACCATTAGGCCGTTTCTGTAAGAAATGTTCTATTGCAGATATTCCATGAAGATGAGGAATATTGGTGTATAGGGACGATACATCAACAGAGACCAAGAGAGAATTATTTGGCAGGGGTTGGGGCACATCAGAAAGTTTTTCGAGGAAGTCATTAGTGTCTTTGATAAACGAGGGTAAGGTATGGACTATGGGCTGTAAGAAAGAATCGACATAGGCTGAGATACGCTCTGTAAGTGATCCACATCAAGCAATTATGGGCCTACCTGGTGGTGGAGTTATGTTTTTGTGAATTTTTGGAAGAACATAGATCTTGGGGGTATTTGGGCTATCTGGTATAAGCAGTTCGGCTGTAGCTTGTGAGATGTTGGATTTGGCATGGATTTTGATAAGGTTATGAAGTTCTTCGGTGAATTTGGCAGTAGGGTTTTCATCTAATAGGCGATAAGTGGAGGTATCGGAGAGTTGGTTTTCAATTTCCTGTATGTAGTCTGTTTTATTCAGTATGACTGTTGTGGAACCTTTGTCCGCTGGAAGAATCATGATAGAGTCATTTTCCTTCAGTGATTTAATAGCCTTTCTCTCAGTTGGTTTCAAATTATTATTTGAGTTGTCTGTGACGACTTTAGAAAAAACTTGGACTAGCTACATTCTGGACTAGGAAATTAATATATTGTTCTATTGGGTGGTCTGATGGAAGTGGAGGGGGATCCCAGTCTGAGGGTGGTTGAAATTTGTGTAGAGATGGGTCAGCTTTGTTGAGGTTAGACTTAGTTGCATCGTGAATTTGGCTGGCAAAGTAGTGTTTTAAGCGTAGGTTTCTGGCTAGTGTCATAATATCTTTGATAAATTCAAAGTGGTCGAAGGTTGGAGTGGGGCAGAAGCTTAAGCCTTTTGATAACACATGTTCTTCAATTGTGAATAATTTATGGTTGGATAAGTTGCAGATTTGTTGTTTTATTGATGAGGGATTATCTGCCAGCCAAATTCACGATGCAACTAAGCCTAACCTCAACAAAGCCGACCCATCTCTACACAAATTTCAACCACCCTCAGACTGGGATCCCCCTCCACTTCCATCAGACCACCCAATAGAACATTCAATTAACAAACTAAAGAATGATCTTTACATAAACCATGTTTAACAAAAAATATTTTTCCACTTAAAATACAACGCAATTCTAAAATACCCCCGCCGCAGCAAACCTGCAGACTAAGCGAATTTCCATTTGCCTGATTGGATTTACACTAAAATGTCTCCTTAATCACATTTATTCCCTATTTAAATAGAATCAGTTTAACACACACTTAGGTTTGCTGCAACAGGGAGGGTAAAAGTATTTTTTTATGTAAAATGTTAATAGTTAGTAAGAAATAAACACATTTTCCAAATTTGGGCAAAATATGTTAATAAACAAGAAAACTACAACAGTTTACTTATTCTCCATAAGAATAACATTATGAGAATTTTAAATTAACAATTTTTTGGAATTTTCTCCGTAACCATTAGGCGCATTATAACGCTTCAATATACTAAATTATTTCATTTTTTAAGCTCTACAAAACGTTTTAGAAAGAAATCGCAAAATTTTTTGTTTTTAGGTTCAAAAATGGGAAAAACCCATTTTTACCCCATAAAAGCCCCCATAAACCCCCGTTCCCATGGTCCGATCATGCTGGTTCGCGAACTCATTCGAATAAACGTAGGTTTACACCAAATTTCATCAAAATCGGATAATTTTTGCTTGAGTTATCGCGCTAACGGACACACATATATATATATATAAATATATATAAATAATAAGTATGGTTGTGATTAGGGCTAATGTTATATTGTTTCCAATTATTAATATATATATATGAATTTGAACGGATGGTGTTTTTGGCCTCTAGGGACCTCAAAACGAAAAAAAAATCGGTCCCGGGTCCAGGTCTTACCATGAGTACTACGGTAATAGCTTATTCCCTATATGGGAAATTCGCTAAAAGTAAAATTTGACATGTCGTTTGTTTGAGAAGTTTAAGTTTATGTGTTTTTTACTTATAGAAAACACATTAGTAAAATGAGCTATACACTTATCTCCTGTTTCAGTGATATTTGACCCAGCCACTTTCTACGGACATCATGAGTACGATCTTGCAATAGCTGGAATGTTTGGTGGCTTCAATCGAAGTTTCTATGACGCCTATCACAAAATTATTCCCAAAGCTGCTGGTTTTGAAAATCGCCACAAACTTTATCAATTGTTCCATTACCTCAACCATTGGTGAGTTAAACCAGTGAATAATTGTATAATAAATGAATATTAATGCTCCATCTACAAATAATTTAGGATATTGAATTGTTTTTATAAATTTGAATGCTATTACAGTAGTCTACGCCTTGTTAGGTCACTTAAAGTTGTAAAACTACATATTGTTTTATCATTTTAATGCAATTTTTCTGCATTCTGGGCTAATCCGAACAATTTGATCATCTGATCAGGGTCCTGCCCCAATTAATTTGGATTAGCGATACTCGGTTGTACTTGAAATGATTAATGTACCTGAAGCCTCAAGGAGTACTAATATCACTGTTGTACACCATTCATTATCCTTTAAACTCAGAATACAAATTTAACATCCATTATGAATTTCTTATCACACAGAAAAAAATGGAGTAACAGATTTCAAATATAATAGATAATTCTATTGTTTCAGGAACCATTTTGGTAGCGGCTACAGGGGCAGCACTATCTCTACCATGAAAAGTCTTCTCAAATGATGTCAAATCACAACCCTCAATTTCACGAACTAATCTAATACCAGTTCCAATTTTGAGGTGTTGTGAATTGTGACAAATTGTTTCAGTGGCCACTATTGTACATTTACCCATTCTCTTTACCATGGGAAACAGCTTTGAGCTATTCATTCAATGAAAATGTGCACTACATAACGAGTCTTTCACTGCTGTTAATTGTTTAATATTTGTATCATTTTAGTGGGCTATGCTTTAAAGAGTAATACCTAACATTTGAGTGTCATCTAAAATGACAATATATTTTTAAGTATACATGGATTTTGTATAGTTTACCTACACCATAGCAATCATTTTGTGGGTATACCCTAATTAATTATGAACCAACTAATTACATGTCCTTAACTTTGTTTTTAAACACCATGTGCTTACGGCTGAGGATAGTAGGAGGGTCAGAACTGGCATAGCAACTTTTCCTATACTTGACATTACCGCATGAACCTGGCAAAAATTAGAGGAAATGAATGTGTATAAAATTTTTTTAATTTCTTTTCCTTGTAATATCTTTGAGATATAAAACAGATTGTTAGAAAAATACTCTTCACTGTTACATGCAACATATATTTTACATACCGTAGGTTTTTAAAAGTTTTTATCGTTGATCTTCTTGAATAAGCAAGCCTTTGTCTAGAAAATAACAGACCATATAGTAGGCTTCGTCTCTGAATGCTGTTTGTTATTGGGCTGTTCTATGAGTAAATTTAGTGCATTAATATAACACGCACACAATGCAAATATCAAATATCCCATAAAGCTCATGTCTATACTTAAACTAAATTAAGAGTTAGCTTAACAATCGATACACAATAAGTATTGTGATGAGTAAAGAGTTATAGTAATCATAAAAATTATCTGTGTTTATTTGAACTTTATAATGATTGTCTCAATTGCTTGGGTTTCTTTAGATCAGTTTTCTCACTGAATGATTCCTGTGTAAAGTACTTACAGTAGAAACCTACTTATCGGACCTCAGCTAGTCTGACTACTTGCTTAATCTGACTGTGCCATCGCCTATTGGTGAAATGTCATTGCAGTTGTATTGTGACTATCCTGTAAATCGGATACCTCTCGAACACAGGGAACATCATCATCGTCTCACATGATCACGGTAACTTTATTGCTGTTATCTGCGATTGTGGCAGACTCCAGAATATCTCCTGTAGTGACTACATTATCTTTTGCGATCATAGAAAATTATTTATTGTCGGAAACATCATCATTTATTCCCAGAGCATGACAAAATATTGAAGGTCTCTCTTGACCACAGGATTGTCCATGATCACGGAAAAATCCTAGACAAATCTCACAGTAATCCTGAAAATGCTGCTCCCCGGATAATTAAACCCTTTTACTGTTCCTGATACGTCCCATATACTTCCCATACTACTTCCCATGATACTTCCCAGTCACGTAGGTGACGGATAAATGAGGTTGTACTATACTTTAAAATTGTCAATTTAAATTTGTACTTTTTATTGATGCTGCATTTAATTAAAGATGTCCTGTTAGTAGCTTTATTTCACTTTTTAATGGCTAGTTTTGAGTTTTTGCAGGGAAATATATGAGCTTAATATTACTACTAGCTTCTATAAAATTAGATAAGGTTTTAAGAGTATTGTAATTTTGGTTTTTGTAGTTAGCTTGACAGATCTAAAGCTGATGATTTGCAGTTGTGTACGATGTCAATAAAAGCCTATATAAATATATATATTATAATTTTGGCAGTGAGGAAAATCCAAGGTTAATACATAATAATCAAACTATTTCAAGAACATAGTAATGTGAAATAAACTTACTTGTGTAAATTGGAGACAGGTTTTGTTTATCTGCATTTAAATATACAAATGTAAAAACAAGTACTAGCTTGCCCTATAATAAACTCTAATAGCACTTCTAAACAGCATAAAAATAATTAACTGTCTAAGTAAAAAATAGAGATTGCCAAGTTTCAAAAAATATTGTTTGTATCTGTAGAAGAGATAAGGAGCTAATTTTTACAGAAAAAATGTACGTATTCAAATGCCTCCATTTGTGGTTGATATCAATGCAAATTAAAGAAACTAACTTATTATTTTTCAAGGAAAAGTATAGAATAGCTAAAGGTCTGTCAACACTAAACGCTTGTTTGCCTTTTAAAGAGCTATTCAGCATTTTTGTTAGTATCATAGCCACATTTTTATGGTGTCTTACATTCTATTATATGCAACCTAGACTAATAGATACCTTTAACAATCATGAACTCCCCTTATTTGTACATTTTAAAATGAATATTTATTTTTAAAACCTGTCTAGTTTTGTATTTTTTTTTTATATGTTGAGTTGGTGATATTTTAATGCTGTGATATTTTACTTTAACTTAAATGACAGTTTACTGTACATGAGTACTATTAATGAGGTACGCAGACTTTGTTTATTTTGTTGTTACCAGTATATTAAGTTTTATTGTTGTTCTTAAATATAACATATAACTTAATAAAGTAGGACTAAGTTTGTTTTTTGTTCCTCCTTCAGAAATTGTCACGTGACCCATAGATTTGGGGGGGGGGGGGGCACAACCAGAACACCATCCTACCGGAGGGTTTAAAATACCCCCATATTACTTGGTATAAATAACTTGTGAGTAGAGGTGCCACATTAGAAAGTAGAAAGAATGTATTTTTATTTGGATTTTTACTGTTGGTGCGTTACAAAAATTTACAATTTTGTCATGTGTGGGGGGGGGGGGCACATGCCTCCCTGTGGTATATGGTCCCATTTCTCAGGTATTCTGGTGCCTATCCAGTTGCTAAGTATAATGTCTACTAAAAGGACTACAGTACTTATATTTAATATTTGTATTCTGGGAGTAGTAGCGCATCAACTATCTGACATGAAAACTTCTTCAAGTTTTTCTTCAGTAAGAGATTACATTAAGTCCAGACCATGAGACTGGATCACCCACTTTATCCCTTAATAAGAATACCCCCACACAAAACCTGCAGACCAAGTGAATGTCCATTTACCTGAATGGATATTTACTATAATATTCCCTTAAAAAAATTTCAGGTTAATTTCCTATTTAAATAACATTCATTTTAAAAGAGCACTTAGACTTCCTGCTATAGGAAAGGTAATAAACTGTTTTTTATATTTTTTTTATTGAAATGTTAATAAAATTAATAGCGTAGTATATTAAACAAATTTGCCAAATTCCATCAAATATGTCCCTAAAAAGCAAATTACATCAATTTATTTGTTCTCCTTGAACAACATGACAATTTTATATTTAAAGTTTTTTTTCTGTAACACCGTTATCTGTAATCATTGATTTCTTTTTTGTGATCTTTACATGTACAACAACTTCAATACTATTTTTTTTGTTAACCCTACGAAATAGTTTGGAAAGAAAGTTTGAAACTTAGTATTTTGAGAGTAAATAATGGGAATAACCAATTTTTTAACCCATGAAACCCCGTTCCTATAGTAGGATCATGTTGGTTGGCAAACGCAAACCCATTTGAATAGATGTAGATTTACACGTTCCTACACAATGTAATCGAAATCTGACAGTTTTAACCTGGTTTATCGTGCTAACAGACACATATGTATATTTGAAGTGAATAGATGGTGTTTTTGACCTTTTTGACAGAAAGTAAATCGGTCCTGGGTCTAGGTCTTACTACGGTAACTGCCTTATGGAAAATTTGCTATAAATCATAAATGTTTATTTACCATGGATCAATTTACATGAAATAGCTTCCTCATACAATGTAGTCTGTACTAAGTACAATGTAGCTCTTAATACTGAAGAAAAGAAAAGTACAGATATTTGATAATCAAAAACTCTTACAATACTAAACAATAACAATTAACAAAAAAAAATTGTAATATGGATCATAAAAGTAACTTAGTTGCAGATTTTGGTTCAGTATGACAATTTCTATTGTAATTAATTACATCACAGCTCACAAGTATGTTGTCTTAAAAATTCAATTTTTAAATTGTGAACATATACTTATCAATTATATATTGTCATAATTCTGACATTACTTTGTAAGATAAAAAAGTATCAATCAGTTACTAGAGATAAGAGAATAGTTTCATATATGTATTGTTCTAAATCTACAAATAATAGTCAAATCTGTGTAATATTTTTACTCGATTCAATGGAAAATAACATTAAATGTGAACTAGGCACAACAACACTGTCTCCAATAGGCACTCCAAAAGAGGGCACTATAAGTCATGGTCAAGCCTATCAGACAGATTTTGGACCCATCTTTGTTAAATGCAACAGTAGCCCACAGGTACTGTGTGTTGTATTTTTCAGTCAATAATTTAGAATTAAATAAAGAAATTTAACAAACTGATACCCAACAATTCACTCAACTTAAGTTAAACATAAATTGGATGGTTTTAATCTTCTCTAAAATGGCTGCAATAAATGTAATTTTATTTTGTAATTTATAGAAGCTATTGTAGAAAAAAGTAAATTAAATAATGTTTGACACCCTGCCAAAAAGCGGAGTGTAAGTTATATAACAATTTTATGTTGGTTGATTAAAATGTTTTGTATTATATTAATATTAAATGTATTAATATAAAAACAGTTCCATTTACTAAATATTGTAGAGTGGGACCACTCAGTCGCTCATTGACTCTGAATAAAAGTGAAACGTTCAGCAACTCTTTAGCACATTAGTCATACAACGATGTTAACTTGCGTGACTATTTTATTTAAAAGTTCCCTTACTACTTAACACAATGAGATGTTCAAGGCCCGATTGATGTTTGATGGAGAGTTTGAAGGACTCGGTGCCATCGCAGCCACCAACACAGTTGTAGTGCCTAAACCCATCAAAGTGTTGGACAACCCTGATGGAGGAGCCTGCTTGGTCACCAGCCACATGGATATGAAAAGTCAGTTTTCACCGTAATATCAGAGACACAGAACAAGTTTGATATATTAAGTTTGAAAAATAATTATGTTAAATATTTAAGTGTTAATTAAGGTCTCGCCAGATAATTATTTTGATTATTTAGATATCACTTATATACCACAAAGAACAACGTGGAAGTAAAATCTGAGCAGGGAATGTTTGACAATGTACAGAACAGAACTTTTCTTTTATCATATACTTAGTATACTAAAACTACTTGGAGTCTACACTTTGCATGCTATTGTAAAATATAAAGCCTTTTCTAATTTGAATGAAAATTTAACTACGCCTGTACTAATAAAAACCAACACATGTTAACCAAGTTTCATAGCAGAGGTTATTTCTTAATTCTTAGGGTAAAACTACACATACAGCAATTGGGAGTGGAGATTTAGAGTTGTTTTGAATCTTGAAATAATTACCAGAAATGATAAAATAATTATTTCACAAACAGATTAGTAGGCTTCTTTATTTATTCCAAAGTCTTAACTCAACCTTTTTAACAATTAAATTAATTCAATACAAAATATTTAACATGTGGTAAAACAAAACACAGTAGTTTAGAAAAAATACAACAGTCAGATCAAAAGGAAAATCAATGAAGTGAAAACATATTCAATAAAGTTCACAACATCCTCCCCCCATTTAAAATTGCTAAAAAATTATGTGCAATTTTAAATCAGTAAAATCGCTGGTGCACTTTTACTTCTCTTCCACATCTGGTTTTCTTCTTAGCGAAATCAAAGACTTCGTTTTCAACTACTTCTTCTTCTTCAAGTGGTTTATTTTCTTTCATACACTCTTTTTCACAAGCTGTGATTTCTAATGGAAAAAGTCTTTGTAGTGGTCTTGTCAAAATACCATTTCCAGTTTTTAGTCTTGCGACTCTGGAGAATACATCTCTTCCTGGATATACATCTTGTACCAACCCCAAAGGCCGGCCATCTTATTCGTTTTGTGTTATCATCTATCAATACAACTTCTCCAATAATGGGTTCTCTACTTTTCTTGTTTTTTCCATTGTGATATTGAGCCAAATATTCTTTCTTAAACCTGTCTCTTAGTGATCTTCTTAATTTGTTTATATAACGCACTCTTTTATTCAAACTTAGACACTCAATTTCATCCAAATCTGGTAATTCAGCTGTTGATGTTGGTTGTAAGAATAAGGCTGGAGTTAATGGTTGTAAACAGTCATCATCATTTGAAAGATAAGTCAAAGGTCTTGAATTTACAGTTGCTTCACAATCACACAAAATTGTTGAGAGTTCTTCCTGTGTGACTGATGAATTTCCCAAGTTTCGTCGTAAAATTTCCTTTACCACTCCAATAAGTCGCTTCTCGGCTGTAACTTTGTTGTCCATAAGCTCTGGATGGCCTTCAATCCATAGAAGAGTCACCTCGTACCTATTTTCACTATTTACTACAATAGTTTTGTTAAAATGCTCCAAAACATCTGATGCATTCGCCTCCTTTGTTTTACTACCTGATGGATCAGTGATGCCCAAAACATCTAAACGCCATAGATCTGAAATGTCCATTTTAGCAAAGCAACTAATACTAATAAGTGACTGATAACTTTTTCCACATTGTCCCATTACTGTCCATCCTAACACAGTCTGAACAGCAACCAGAGTTTGATCTAGCTGTTCAATTTTACCTGTGAGAAGTTGGCCCAAGATATCAGCTCCTAGTAGTAACTGTATTTCTTCTGCTGCATCTTGTCCAAAATCTGAAAGGTATATATTCTTCTTCTTTAAAATGGGAAAATACCTTTTTGTATCTAATCTGGGTATGTAATTGCAAATCTTGTCTTGATCAAGCACATTAACTGAAATGCCGAATTTACCCTTTGTGTCACGTAACTCTACTTGGTAAAGATTATGTGGAGTCTCTTTAGTTTTAATACCTCCAAACAAACCATGAACTATTGATTCCTCACCAGATTCTATTAATTTAAGTTTCTCTACACAGTCCTTTGAGATATAAGACCTTTGAGATCCAGAATCCAACAATGCTCTTACTAGTAAAGATTGCTGGTCAGGTCCTATTACTTTTACCAGAAGAGTTTGTAATAAGGTTTCCTTATTTTGATTTGCAATCAAGGACTCAGATTTGTCATTAATTTGCACACTTTCAATGACATTTGATTTGTTAGAATCATTTTCATGAGTATTTCTGTGCACCATTTTCTCTAAACTAGGACACATTAAGCAGTAGTGTTTCCTTTTACAGATAGCACAGGATACAAAAACTTTACATTTATTACTGCTGTGACCTAACTTTAAACATGAAAAACAAGCTCCCTTTTTTGTCACAAACTCTCTCTTTTCTTTTAAAGTAAGCTTTTGTAACCCAGAACAGTCTTGAGTGTTGTGATTTCCTTTATTACAAAATAAGCATGTAGGCTTACTCACCACTGAAGAGCTGTCTGTAGCAATTATTGTAGATGCTGTAGGTAAAGGTAGTCCTTTCTCAAACCCACTTTTCATACCAGGACGTTGGTGACGGTATCTCTTCTGTGGCTGGGTGTCACTTGGTGTAGTGTCTCTGTCCACTGCAAAACTGTTCCGAGCAAGAGCCAAACGTTCTTCGCTTTCGACCTCGGAACGGACAAAATTTAACAATAGCTGTAAATAATTTGAATTAGATGACTCGCTACCTTTAAATTCACCTAAGCCTATTTTGTTTGTTGTTCTGTACCGCTCCCATGCTCTGAGAGTATCAGTTGGTAGAGCAGATTCAACCAGTGGGTATAGCATGGCAGCATACTTATCTGATGTGACCCCGAGTGTTTCTAGGGCACGAAGTTGAGTCTCAAGTTTATCAGAAAGGGTTGAAAGTGGCATGATACTTTGTTTGTTGGCTTGTTTCAAAACTAAATTTAGTAATTCTCTTACATAAACTTCAACCAAAAGTTCATCACGTGCAAACCTGGATTTCAATTGTTCAATAGCCTTGATGTAATTTTCACCAGAAGGAGGAAAAGAATCTATTAATTCCCTAGCTGATGAACCATGTTTCAAGGATTGAATTAAATATTGAAATTTGTCTTCAGGTTTAATTTCACTATCTTCATGAATCTTTTTGTACTGACCCCAAAACCTTCAAGATAATTGCAATTTAGGCAAATGAAAGTTACGGTTTGGTCTGTAAATGTTTGACACACCATTGTTGGTAGGTGTTTTAAGAAACATTTCATACTTAGCCTTCATCAGGTACCATTTCTTCTTGTATTCTTCTTGTGTGTCCAGTTCATTGTCCAGATCAGCATCAGAAGCATCTTTCATCAGCATTTCATCAGAGATTTTTCCATCCATTGCCATTAATGCTGTTATTTTGTCTTCAATTTGAGAAAAGTTTACTTTTATTTGAGTTTCTTTATCATTTATTGACAGGTCTTCATTATTAAATGCTTCTTCCAGTTCATTATAAACCTTGGTGAATAGCCTTCTAATCTGTGATCTTTTCTTTTTCATATTTTCTTGGCCTTCCATATTGTTATAAACTATTAAACAACCCAGATGTCTTAAATTAAAGAAAATGTCCTGTCACGGTCGCCAAAATGTTTTGAATCTTGAAATAATTACCAGAAATGTACGGTGCAATTAGACCTAAACCGGGACATCCAAAAAAAAAGTTTCAAACCAGTGCCAAATTGTTGAGTACACTTCCCTCAATATGTAAAAAAAAGTTACACTGATTTGAGTGTCGGGTTTGGGGGGGAAGGGGTGAAAATGGGGTGAAAAAAGGACTTTTTTTCTTTTTCGCAAATACCTCAAAAACGGTGAGTTTTTCTTAAAATATAATGAATTACAAAAATAATCTACATTAAATTTCGAACAAAATGATACCATACAATACCTATCTACTATGAACCGTTCAGGTAATATTGAGGGGTAAATGTGATTTTTTTCTTAAAATTCTAAAAAAGTTGTTTTTAAATGGAGGAAACCCATGGACACCCATAAAAAAAGTTTCTAATGAGTGCCAAATTGTTCAATAAACCTCCCTTAATATGTATAAAAAAGTTACACGGATTTGAGTGTCGGATTTGGGAAGGAGGGTTAAAAGAAAAGGGGGGGGGAATGGGACTTTTTTTGCTATTTTCCAAATATCTCGAAAACGGTGCGTTTTTCTTAAAATATAATGAATTACAAAAATAATCTATATTAAATTTCGAACAAAATGATACCATACAATACCTATCTACTATGAACCGTTCAGGTAATATTGAGGGGTAAATGTGATTTTTTTCTTAAAATTCTAAAAAAGTTGTTTTTTAAATGGAGGAAACCCATGGACACCCATAAAAAAAGTATCTAATGAGTGCCAAATTGTTCAATAAACCTCTCTTAATATGTATAAAAAAGTTACACGGATTTGAGTGTCGGATTTGGGAAGGAGGGTTAAAAGAAAAGGGGGGGGGAATGGGACTTTTTTGCTATTTTCCAAATATCTCGAAAACGGTGCGTTTTTCTTACAATATAATGAATTACAAAAATAATCTATATTAAATTTCAAACAAGATGATGCCATACAATACCTATCTACTATGAACGGTTCAGGTAATATTGAGGGGTAAATGTGATTTTTTTCTTAAAATTCTAAAAAAAAGTTGTTTTTTATCTGGAGGAAACCCATGGACACCCATAAAAAAAGTTTCTAACAAGTGCCAAATTGTTCAATAACCCTCCCTTAATATGTGTAAAAAAGTTACACTGATTTTCGTGCCAGTCTTGGGTAGGAGGGTGTGAAAATGGGGTTGGGAATTTTATTCATAAGTAATTTTGTAAATTTTGTTAAGTAACACTTTTTATTTTCCATTTTATCACAAATATAACTACAATATATAAATAAATATGACTTACCTACCTAAAAAAGACAAACCTACCTAGATACGGGAACACGGTGAACTTTCTACCGTTTGAATTCTTAAGAAGATGGAATAAAAAATAACTGAAGTTACAACGATTTTTATTAGTTGTAAAATTATTGTGATTAAGGCTACGCTATTCAGGGTTGCCTCATTTTGCAAATAAAAATCGTAATATTTATTTATTTTTTATTATTTTAAAAGCTAAATAAAAGTGTTACAGACATTTTTTCATAAAATTAGCCATTTCTAGCAATTTCAATTTTAAAAAACTAAATGGCCGCCATTTTAAAATTTTTATTGGATTAAGATATTTTTTTTCTAACGTGGGTCTATTTTACCTCAACATACATACCAAGTTTGTTAATGATCGGTTAAAAAATTCAGAGATGAAATAATGTTTTTGTGAAAAAAACAAAATGGCAAATATCTGGTTAACGAAGCGATTTTGGAAAAAAATACTCTTGATTTTCTTTTTATTTTCACCCATAGAACCATTTCCTGGGGGTTGGCTGTTTACTTACAGGACTCCCTGTATACAGGATGTCTCACCTAAAGTGAACCAATAGCTAACTTTTTTATCATGGGTTATACAGTTAGTTGACTTCTTATGGGACACTCCCCTTTATTTTTTTAGATGATTTGGAATGGTTCCCAATTTTAAAAATATGTTCGCCATTTTCCAATATGGCCGACAACTTTGTTATTTTTTTATGGAACACCCTGTAGTTTATGATTGTTTTAGTATATAAATCCAATTTAAAAACATTTTTAATTTTGTCATTTTCTCTTAAAAGCTACTCGTTTAGGAGTCACAGCATGTTACACTTATGGAAAAAGGCTTGTTGTGTACATTCCGCATCCTGTAGCTCATAAACGAGTAAGTTAATAGAGAAAATGCAAAGAACAAAAACTTTTTTATGGGTATCCATGGTTTTCCTGCATTTAAAAAACAACTTTTTAGAATTAAAAAGAAAAATCACATTTACCCCTCAATATCTCCTAACACGTTCATGGTAGATAGGTATTGTATGGCATCATCTTGTTTGAAATTTAATATAGATTATTTTTGTAATTCATTATATTTTAAGAAAAACGCACCGTTTTCGAGATATTTGAAAAATAGCAAAAAAATTCCCATTCCCCCCCCTTTTCTTTTAACCCTCCTTCCCAAATCCGACACTCAAATCCGTGTAACTTTTTTATATATATTAAGGGAGGTTAATTGAAGAATTTGGCACTCATTAGAAACTTTTTTTATGGGTGTCCATGGGTTTCCTCCATTTAAAAAACAACTTTTTTTAGAATTTTAAGAAAAAAATCACATTTACCCCTCAATATTACCTGAACGGTTCATAGTAGATAGGTATTGTATAGTATCATTTTGTTCGAAATTTAATGTAGATTATATTTGTAATTTGTTATATTTAGAGAAAAACGCACCGTTTTTGAGGTATTTGCAAAAAAGTAAAAAAAGTCCCATCCACCCCCCCTTTTCTTTTAACCCTCCTTCCCAAATCCGACACTCAAATCCGTGTAACCTTTTTATACATATCAAGGGAGGTTTATTGAACAATTTGGCACTGATTAGAAACTTTTTTTATAGGTGTCCATGGGTTTCCTCCATTTAAAAAACAACTTTTTTAAAATTTTAAGAAAAAAATCACATTTACCCCTCAATATTACCTGAACGGTTCATAGTAGATAGGTATTGTATGGTATCATTTTGTTCGAAATTTAATGTAGATTATTTTTGTATTTCATTATATTTTAAGAAAAACGCACCGTTTTTGAGGTATTTGCGAAAAAGAAAAAAAAGTCCTTTTTTCACCCCATTTTCACCCCCTCCCCCCCAAACCCGACACTCAAATCAGTGTAACTTTTTTTTACATATTGAGGGAAGTGTACTCAACAATTTGGCACTGGTTTGAAACTTTTTTTTTGGATGTCCCGGTTTGCTCTTTTTTTAAGCTAATTGCACTGTACTAAAAATAATTATTTCACAAACAGATTAGTAGGCTTCTTTATTTATTCCAAAGTCTTAACTCAACCTTTTTAACAATTAAATTAATTCAATACAAAATATTTAACATGTGGTAAAACAAAACACAGTAGTTTAGAAAAAATACAACAGTCAGATCAAAAGGAAAATCAATGAAGTGAAAACATATTCAATAAAGTTCACAACAAGAGTGATAAAATCAAACCCATACAATCAAGTATACTAACGCACACACAAACAGCTGTTGTAAGCGTAGCGGTTAACTTTGGAACAATCTTGTTTGTTTTTTCGAGCGTTTGGGAGCAGAAAAAGCAATGACATAGTCGTGAGTCAGTCTGCACAAGTCGCTGTGTGAAGGTCTTTTTCATATATATGTATATATTATGCTGTCACATCATTGTAACTACTTTTGATGATTAATTTAGATTTAATTCAGATGGGTTTTGGGTGTGGCTGAATAGGTTTTAAATAAACAGGAACCTGTTTTATTGATATACACATTTTAATAGTTCAATGAGCAATTCAATACAAGGATTTCTAACATTATGAGCTGATAGGCATTCACATGTATTGCACAAATTGTGATTCATGCTTCTTTAACAACTAAAAACAAATGGTGATATTCACCATATGCATCTCCCTTCCTTTCACTTCATGCACCCACTTCACTTGAAGCACTCAAAATTAATTACACGTTTACGCTGTGCAGCAAATTGTGTCCGAACTTACTGACATCTTGGAACTAATCAAGCTCCCGCTCCTGTTCGTGCGCTCCGCTACAGATCGCTATGGATTGCCCACCCACTCCACTCCCAATCGCTGTATGTGTGTTTACTGTTTTTAAGAAGAACTACCCACATGTCATAATAAAGGATTTATATATTTTTAAGTGTTAAACAAACATTCAGCAGAACTTGGGGACAGAATGGCTAGACTTCATCTACACAACAAAGTTCTCAGAGATGCAAATGACCCAAGACATTTGACCACGTTTGGTTTTCACAAAACCACATTTCACCGTTTAACTCCTCAAGATAATACTTGGAAAAATGACTGGGTGGTAAGTCCTATTATACTTATCTTAATCTATATACGGTAACATTTTGTAACTGTTTGGATATTATGTTTGGTTTCTGGCTTTAGCTATGAAAAGAAAAAACAACTGTAAAAAATATTCAATTCATTGCCAGTATATTTGCTTAGTGATCTTTTAAATTTCACTTACTTTACATGTTTTAATATCCCAGCCGCAGCAAACCTGCAGACTAAGCGAATTTCAACTTGTTGGATTACATTTTCATTAAAATATTTCCATAAATAAGACATATTTATTCCCTATTTAAATAACATTAGATTTAACAAGTGCTTAGGTTTGCTGCTACGGGGAAGGTAAAAAGTCTTTTTTGACCATACGTCAATAGTATAGGATGAAATAAATAAATTCGCCAAATGTTATCAATTTATATCCATTAACAAGTAAACTACAACAATTTTCATTTTCTCCATAAGAATAGCATGGGAATTTTAAATTACACTATTTTTAAATTTTCTCCGTGACTGTAAGGCATACAACAGTGCTTCAATATACTAAATAATTTTTTTTTAAGCTCTACAAAACTGTTTAAAAAGAAATTGCAAAATTTTTTGTTTTTAGGGTCAAAAATGGGTAAACTCCATTTTTACCCCATAAAACCCCCCATAAACCCCTGTTCCCATGGTCGGATTAAACAAAATACTCAAAATAGAGGTCTCTATCTCAATCCAGTAAAAAATGGCAGCCAATTGAAATTCTCAGAAGTTAAATTTAACTTACGGCTTTCCAGGTCTGGAGACCCCCTGTAAATTTTGTAAAGGCTCACACTAGGAAAACTAACTCTACACACCTTTTTGGCATGTTATGAAGTACTGTTTAAGCCTAATAGCCACTTGGTTCCCAAACCCAAAATGGGGGATTTTGGGGGAAACTCAAAAATTTTACACGTTAAGCCCCATCGAGTGACCCCTCATTTTGAAGGTCATAATAAAAGCAAACTAACAACACAAACTAGAGGCCTCTATCTTAACACAGTAAAAAATTGCAGCAAATTGAATATAAAATTGTAAGTTATTTCTGATTTCCAAAGATTTCAATCAGCTTCCATCTTTTACTGGATTGAGATAGAAACCTCTAAGTTGCGTTGTTAGTTTTCTTTTACCAGGACCTTCAAAATGAGGGGTCACTTGATTGGTCTTTCTATTTGAAATTCTTTAGTTTCCCCCAAAATCCCCCATTTTGAAGATGTACACCAAGTGGCAGTTATGCCCAAAAAGTACTTCATAACATGCCATAAAGGTGTGCCGAGTTTAGTTTTTCTAGTATGGGCCGTTAAAAAATAACAGGGGGTCTCCACACTTTTTACTAACCCTGTGTTCAGTAATCTTCCTTTATGTTTTTGTGTTATGTATATTTCATAATCTTTGGCTCAATTAATTTCTTAAATGGTTTGCTTTCAAACATATGTTCATGAAATTAAATTATTTCCCTATGATTATATTGGTGACATAATGTGTTGTACATGAATGTAAATAAAACAGTTCTTGTTCTTTTGTAACCATTAAAAGTGTGTTCATTTTTCTTTCTCTCATATTCATTAATCTCAATATCTCCATATCTCTACATATTATCCCTCTGGTCCTTCGAACTAAATATCATTAAACCCCTTTCTCAATTATTCTCTCTAACAATTCCCTAATATTTAATTTCATTATCAACAAGCCTACATCGAATCAATAATTAGGTATGGAATAGTACTTTGGGGATGTCAGCCCCAATAGCGAGCTACGTCGACTCTCGTTGTAAAGCAGGACATCCCTGCACGTTCTTTGCTATTCGTCAGACCGAAATTGGAAAGCCAATCACACGTGGCAATCGGGTTTGTTCGACGCTGAGGGCTGCGCCGCACTGGGGATACGCCCGCCATTTGACGTGCCGCAGCGAACGTGTTAAAGCATGCAAGTCTAAAGCTTCTTGCTTCAAGTAAACTTCCTTTATCTTTTTATGTTATGTATATTTCATAATCTTTGGCTCAATTAATTTATTTAATGTTTTGCTTTCAAACATTTGTTCATGAAATTAAATTATTTCCCTATGATTATATTGGTGACATATGTTGTACATGAATGTAAATAAAACAGTTCTTGTTCTTTTGTAACCACTAGTGTCCCTGTTGCTCGAATTCGAGCAATTGCTAAGTATTACAGGCGTTATTTTAAAACGAATAACAGTCATAATTTCTGATGACTTTAAAAGATTCGACTCAAAGATTTTGGAAATACTCATGATGTATATAAAACATCGATATAATCACAATTTCTTGTAAATATCTTATCATTTTTCAAAAGCTGATCTTGTTTTTTAGTGTTTTCTACAAATAGCCTTACTCATAGCTGCATTAGGTTGTCCACAATAACGATTATAAATAAAATAAACGGTATCAGCATTCTGACACATACTTTTTCCCATAAGTTTGTCAACAACCTTTATCATGTGTAGGTGAGAGTAAATATATGGAAATGGGATTAGTACAATTTTGTTCAGAATTTAAAGGACTACATACTAAATTTTTATCAAAATCGTTCGGGCCATTTTTGTGAAAATCAGATTTTTCCGTTATTTTATGGGGTTTTTATGGGAAAATAACATAATTTACAATAACTTTTGAACCGTAATTTTTACAGAAATGGGATTTGTACAATTTTGTTCAGAATTTAAAGGGCTACAACATACTAAATTTTTATCAAAATCGTTCGGGCCGTTTTTGGGAAAATCCGATTTTTCCGGTTTTTTATGGGTTTTAATGGAAAAATCCCCATTAAAAATCAAAATTTCAAATAAATGAAAAAAACTCCTGGAGATACCATGTATTAGAACCTACATGCCAAATTTCATCGAAATCGGACCACAGGTGTAGTCCCTAGGTCTGTACACATCCAGACACACACACACACACACACACACACACACCGACATCACTTCGAAAACCACTTTTTTGGGTCCAGGGGGACCCAAAACGAATATATCCACTCAAAACTCAAACTCGAAAATTTTGACGAAAACAATACTTTCTCCATATACTATGGTATAAGGGGAGAAAGTAAAAAAAACAATATTTCTATTTCTTGTTCTATGACTTTCCTATGTTTCCATAGTTTGCAAATCGGCTCTTTCAATGATTACCTACTAAGAAATGCAGCACAGTGTTAATTCAGTTTTCTTTTTAGTATATCAATTTATCCAGGCTCTCTCGCTTTATTCCATTGTAATATTTACGCCAACCAAAATTCAAATAGTAAACATTTCATTTAAACCAAGTCAGTAAATGTTTGTAGCAAACTTTTAAATTAGCAATCTTATTGACTGTATACAATTAACATATGTTCTTCTTCTCACCTTTAATTTCTGACAACAGCTGGAGTTTCATAACAATTTTTGTTTCCCTTGTTAATCTCATGGAGAAATACGAAACTTTAAAGGGCCCCAGGGCCTCACTCTCTAATTATTTCCCTAAAAAGAAAGTTTCCTGTACAACTTCACGTTACGCTCTTTCCAATGAGACCAAAAATGTGTCAATCGGCTCAGTAGTTTCCTGACAAAGTGGACCATCCGTTCAAATTCATATATTTATATATATACAGGGTGAACGATTTGTTGATAATTAAATTAAATATTAGGGAATTGTTAGAGAGAATAATTGAGAAAGGGGTTTAATGATAATTAGTTCTAAGGACCAGAGGGATAATATGTAGAGATATGGAGATATTGAGATTAATGAATATGAGAGAGAGAAAAATGAACACACTTTTAATCTATACTTATTTAATACGCAAGCAGGATTTTTGTGACAATTACTCCTCCGAAACATTTATACTTTGCCGTACGGTTTTATACTTTGTCGTACGGTTTATACTTTGCCGCACATCAGGATTCCAATGAAACAACACAAAAAAGCGTGGTTCTATTATGCACGTAATCCGAGTACGCTTGGAAATAGGTTGGCAACACTTAAAGATAATAATACTAAGAGCAGCTGATTGACTATTATAACTACAATTTAACCTGTTATTTCGTGTTTATAGTTTCGGTATTTCTGAACTTTCTGGACTTTTCTTTTAAACGTTTTTAAAACATTCCTACGATCTTAATAAACAAGAAAATACCTTTAAAGCATTTTTTTTAGGCGCGGAAACCACTTCAAATTACTAAAAACATACGGAACTATATTCTCAAAACGCGGAGCACATTTCTTGCCGAGGAAAAATAGCGGAGTGATACGGACCGGGTACTACTTTCTCTAGGGCACCTATTTGTGTTGCCTGCTGAACCTAAAAACGTGTTGTATAGTGTTTGAAAGACTAATTATTTATATGTTTTATAGTGACTGTAGGAAAAATATAATGTGTAACACGAGTGTAAAAGGCCTTTGCTGCACTCGAGATCATTTCGCACGAGCCGCATTGCTCTCGTGTGCAGCAAAGTGCCACTTTTGACTTTACCCACTAGTTACACAAATAACTATTGTCACACTGGGTACCAATCACCCGGTATAAAATACTGTAATGATTGGACCTCAAAATAAATCAAGGCTTTAGTGAATTACCTTTTTCAGACATTTTTCATCCAAAACCGGCTTGAACCTCTGTTCAGCATTGTAGAAGAGGTGAGTGAATACAAACTTAAATAAAATAATCACATTTTGTACTTACTGTATACAGTAGAGCGTCAAAAATCTGAAACGTCAAAAGTCTGAACCACTCCTGAGGGTTTCAAAATATTGAAGTAGCACCGAGGCAACAGATATTTTAAAATTTCGCGGGCAAACAATTTGGTGCCCGGCGAGGAAATGAGTGAATGCGCTGAGCCAATCAGTGTTTTGTTCGTTTCCAATGTTTAAACTCTACATATTGTTTTTATATTATTTACTGTATCGTAGAACTGTATTTTTAATACTGTAGGCCTAATTATGTGTCTATTATTAATTTATAGGTTATGTTTAAAAATCCGAACAAATCGGTAATCTGAACTACCTACAGTCCCAAATTGGTTCGGATTTTTGACACTCTACTATAATTACTTTAGGATAGTTAATGTACATGTCTTGTTGAATAAATATTCACTTGAATGGGAGTCATATTATATGATGGGGTCAAAATATTGTATTGGAGTAATAACTCTCATTGTGAAAATAAAAAAATCTAACTAAGTTTCTAGTTAAAAATTATTAAAGTGACAATAGTTGGCAACGTTTTACAGTTTATTGGTTTCATACAAATTGCAGGATTATTATGTGATCAAAAACCAATTACTTAAATTTAATAAATAATACACGGACTATAAAATCAAAAGGAAAAGTTAAATGCAAATTGGACGACATTTATAATTTATTGAAAACTTTGTGTAATTTTGAAAGGATGTCACATTTCTAGTCACCCATTTATTCCCATATGGAAATTCCCCTCACATTGTTGTTGAACACAAAGTTTTCAATAAATTATAACCTCACATCAATCGGCTGCAAAGAACTTGTTTCCTATTGAAATTAAAAATAATGCAATTTGTATTAAGTATAAAATACATTTATTAGACATCTTGGATATTAAAGCAAGCACTATACCTATACTCTGATACTTAATCACTTTGTTTTGCTGTAATGCTGTGAAAATGTTTTTGTCTAGTGATAATTCAGTGTATAATGTTGAACTCTATATTTTTTTTCAAGTTGGCTTTTCTCAATCTCCAACAGAAAAATGATGTTGAAGCAATCCAGTTGTGGTTGAGACTTAAAGAAAAAATTCCATCTTTTTTTGAGGGAATTGAGGTAAATCCTTCCATTGTCCATGGAGACTTTTGGGGTGGTAACGTTGGGGAAACATCAACTCACCCAGGTATAATAGCTATTTACCTTACAATAAGTGTAGTAAGAGCGTTTTTACATCACGCAGGTGGATGTTGTGCAACGAGCGGAAGCGAGTTGCATAAAATACCTAATGATGTAAGCACGCTCTTGCGTAACGTGTAACGTACAAGATTTTACCTGACCCAACAATATACAGGAGGTTACAAATAATATTTTTCACTAACCATTTCACTCATCTTCTAACAGTAACGTTCATTTACAAACAAAAGCTAGGTTAGGAAAATTCTTCAAAACATAACAATAAAATTCAAGCGCACAGCTGATTTCTAGCGTTGAACGTCGTTGGCTCCATAGAGGTATATTTTTTTAAGTTAAGCACTCAATGTTATTTAAATGGGCTTCATTACCTCACCGAGTGAGTTTTTTTTCAACTTTACATCACTCGAGAAGTAAGGAAGTTGTCTACATCACGCTTGGGATAGGGAAGTTTTACATGGCGGGTTAGGCAAAATATTATAATAATATTAATTAATGTAATTATTAATTATAGTTAATGCTTTTATTTGGAAAAATGTACTACAGTGTTGACATTTTATATTATGTGTTGCAAGTCATCCCTTTAAGTACCTATTGACTGACAAGAAAGGATGAGAAGCCATTGCTTAGTACATCCTAGTTACTGATAGTATTTGCATCCAATTCAAAGGTTATCAGGTCAATTACAAATAGTTCCCAATTCTCAGGTAATATGGATCCTATTTAATTTCTATCACTTAGTAGTATAATATCTGCTAAAATTATGATTTATTTATTTGTGTATTCTATTCTGGGATTAATTCCAGTGATAGTGCAGAAAGTATATTCTGCATGAACTATCTGGCCTGAAAACTACTTCAAGGTTTTCTTTAGTAAATTAACCTTGAATACATCCAATTCAATTATCAATTATCAATTATCAATTATTTAAGATGGGGACGCCACTATGTGCGTATTTTAACCCAAATATGAGTGAAAGATGAGTGTAGGATGAGTGGCGCGATCTTGTAGTCTTGTTAGTGACTAAGGCCGACATGTTCCTTAGACACAGCTGTTAATTAATAGCCCATACAGCTAATGGCAACCAAGGGACCTACAGTTTATAGTGGAATCCGAACCACATTTTTCCTTGTAATTTACGAATTGGTCTAATTATCAGGATAGTACTGCGGATAGTCGTAGTACTCACTAGTGCGGACGTTAATCCACACCAGGGAGCATCGCATCCACAGTGCATCCCTATAAATATCCACAATTCGTGACCTCCTAGTAGCTGGATTACAGGACGACGCCACCCGTCCCAGTCTGGACCCAAACCATGAGACTGGATGACCCTCTTTTTTCCTTATTAAGACCACCCTGATTGCAGCAAACGTGCGGCTGCAGACTAAGCGAATTTCCATTTATCCTATTGGATTTTCACTACAACATTCCCTTAAAGTTGTGATATTTATTTTCTATTAAATAACATTAATTTTTATGAGTACCGTACTTAGGTTTGCTGCCACGGGAAATGTATAAAGTAATTTTATTTAATCCAGTACGTGAACAGTTTTATTCAGATTGTTATCTTTAAACTGTTTGTTTAGTGTCTTATTCCTCCTTTTGTCTAGGGAGATCAACGTACACCTTTAATATTTTACTTTGAAATGGTGACCATACAAATGCAGGCAAAGTATGAATGGAGATGAGATGACCGAAGTTTCAATTCCCAAGCATTAATAAGAGTTCAGCAGTCTATATCAAGGTTGTTGGGAGAGGCCCTATTTAATAATCTATAGGTGACTTGGAAGGAATATGATATTTCAATTGGATCAACTTGTAAATTTAAAATTTACATATATCAGTAAATATCCTTATTCCTTCCCGTGAAAACTGTAAACCATTTTTTTATTGTAATTAACACACAAAAATGCTATAAACCTTATTTGTTTGACATTCATGGTTGTTTCAGTGATATTTGATCTTGCCTCTGTATTCTATGGTCATCATGAGTACGACGTTGCTGTTTCTGTGCTTTGGGGTGGGTTTACATCAATTTTTTATGATGCCTATCACAAAATGATTCCAAAATCCCCAAGATTTAAAGAACGACAAAAACTCTACCAGTTACATCAATTCCTACACCATTGGTAAGGTTTACTCAATATTTATTTCATTTCAAGAAGCAATGTTAATAATTATTATGATTTGTTTTGATATAAGAAAAGGAATATATTTTGGAACAATGTTAAAATTGTAATATTTTTTGGGGGAGAAGTACCTTTGGAATTGACCAGATAATGAACTCTACAACAAGATAATTAAGACCAAGACCAGCAACACCATAAAATAACATTAAAAAACTACGTTGCCCGGTTACGAAAGATGCAAAATGTGTTACCGGAGGGTGAGTTTGATGAATGTACTTTTTAAAATGGTTTTTTGTGTCGTCTTCTGTCACTAGACTAGGTCTTCCTCTATGAAAATTAGATTAACCGACTTCCAATCATAAAGTAATTGAATAAAGTCAGGACTCAGGAGGAGTTATGAAAAAAAAACTGTTTGAACACAAAAAATGGCCTGACAGCCATTGTAGCACTAGCCCTTGTAACTCCCTACAGCGGTATTTCCACAATTCTTGCAATAATGTATATTTTTTGGCGTTCAATGATTCAGAACTGACAATGTCCTGAACAAAGCCAGATAAGTGAACATAGCTAATCCATTAGCTAACACAGTAGGATGAGTAGTAGGAGTAGAAACACTTTAAAACCAAAATAATAGCACTAGTCCTGCCCACTAACATGCTCGCTAAACCGTTGACTATACACTGTGTATAGTCAATGCCAAACCGTAATAATGAAGAGCAGCTTTTGTATATTATGTTTTACTGACATTTAATATATTATTTTCAGGATCTTTATGAAAGACTTATATAGAAAACAAGTCATTGCCATCATGAAGAATGTTCTTCAGAAATCATCGTAGGATCGACACTGATTTAGTGAATATACGGGTACAGCCATTGACTGATCCTGGCTGCTGAAACAGCTGATCTTAGTCAGTAACAACAAAGATCATCTAACTCCATTCTACACTCATAGTTGGATTAAAACTAGTGTACATGTTGCTCGAAATCGAGCAATTGCAAAAAAGTAAAATAGTTACAGTATTTAAAAACAAATACCTTATTTAAAAATGAATAAAAATCATAATTTCCTATGAGTTTAAAAGACTTAACTCATAGATTACGTACCTAACAGTTCCATATAATCAACATTTCTTGTAAATATTTTATCATTTTTCAAAAGCTAATCTGGTTTTTTAGGGTATTCTACAAATATTTCCCACTTATAGCCGCATTAGGTTGTCCATGTTGATCTTTGTCAATGATAATGTAGTCTGCATAGTACTACCCGTTGTCCCCAGTATGTTTACAAATTTCAGTAATTTTTTATGGTGATATCATTTTGTTTACATTACTTAAAAACTGTCTGATTTTCTGCATAACCTCTCCGTCACAATTTTATTTGCTTCAATTAGCATTAATTTGGCTAGTTACTGTTATAACGTAAGTTATATTTACCTGAAAAAATGCACAATTGAAAGGCCTGATGTGAATAATGCATATCCTTCAGTGAAAGTTTTATTAAGGTTTCTTGGATGTAGTCATATTATTTTAAAATCACTTGACTTTTATGAAAACATATATTTAATGTCCTTGCCGTACCAGTTTAATTCAGCCTTAGAGTGTTTTCCTTTGCCACATCATAAAGTTAAGTCCGTGTTTCCCCTACAAAATAGTAACACTTCGGCTAACATCCTTGTTCATTGTTTGTGGGAATCTTCATATTGTAGGTGTTCATCATTATATAGGATGATAACGATAGTAAATGGCTTTTTTAAAATCTCTATTTCTTCTACTTGGTGGTTTTACTATGGTGGTCTTATGACTTTCCTATGTTTCCATGGTTAAAAAATCGGTTCTTTTGATGATACTGAAGTAGACATCCCATCTATATGGACCAGCTGTCGCCAATTATGTCTTTAAAACCTCCGCTGTAGCAAACCTGCCGACTAAGCGAATTTCCATTTGCCTGGATTGATTTTCAATTAATCTATTAATTAACAATTATGTTTAACAAGTACCTAGGTTAGCTCTACATGGAAACTAATAAAGTTAGTTTTTTTTTATTAAAATATCAATAGCTTAGTATGAAATAAATAAATCCACCAAGTTAGATCAAAATATATCCATAGACGCCAAATACAACATTTTACAATATTCTCCACAAGAATAACATGGGAGTTTTAAATTAACATTTTTTTTTTAATTTTCTCCGTAACCAATCACCGTACAAAAACACTTTGATATACTAGATTATTTGTTTTTTAAGCTCTTTAAAAATGTCTGGAGGAAAATTTATAAATTTTGTGTTTTAAGGGTACAAAATGAGAAAAACCCATTTTTACCCCATAAAACCCCCTGTTAAACCGCGTTTCCATGAGTTCCCGTTCCGATCATGCTGGTTCGAGAACTCATTTAAGTTCATCCAGCCTTACATGGGGAGTCATTGGGGGGGGGGGGGGGGAGCGAAACCTACCCAGGGTCTGGAATACCCTTTTGATGTTGTTCTCTTCCAGCTTTCCTTTAATCATGCGATTTATTTCACATACAGTACAACATTGATTGTGAAATATTCTTTTAGATGCCATGATCTAAATATTTCCAGGAGTGCTGGACTAAAATTATTTATTGGATACACTAACTTCGTTAAAGAAAACGGAGGAATAAAAATGTTTACCAGTAGAATATTGGGCGGGCAAGTGGGAAAACAAATATCCTTAAAATTTCCCACACTCCGCAATGCTCGCCTTCACTACTTCCTACGTTGTGGACCTGTTTCCCTCCCTTCCCATAGCATTTTAGGATTGCAGATACATTAATCTAATTGCCACAGATGGTTCCCACACTCCGCACTGCTCGCATTTACTACTTCCTTCACCACTTCCTACATCTTGGACTTGTTTCCCTCCCTTCCCACAGCAGGTATTTTAGATAGATTTTGGGATAGGTGACACAGTAGTCCCTATCCCGCTCATGTTAAAATGGCAGTTTTTAGGTTCATATAACTTTTACAAATATTAACCTATCTATTGAAATTTTTGTAGGTACTAAGTTTATTAATTACCAACAATAATATGAAGTAAAAAAAGTTTTTGAGCAAAATTAAATTGTTATGTAGTATGATTTTTAATAATTTATAAAATATATTTTGTATTTTTTTACATAAGTTTTTTTTTTAATTCAAAGATTTTTGGTTGTCATGGAAACTGATTTGTATTATTCTTCCTTATCATATGAGGAACACACACACCAATTTTTATTGAAATTGAATTATAATTGAGGAAGAAAAGTGTACCTGACTAAAAACCACTTGACTTTTGGAAAACCAAGTAGACTTTTGGAGTATAAAAGTCGCTGTACAACTTAAAATAATTTTTTCTTCCATAATATTTGGTATGTACGTGTTCAGGAAAGTGTGTTTTACAAAACTAAATAATAGAAAATGTTTACAAAAATTTTAATATTTGACGGCGTACCCTCTGCGTCAGATTAGTAGTAGGACCTTGGGCATGCTAAATTAAGCTGCAAGAGTTAATAAAAGTAGCTGAAAATTTCAAAAATAATTTTTTCCTTCCTTAATTTTTTATTATCTGTGTTCAGAAAAGTCTGTTCTACAAAACTAAATAATAAAGAATTTTTTTTTAAATTTCATATTTGACTGCTGTGTTACCTTAATCTAACTGCCACAGACAGTTTTGACATTCAGCCCAGCTAGCCTTTACTACAATCAGTAGATTTCTCATCCTTATGGAACAGCTGAAGACAATTTTATTGTTAGTTCATGTACGGTTTATGTAGAGGTCGTGTTTTGTTTACAATTTGTTTCCCGTTATTACAGCCATTTAAAACCTCGTTTAACCAAATAATACGATCTAATCATAAAAAATAGCTTGTACCCTAGTTATATAACCAAACAGTAAAGCACAAATCAAGAAATTAACCCTAAAATAATGGAAACAAAGTTTCATCGACACTAGCGCCTTTGTGTCACGTACATGAACTAGACACGAAAAACGTGCTTCAAAATTTACAATGGGATGAGAAGTTTACTTGTGTTGGTTAGTCTATGCTACAATGTATCAAGCAATCTTCAGTGTAATCTTTGCTCAATAGTTACAACTGATGTTTTTCCCTTTTTACTGTATTTTGTAATTCACTATTATACTGTGGATGGCTTTTTATACACATGTTATAAGTCTTTTGTTTAACTTTTCCTTGTAATTTTGTTCAACCAACATGGTTACTTAGCAACCCATGAGGCCAATGTTAAAAAAATTTGACTTTTATTTTTCTACATAATTAGATTTTTGTTGGCAGTTCTAACTGTCAGTAAACACGATTTTAGGACAGAAATAAACTATTTACAACATTTGAAGAAAATCTTCAAAGTCGTTTTTGTGATCTTTGTGTAAGCAAGCAAGTATACAAGAAAACATTGCTCATATTAGAGTATAGGATAGGATTTGTGGTAAAAAAGTTAATATAACAAATTACATTAAAAACGTTTTTTTTATGTTTCTGTTTTCAAGTTTCTATTTGCAGCCAGGTTTTGTCTGCCTTTATTACGTACTTTTAAGAAATACATAGTAGTTATTTGTAAGAAATTTTATTTTCTTTCAGAATATTGCTTCCACTTTGGTCGATTTACTGTACCAAATGTTTACACGAAACCTTCCCGACAGAAAACAACCGCCCACCACCGCTTGAGCGAACACCATTACCGCATTTATACGTTGGTCTCAGTGGTGTAGTGGATAGCGCACCGGGCTGATGTTCTGAAGGAAGCCGGTTCGAAACCGAACGGAGGCCCTAACTTTTTGATTGGATTTTTTCATTATCATCAAGTTTGGTTAGGTTATGACAGTGTAATTTTATAATTAAAAAAATTATATAATTAAATTTGAGGCATTTATGATTATATTTTATGAACATAAAGTTTTTTTTTTATTAGTAGTTTACTTCATTAGATTTTTTCATTATCAGCAAGTTTGGTTAGGTTATGACAGTTTAATTTTATAATTAAAAATTTGAATTTGAGGCATTTAAAATTTTATTTTATAAACAGAACTATTTTTTTGATTAACCTAGTCCTGTAAAATCTTCATTCGATTTTTACATTATCATCAAGTTTGGTTAGTTTGGTTAGGTTATGACAGTTAAATTAAATTAAATTTAACCTACAAATGATACATTTTGACAGCGACAGTGACAGTGATAGAGATAACAATTTGCCGTGAACAGTTCAGTTATGCACAGTATGATGCGTTTGGCACGGCGCGGTGGTTTTCTGTTGGGAACGTCTCGTAATGTTTACTGTACTGTTACTCCCATGTTTACTGTAGAATAATTTGTATAGATTTTACTCAAATCTCAAACTCATCAGTTCATTATTACAGATTATGAATTTCACCGCCAACAGAGACATTAAAGCAATACTGTCATACAAACATTAGCTTGAGTATCATACAAAAAAAACTTTATTATTATCTACTTTATTATTTCTTAAAATTCTCCTCGACTGAGAATGTTATGTTAAATTATTTGAAAATTAGGAAAATGAAAATGGACTCGCTAAACAAATAGGTCAACTTATCATTTTATGACTAAGGAGTTGGTTGAAAAAATCAAACAAATAGAACAATGCATTTTTATAATTAATTATCACTATGTAATAATTTAACATCATTAAACATATAAATATGGAGATATTATAAATCAAAATAATATTATTGTTTCTTTATTTACAGTTTACAAGGTTGACACATAAATGACTACTCTTACCAAAGTAAACACTAAGAAAGACAAACACAAATGATTAATTAGACCCAGATTTGATACTTACATCAATAGAGGAGTAAGTAAAAGGTTTATGAAGAGGTAGACTGCAAAAGATCAACTCAGCCCTTTGAAATTACAATTTCGTGTAGCCTAATAAATTAGGCAGAATTCTTTTTATAATTAAACTTACTTCATGATATGACCAAAATTAATAAAGTGAAACTTTTAATAGGAAACTTTAAAAAAAGTAGACAAATGCACAAACCGTCTCCTATGTACTTCTTAAAAATTAGTTAGGTAAGTTTATTCAGGGTACTTACTATAAGAGAATTTTATATTTTTACTGCAGACTAAGTGTTTTTCCATTTACCTGGCTAAAATACCCCCTTAAAATTGTCAGATTTTTCTCTATTAAAATAAAATTAATTTTAAAGAGTACTTAGGTTTGCTGCTACAGTTAAGGTGTGTGTTTATTGAAATGTTGATAAGATTAGTATGAAATAAACAAAATTGCTGAATTTGATTAAAATATATACATAAACAAGCAAACTACAAAAGTTTATAATTTATTCTCCATAAGAATAACATGGGAATTTTAAATTTAAATTTTTTTATGCTATCTCCGTTACCGTAAGGCATACAACGCTTCGATATTCTAAATTATTTATTTTTTAAGCTCTACAAAATGGTCTGGAAATAAATTGTGAAATATTATGTTTTTAGGGTAAAAAAAGGGAAAAACCAATTTTCATCCCATAAAACCCCTGTTGCCATAGTCTGATCATGCTGCTTCGCGAACTTGTTCAAATAAGTGTAAGTTTACACATTTATACCAAATTTCATTAAAATCGGATCATTTTTGCTAGAGTTATCGCGCGAACGGACATATAATATATATATACAGTATATAATAAATTAATAACAAATGAATAATAAACTAATCAAATAAATAAATAAATATATATAAACTTTATATGAATTTGAACGGATGGAGTTTTTGGCCTCTGGGGACCTCAAAACAAAAAAGTAAATCGCTCCCGGGTCTAGGTGTAAACATGAGACCAACGGTAATAGCTTTGACTCCTATAATGGTAATAGCTTATTCCTATAGGGAAATTCCCTAGTATTGTCTGAAATTAAAAAGCGTTAAATACATGTAGGCCTAATCATTTTTTTATTCAAAGAAACACACACACACATTTTACTTGGGTGTTAAATTGTACAAAATGCTCAAATAACGTGTTATTTTAGTGCTGACTATTTTAAATCATTCAGTAACAATACATAATAAGATAGTTCAAAACCTATCAAATAAAAGCTGTTGCTTTGTAAATGATTGCAGTTTAGCTCCATAAAAACATATAATAACTAGATTCATTATAATAGTTTCAAGGACATCTCATCAATTTATAAACAATAGCAATAAAACATTAACTAAAAATAGTGGAAAAAGTTTAGGTTGTTTTGAATAAACCCAGACAAGTGTAGGCCTAATTTGATTTTTTCCACAAGTACATTAGGTGATGTTGTAAACAAAACACTTTTTCATCAAATTATTACCAAATCAAATATTAAATATCAAATATTAAATTATCAAATAGGCCAGACACACTTAAGTTATCTAAAAACATATTTCAGAATAAGGAAAAAATTAATGTAACCCTGATACAGTATAATCATAACCTTAATGTTATGACAATACTTAACAAAAGAACTTAAACATTATTTATACAACTACAACTTACTATAAAAAAATTAGAATATTAAAATGACAGTCATTAAAAGTACGTTTTTGATTTTATAATATCATAAGTAACAGGATTTAAGTGCAAAAAATAAAATAATAACCCTAGATCATATTTAAAGCTGTGTACAACATTTTATAAAAACACTCAAATGCTTAAGAACAACCTTAGAAAGGCAAAACAACTATCACATTTTATTACATAGGAAAAACACATGCTTTGTTTCATAGTGAGTTAGTTCGATCAAGCCTAAAAAAAAACTGATTGAAATAAATAATAAAAAAATATAATACAATAACGGTTCAATAATTTTTGTTTAGTTATTTAAAATTTTGTTGCAAAAATCAGGAAATACTTATGTAAAGACATGGCTATTTTTAATTACTAAAAGACACACAAAAACCCAGCAAAGATATCTGCTGCATCTTGGAATAGTGTGAGATTGATTTTAGAACATCTACAAATTGTTAAAAAAATTGACAGTGGAGCGATGACAACTAGTTGGATCTCAGTTTATTGAGCTGTCAAATGTCAATAATATTTTAGTTCTAAAAAAATATATTAAAATGTCAAGAAGTCATATAAAGAGAAAAAATTAAAAATATTAAACTCATTAGAAAAAGAATAAATGCCTTGTTTCTTTACTTCTGATAAAATAAAACACACTTTGGAATAGTAGGCTAAATTGCACTAAATAACTTAAATACCTAATAGTTTATTGAATACGCACAACAATACTAAAATATGCAAATAATACTGATTGAAATTCCACTTGACAAGTGGATTGTTGTAATCATACAATACTTACAGGAATAATTTTCTCATCGAATTGTGACATCCTAAGTGATACTATTGTTTAAGCTGGTGAAATAGATTTGATAAATAGTAGGGCAAGTTAATTTATATGTAATATTTTAAACTGTGATTAAAAACAACAGAACACCACTATTAGTTTGATCATGAATGGTGTATAAAACAATAGGAATAAAAAATAATTTTTTTAAATTTTAATATGGTACCGGTAATAAACGTTTTTACAGAACTATATAAGATTTTAAACATAAACATCATGTTACAGTTATAGCATAAACAAATTTGGAAGTTTAAGTAAACACATTTTTTAAATTTTTTAATTTTATCGTTGTGACAAGTTAATAACAATCATTTCATGATCATGACTAATAATGGCGAGCTTTTGAGAAGATTAACACATTTATTTCTTACCCTATCAGATTAATTAACTGTAGAAGTACTGATGAGCAAAATGTTGCCAGACTATGAAACCAAAATTAACATCCTTGGAAAACTTGAAGAGCAACCTGTAAAAAAAAGGTTATTTGAGCGACATTAAGAAAAGTATACATAGAATTTATTTAATAAGATCTTTTCAATTGCAAATAATTTTTTGACTTGGGAATGATGTTTAGTTTACCATATTAGCTAATTAGGTGCTATAGGGTGAGACCTTTATAGTTCGGGTCCTGAGGATAAACAATTTTGGCCCTCGGGTCTTGGGCCGAAATCGGGCTGTTTTTTAAAGTGTATATAAAAAAAATAATAGTTAGGATAATGTATAAAATTGTACAAGGGGGAAATCTTATTTAAATTACATATATGTTAAATCGTGAACAACTTCTGTGGTCACAATGAAATCAAGAACATTTCAATGCAAAATTGTGGACGTCTTCTGTGGTGATGGTAAAATCAGGGAACATTTTCACAGTTACAGCGAAATTGAGAACGTCTTCTGCGGTTATGCCAAATTCAAAAACTTCTCCCGCAGTCCCAGCAACATAAAACATTAATCATCAATCAAAAATTTTCGAATAATGTTTTTGAAGACGATTTCTGACTTGAGCTTGGCCTGAGTCCAACCTTTGGCTCAACCTGACCTGAAAATATCAGGGACCCACGACAGATCTCTATACTAAATACTCATAATTTTGTAACCATCTTAACAACAATAATTTTGGAGCTATCTTACCAGTTAGCAGATAGCTCAATTGACACTTTGACACTTAACTGAAAGATTGGCTCAAGAACCAGGAGGTCTATATAGAGATGTAAAGTTAAGGTTTAAAAAAGAGGAAAAAGTACTTGCTATAAGCAAAGTTTTAGCGCTGAGGATGACTCACAATGAACAGTTTGTAAAAGCAATATTGATAACAAAATTGTGTTTAACTGTCACATACCCTGGAAAGTGGAAAGTAAGTACATGGGTGTTTATGGTGCTTGCCCAGTCCTCATTCATCAATTCTCAAATTTGTAATATAAAATTTGTTTGCTTAATTTGGTAGTTAGCAAGTTTATGAAATTGTATAGCACTTTTAGTAGTTAATAAGAATAACAGACCAACCCATATCTCAAGAGGAGTAGTAGAAGTTGAGCGCCCGGTTGAGGTCGAAATCTGCAGCCAGTGCAACCTGAACCAGCTGTTGTCTCGAGACCCCCTCATCACCAATGATGTCATGCAGCTGTCGCAAGCAAGCCTCTAGTCGTGATGAGTCTGCCACTGTCGCCCCCTCGCCAGTGTCAGAGTCTGACAGAGACAGTCCTGCAGTCAAGTCCGTCACAGCTCCTAGCTTGTCCGTCACTCCCATCTTGCTACTGTACATAAATAAGGTAAATATTGTGTAAAACGAGCAACCGTTTAATATTATTAAAATAACTCGCTTCTTCCTTAAGAACTGGATTTTTATTAGGATGATAAAAAATAATAATAACAAATTTTCCCTGCAGCAATACCTAGTTTCCCGGTAGTGATTCCTAGTTGCCAAAAGACCTTCTACCTAGGGGTCTGAGAGTCCCTAATTTTTTTGGGTTGGATCAGGCCAACAGTTGGCCTATTGGATCAGATTAGGTTTAAAATGATTATTGGGCCAAGCGGTTGGTCAAGCCGAGCCAAGAGTATATTTACGCCATTGCAGAAAGCGTTTGCAATAGATGTGCGATTAAAAAACGGATGATGACAAAAACATTGAGATAATTTGTGTGATGTTCACAGTTTTGCAGGGATCATGGGAGACGATGATGTCGCCGTGATTGCAAAAGATGTTTACAATTTGCTGTGACCACAGAAGATATCCTTAATTTAGACGTGACCACAAAAAATGGTAAAAAGACTTTCTTGATTATGCCATGACCGCGAAAGATGTTCATGATTTATCTGTAACCTCAGAAGATGTTCTCAATTTTGCCCTTTTTAACCAAGAAAGGTGATCACAATTTCACCATGGGAAGGTTTTCTTGATTTCACCATGACCTTGGAGGATGTTCTAGATTTTTCCAGGGCCCTTGGCATTAGGGTTATTATTTTTTTTTTGTGATTCATACTATTGGCAGAAATATTTCTTAGGCCCATAGCATGTCACATGCAAACCGGGGGATTTATTTTGCCATGACAGTTGAAGGTGTTTACAATTTTTCTGTGACCACAGCTGATATTCACAATATTTTAACAGTTGGGGTTTTCATGCGCTTACAGAGTTTTATGAGCGTTTACGCAGGCAAATACTCTTAATTTGTCTTGAATCCATTTTACAACTGGCATTAAAATCAAGTTTTCTGGAATTCTAAATCCCACTGGAATACCTAGACTGTAATGACCAGTCTCTTAAGCCTACGAATGAAGACTAGGCACTTGTGCTCTATTTTCTTACATCACAATGTTCATAAAAACTCTGCAATTAAACTTTCCTTTTGGACCATTAATTTAAAACGTTGGAAAATAGGAGGTTCAGGAGACAGTTTCAGTGATACTTTTGTTCTAATATACAAAATACCATGGAAAATTTAATCTCTTACGATTCCATTTTATTTGGATCTTGGACAGCCATTTGAATATAATCTTTGACCGTTGAAAGAAGTAGACATCCAATTATAATTTTATAGTTGGTAGTAGCCAGTTCTAGAACACAAATGAAGGTAGTTGAGTCACCGACAGAGTGCACTGATGTCAATTACACGACTCATTTCTGTCCACCACGTTTTCCAACCAAGACTAACTGAACAGACAACGGATTGCAAACTATATCAACTTTTTAAGTCACATAAACTATCATAGTATCAAAAGCTAAGTGAGAAAATACAATTTCAACAGTAGTACACTCTGTGAGAGGTTCGTTGTTCTATTTGAATGAAATTTGGAATGTCTATACTAAGTATTTGCACACTCCCTCTACTTTGTCCACAGCCACAGAAAAACCACAGTCTTTTTGTCTAACATTTTTCGATTCGATACATAAAAATATATTCCTTTATTGTTTGGTATAATAGTTTCATTTGCTAATTTTGTTCTTACATAATCTTTGCTGTTTATTTCTTTAATGAGTGGATGATTGATTACCTTTGAAATTTTCTTCATCTATACTATTATATTTAATATTTATTTCTGTTAATTACAATTTAACTAAGATTTGACTAAGGTAGAAGCATACACTTACAAGACTACAACAAAACCCACCTTGGAGCATAGGCCCAGATAACTAGGTCATATATCTCTGCTTGCAAGTTTTGAGGGAGTTCTTCAAACAGCTCGGAGTCCATTATGTCAGGATTTTTTGAAATGAAATTTAAACATGAACTCTGAAAAAAACCAACAATTTATCTGAGAGAAATTGCAAACCAAACACATTTTTTTGCAAAAAACTATTATTATCGAGTATTTTAGTGTTAAAAATTCTGAATCCAGATGCCATTTTTGTTATTGGGCTATCAATACAGGATGCCATTACACTGAGCCACTAAAAATGTTATGTTTGAAAATTGTGTAAAAAATCACAGCTCTACAGTCACAATGATTTTTTTTAAGTAGGCCTAGTCTACATTTCACATGTATATTTATTTAATCAGCTGATAGCAACGGTTGGACACTAGTTCTCTCTCCTACAGCCCCCATGGCTGGCCAGGCAGGGTAAACAGCGCTCATATTCTGGTGTGGACACTAGCAGATTCAAACGCAAAGTTTTTTTTTACTCAATGAGAGTTCTGGGTTAGGGCTTTATTCCCTGATGTTGTCTATTAAAAGGTCAACTTTTAACACGTTGACTGCGCGTGCCGACTTTAGTCGGCGTCGCCAGCGCTCCCAGGTGGCGCGCGCCGACTAAAGTCGGCACCAGACCAACAGAAATATATTGAGTCAGTGTGAGCTTAGCCTCAGACGGAGACGTTATAATCGTTGCCAGCCTGCCAGCTTAGAATGCGAGCTTTACTTTGGTGTAGGTTGGTACTAAAATTTCCCGTAAAATCCTGTCTGGCAATGCTTTTGTCTCGGTTTCGGGGATTTTTTCTCTTCAACCCACATTACAAAGACACTGGATACGAATCCATGCAGTGCTGCTACCTTTGGGTGTTTCAGTGAACTACATCCACTCTCGGGGTAACGCAGCACAGTCACCACTGCTCTTTTGTGATTCGTCAGACTGAAATATTTGAATGCCAATTGCGTTCGCTGATTCGGTTGCGCGCCGGGGCTTCGCCCGCCACTGGGGAGCGCCTGTAAAGTCGGCGCGCGCAGTCAACGTGTTAATAGTTACAAGACAAGGATTTGGACCATTCTCTTACAAAAAAATAAAATTCCAATGGTGGAAGAAACAAATTATCACAATATTTGAGGCTTGTGTTAGAAATTTATAGACATCCTAACTATTCAACTTCAATCTACTTGAACTGAATATAACTGAACTGAATTGAACTGAATGTTTTGTTCACCATAACAATTGTTATACGAGGGTTGTAACATATTGTGAATACTTGTGGCGAATTAATAAAACTTTTTACAAACAATACTTGATAAATTTATACTTTTTAACAAATAATTTTATTCATTTTGCATGTTAAAAATGACACTGTCTATTGCATGTTATGTAATGCTGAAGGACAATAAATGATTCTGATTCTGTGATAAAAAAAAATCTTAAATACAAGCTTCAATTAAAGTTTATAAATGTATACTAAATAATCATTTAGGGCCTATAGTTTACACAATACAAACATCAGAGTATTAAGACAGTGCTAAACACTCTGTACTTACTCTGAGATGTTTGGCGTTGAACTGATCTCCCATACTGAGGAAGTACAACACAGAGTCATGGTCTATGTGAGAGCTGAGGCCGTGTTCACAGGCCGTCTTGAGAGAATCCACCTGTCAGTACATCTTTAATATAAGATATTTTATTTTAATATTATTTGATAGAATCATTAATGTTACAATTTGACCATTCAGTCTTCCCATCCTTTATTTTTTGTCACACATAGTATTTCTTGCTAACAATTTAACCTATGTTCTAAACCTGTGTTTCATCAAGTTTTTTTTTTTAATTGGATTTCGTAATTGGAATTTTAAAAGCAGAGTGGACATTTTGGGATGGTAAAAATACAATCTATTAACTCCTTGTAACTTCCACAAAGCTCTCAAAATGTTAAAAGAATTAGTGATAGATTTGACTATTGATAGATTCCATCCCCATATTGAAGTTTAAAATCTAAATGAACATATTTGAACTGCGCCATCGTCAGAGTGTGCTCATGCAAATTACTGACTTCTGTCAAATCCACCAATTTTTCAACCAAGCCTGAATGATAGAATCTTTAATGTCACATAAAGTAGCTCACTAACAATAAGGGAAACAAAATAATTGTACTCTTCAAGTGGCTTATTCAACTTTGTTCTTTATCAATAAAAATTTGGCAAAAGCTGGTCCATGTAGATGGAATGTCTACTTCAGTATGCAAGAGTCAGCCGTAATAGTTATTTGCTTTTTTAAAAACACGCAAGCACTATTTAAGTTAGGGATGGACGGGTCCCGAAATTTCGGGAATTTTTCGGGAAAAAAATATTCCCGATTAACGGGACGGGATTACATTTGACTCGGGAATTTTTCGGGACGGGATTTGGTCCGATCGTCGGCGATTTTTCCGCTTCGCGAGTGCCGATAATGCCGTTATTGCGAGCGATAGGTCCGCGAACGCAGGAGACGAAGTCATTTCGACGATTACGCCGTGACCGCGGAGTCCTACCGACGATCGCGCCGTGACCGCGGAGTCCTAACGACGATCGCGCCGTGACCGCGGAGTCATACTGACGATCATGCCGTGATGGCGGAGTCATGCTGACAATCGAGCCGTGACCGCAAGTCATACCGACGATAACCCCGTGACCGTTAGTCATGATGACGATCGCGCCGTGACCGCGAGTCATGACGACGATCGCGCCGTGACCGCGAGTCATGCTGACAATCGCGCCGTGACCGCGAGTCATACCGACGATCGCGTTGTGACCACGAGTCATGACGACGATCGCGTCGTGACCGCGAGTCATGACGACGATCGCGCCGTGACCGTGGAGTAATACCGACGATAACCCCGTGACCGCGGAGTCATACCGACGATCGCACCGTGACCGCGAGTCATACCGACGATCGTGGCGTGACCGCGAGTCATGACGACGATCGCGCCGTGACCGCGAGTCATGACGACGATCGCGCCGTGACCGTGAGTCATACAGACGATCACCCCGTGACCCGCGAGTCACAAGTTTCTATAGGTACCTGTAAATTGTTACCCATTTTTTGGTTTTTATAGATCAGTGCCACAAATGGTAAAAATTGATTTTGTATGTCTTTTTTGGTAACTGCAATACAGTACTTTCTTTTTATTCACAGAAAAAAATCCCGTCCCGTCCCGTCCCGAAAATCGGGAAGGAAATAAAAATCCCGTCCCGTCCCGTCCCGAACTAAAAATTCAATCCCGTCCATCCCTAATTTAAGTAGTTAACAATACTTGGAAATGCCAGTTGAGTAGTGGTTCAGCAATACTGTAATAACTTAATTCCAAATAAGATTATATTTTACTGTTTTTGCAAGATAATGGTAAGGTAGCAATTCTTTTTTAACAGTTATCCTGCAATCATTAAATCATCTTTATCCTTTCTTGGGCATTAATAAATGAATTTGCATTAGACAGATTCAGTTGGACAAACACAACAATGGATTCTTCTTTGAAATCACTTAAGGTCGATTCACACACATCAGTTTCAGCATGTTACAGTTCAGTCACATGTTGTGTCACAGTCAAAAAATTTATTCTTCGTTGGCTTTTCTTTTGCACTATTTACACTCATCCGGTGCAGTTCCGACACAGGTCCATCAGTTGCTCTGCCGGTGTCCGTCAGTCAATTTCAGTTTTTTTCCCATCAATATTTTTGGATTGTTCGGTCACCTGACGGATGCTGACAGATGAATGTGCTTGACATAAAAAACCTTGTTATTTTTATAATTTTGTTTATATTTTAGGTACTGTTAGTAACAATCATCAAGATGGACGATGACAAATTGATAGAATATTGTGTTTTAATAAAAAATTCTTGACTATAATCTCACTGTAAATAGAGTGACGAAAAACTAAGGAATTACGGATTCAACTGAGACTGAACTGTGACTGGATTGATGTGTGTAAATCGACCTTCAGAAGAAGGTGAGAATGGAAAACAAATAATCAACAAGACTGACCTCGTAGCGGTCAGCCAACAACATCAAGTCTGCCAATTGATCAACAGTGAAGCTGGATGTATCAAGCTGACCACAATACAGGTAATCCAACAATACAGAGAATAATGATGGTGATGTGTCAAACACTATTATCTTCCTGAAACATGCACAGAAATCACATTAGAGAACAGTTAATCTTGACTTGAGTAAATTATCAATCATCAATTATTATCAATTAGTTGAGATGGGGACGCTACCTGGGTATGTATTTTAAACCAAATATAAGTGAAGGAAGAGTGTAGAGTGTTGTGAGATGATCTGTGTAGGCTGTAGCTTTGTTACTGACTAAGATCAGCTGTTTCATCAGTCAGGATCATTTAGTTAAAGCCCAATGATCAGGGACAGCTGGGTCCAGTTTCTACCCATCAAAAAGGTTCTGACCTTTATTAGGATCGAACCGGTGACCTTTTTATTGCTCGGCGAGCACATTAACTACTCAGCTACCCAGGCAGTCTAAATATACATAAATATAGGCTATACAATTGTAGATGCAATAACACACCATCAGAAATATGAGACAATCGTTATTCCATCAACTATCAATGTAATTTCTAGGAGACTGAATGAATGCTTAGGTTTACCAGTCGCCTAGTCTTTCAACTAGTAAAAGTCTGACTTGTGGCCGATTGAAAGATCATCAGGTTTTTAGTTTCAGGTAGGTTATCTCATATGTTGGTCTTGATTTTTTAGGACCCACAGTGCTTTGCTGGTACTCAAACATTGACTGAGCAATGTAAATTTGACTATGTAAACTCAAAATGTGTGGGTATTGGCAAAATCATGAAACTACCTAATGAAAATATTAAAGTAAGCCAAAACTGTAACACCTAATTTTTTATCGAAAACTTAATTTTGAGAATTACGTAGTTTACACCCATAAAGAACTGACCTATCAATTGCCTCTCTCATGCCGGAGAGTAAAGCTCTTCTGAACCAATCACATCTTGCAGCGACGATGACGCGATGAGCACTGATGGTACAAGCCTCCTCACTGGCTACCTCCACCCCCACTTGGTTGATCACACTCTCCCCTTCTGTAGAAAAACACTGAACTTCAGTAGCTCACACCAGAGAAGCCCCACTTTTATCATTCTTAGGTGACTGGAGCTTAGGAGGTTAAGAAATACACGTGGTATTGCTTTACTCAATCCTTTGTTTTCTATAATCTGATCTGATAATAGACCTAGGAGGTTAGGATTGCGCCTTTTGGCTTAGGGTAAGGAGGCTTATAAATAATTTATTTTTAATAATAATATTTGGGATTTGCTGGTCAGACTTTTTAGTCTAGATTGGGTCAAAAATTTTAACCTTCTAGTCTGGGCGATGAAAGAAAATTAACATTTGCAAAGACACAAACATTGTCTCCCACAGTAAAAAAAAAAATTGTGAACATTATCTGCAGTGGTGAAAACATCATCGATGTCTCCTGCAATCACAGCAAAATCGTGAATATCTTTTGTGTGCACTGGGACAGTCTCCTACAATCGTGGCAAAATCATAAACATTTTCTAATTAATTATTGTCCCCCGCAAAGGCAATGAAATTGTGAACATCATCATTGTATCCTGCACTTGCAGCAAATTTTTCAATGCCTTCTGCGATCTTGCGAAATCATTATCATCTTCCTGGTTTGCAGAGAAATAAACTTTGTCTCCCGCGAACACGGGGAAATCATAAACATCTCCAGCAGGCATGGAGAAATATTGTGATAATCTTTCACTGGCTCCAAGACTTCATCATCACCTTTTGCTTAGTTGGGATTTTTGATTGTGCAATCTTTGGATATGCTGTCGTGAGAATAATAGCTTGTCTGAAAAATTTTAATAGCTTACATGAGAAAATTAGAGTCATGTGCCAATAAATAAAAGCTCATAGACCGTAACACTATTATTTCGCCCTAATAGAGAACTTCTTAGAGAGTAGACTAAAGAGAAATGTGAATGCCACTTGGCTTTCATTTAAAATGTACGTTAAACGTTATCAATTGAGCAGTATGGAATATTTTTTCCCACAAGAGTCACAACAAAGTTAAGTGAAGTGTAATATACCTGGCGATGGGACGACCTCAAAGACCATGTCAGTGTTAGCTCCAGACCTCAGCAGTTGTATGGCGGCTGCTGACAGCCGACTGTTGCGGGATATGGGAGGCACACACAGGCATTCCACCAGGTTCAGCTAAAAACATGAGCAAATCAAATCAAAAACCTTAAGCATTACAAAACACATTTAAAACTGATTTAGTTGATTTGTTAATCAATTGAGTATGCTTTTAAACCCTCATAAATCTTAATTGCAATCACTTTGTAATGGTGAATTGATACCTAAGTTTTCTGCCATTTATAAAATCTGTAGGTGTTGTGCATGTGTGAAATGACGTATATGTGAGAAGAATATGAGAAGAGAGTGTTTCAGGAAAATTGAGTCGATGGTGATAAAGGGAAGCAGATGGAGAGGAAGTTGTAGTTTTATTAGAAGATGGGTGAATAAGGTGAAGTGAGAAATGAGATGGTAGATTAGGGAAGAAAATAAATTCTGGTGGGATAGGAAAAGGTTGAGAGGTCTAGTCGCCACCCAGACAGAGTAATGACCAGAACAGGTGAGTGATGTTTATGTAGCTCAAGTAGATGATAAAGTAATAGTTATAATACCATTTAACTGAAAAATAATTGCCATTATATTATCTACTTCTTGAGGGTGATGGATGTTGAATTACAGCGAAATCTACAAAGCATCATCATACTTATTTTCCAGCTTCTCTCCAAAATGGCATCTTGCAGACAACAACTAACAATACTAGCCATCACTTAACAACATAAACCTGATAGAAAACTCAGGTTAAATGTTAATTAAAAAAAATAGAGTTAGATAAAAACGTTCATAACTACAAACCAGAACAATTACTCTAAAATAGAAAGCTAAGTATTAGAAACACTGTAAAACTCACAAGGATGAGAGGTCAATTTAATTTTATGTTTATGTCATGCTAACATATTTCTTAGAGAATATGACAGTTTACCTTGTAGCCATGATGTTTGGGTGTGGAGTGTTGATGTGTCTTGTTGGGTGTCGAGTGGTTGTTGTCTGAACACTTGACAGGATCCACCAGGCCTAGAGATGCCAGGGCTTGTGTGAATGCATCTCTTGCCACCAGAGAACAGAGTTGAGTCAACACGGGCTGCACAACAGCACTATGGCTCAACAGCCGCTGCAGGAGCCCGGACTGTGACAAAATCAACAATACAAGCTAGTTCATGTCCCACACTAGGATCTGGCCTCACAATGTTTTTCATATTTACTAGGCCTTTAGTGTTGCGACATTATCATTCATATAAAATTCATTGGTAATTAGCAGGATGGAGACAGAAGCCCGCGCTCTACCACTAGACTAGCTCGCTCCCCAGGGTAAATGTATAATGGGGTCAGATGAATTGCCCCCACTACTGATATGACTTTGCTGTGGTTTTAATGAATAAGAATGTAAGAATGTAAGAATGTAAGAATATTTATATTTCCAAAATTACAAATGACAAAAATTACAATCGTGGCTGTAAAGCAAAGTACAAAGGAAAAAAATCCCCACAAAGACTGTACATCTGCGTGTGGGGAGAGTCTTCTCCGTCGCTCACCACTTCACAGACAAGATAACAAAATAAACAAATAATTACTTAAATAAAAAGAAGTATTTTTTTTTTGCCATATTGTTGGCAAAAAAAGACTGAACATGAACAATATTTGAAGTACTTGAATGAGGGTGCCAGTACTGAAGTAGTTTGGTATTATTAGCCTAATTTAGTTTTAGAATTGTCATCGACTTCCATTATGCCCTGTACTGGGATCTGATGAGCTCTTTGGCAGCATCATCGCTCAGACCGAGAAGCCAGCGCCCGATCTTTCTGCTGAAAACCGTGACACTGTCTCCCTCCCATTCTCTTATCTGTATGGGGAGATTAGTGTGTACAATGTGGGCTAGATAGTGAGGGGTAAGAAGCTGTGCTTTATTGTTCAATTTGGGAACGTAGATGCCTATGTGTGTTCTAGATCTAGTGTCATAAGAATGTAGCGTATCGGAGAAAATTTTGCTTAATAAAATAAATTAATAAAATAAAATAATGCAAAAAAGTCTCATTTCAGATATAAGAAAAGGTGCAGAAATCTACAAATTATTATTTTATTGATATTACAGTATGCTGCACTTGATCAAAATGCTTCTCTACCACAAATTTTGAGGTCTACCTATAATACATAGTGTCCAGCAACCCATCAAAATCAAATTCAAGGACAATTCTAGGTTTTCCAGGACAATACTTGCCACTTAAAATCAACACTCAAAACTTAAAACATGTATCCTTTAATTGGATACTGGCACAGAAAAATTACAAAAAATCTTTAAAAAAATTAATAAACGGCAACATCAAGTATAAAAACTAAACTGAACAATAACCATCCGATAACAAAAATTTACATGATTCACTTTGTACAATGCTATTGTTCTTTAATATATATGATTCACCTTGTAAAATGCTATTTTTCTTTAATACATATGATTCTTATATATATGGGTCTTCATGGTATGAGCATATCAAAGCAACTAGCTATACTTCAATGGCTTAGTGCCTTGCTTTGTGAAGGGAAGATGCTCTTTTTGTTTTCTGTTAGATATTATTTTAGGACAAATACATGAAGTAATTTTAAGATGCAAGTACGATGTATAAGATGTTTTTTTTTACAATTTTAATTTCCCTTTGTTAGTAAAAATGAGAAGAATACTTACAACTTTAGAGGAGCCAACTTTGAAGCAGAACTTGAACTCCCTCCACTCCAGTTTGTCGTCTAAAGCTGCTGTCACTTCTTCCAGCCGCAGCAGAAATACAGGCAACTCTTCAACAAGTTGTTCTAGGCTGCGTGACACACTTCTAACCTTGTTACCACTGGTCAACTCATTGAAGCCTTCCCTGTAAATATTAAACTTTGGTTAACACTACAGAGTGATAATGAAAAACAAATAGGCTATGTAATTTAACTAAACCATAATAATTTTCAATCACATACATAACATAACCCTTCAGACGGTGTTGCTACTGTTTTGAGTAGCTCGTAATAGCATTTGGCAGTGCAGTAGCCGTACTGCTTACCCGCTGACGTCTAAGTAGTTCGTGGAATCTCTGCTGTGAGTGCTGGTGGCGTATTCAGCCGACAGTGACATGGCTGAGTTGACTAACACTTTGCACTTGGCTCAATGTGATCTCAACTAGCCAAGAAGACAAAGATGAGTGATGAATGAATGATATAAGAGTGATATATAATATCCTTGTCACTGACTATAACCAGATATTTCATTAGTCAGATTTCAGGATGGTTTTTGAATCCAAGCAATAAAGGACAGCTCAGTTTAGTTTCAATTTAATTTAATGCTTTGGTCTTTATTACATCCTCTTTAAACCCATTTATTAAGAAAATTACTTACCAAGCAATCAAGTTCAACAGAGATATGTAAGGCTTATCTCTCAGGCTGGTAAGTATGTATTACAGGTACATATAGATAGATGCAAGGTAGTGGTACATAAAGAAAAAATCTTTTGAAGCAAGAGATGGATGGAGTCAAGACATTTCAGGAAATTATTAAAAAAAATATATTCTTGATCATCGGGATTACATTAAATTCGAGATTTTCTCAGGACAGGATCTCGCTTCGTCCTGAAATTCTGGAAGGAAATTAAAGCCCTGTCCAGTACTTAATATACAATCCCCTCCATCCCTATTTGTAATGAAATTCTACTAAACGATAACCATAATATTAGTTAGCAACTATAAGATAAAGCAACTATTTTTACAGACTTACTTTCTTTGTAAAAGCAAGAAAAGACTATGGCTATGCCTCTGCAGAAGGTTCTTCAGTTTATTTAAATCCCTTTTATGAAGAACCTAAAACAAAATCATGCAAATAGTTAAAAATTATGTACTTTATAATTTCGTCAAATATATTTATTTTAACTCAATGTTTAACCATCATAAAAATACATCTGTACAACAGGGTTGCCACCTTTAGTCAGGAAAAAATCGGGACATTGCCCCCCCCTCCCTCCCGGATCAACATTAAATACAGGCATAAAGAACCAAAATCGGGACTGTCCCGGCAGAATCGGGACGGGTGGCAACCCTGCTGTACAAGTACAAAAGTATTTTTCAAACAATTTAAATAAAACTAATATGTTAGCAATGTTTAAATAAGTGGATTCCTTAATAACTGAATCGTACCCTTCATCAGGACCGAGAATTTGAAAAAATTTGTATAATGTACAACAATAAAACAATGTGTTTACTAGTTACTATGTTGAAGAATTGACTTGCGATCATTTGAAAATAAACTGATGCTCTTAAACTTTGGTTTAAAATTCAGTTTTAATGAGTATTGTTCGATATCAGAAAAATACCTTAGCTTCAACATATTGCTGTAAACAAATGTATATACATATAGTATTTGTAGGCCTACCTCATGAAGAGTCCTAGACAGAAGGCTGCTATGCTCTGAACAATGTTTATGGGTTGCTGAGCTTTCGTTGAAGGCGGAAATTATACTTTCTAAGGCCTGCTTGAATTTCAGTCCCAAGGAAGACAGTGTATCGAGAATAGTCTCAATCTAAAATCATAGGTTACAAATTAAATGGATATTGTTGTAACCTAGGAATAACAGCAATACAATCATCTCAAGCAATTGTGATGAAAACTAATGAGACGTAAATAAATAAATAAAATTTTTAAATAAATGAGACGTATATCCTTTTTTTTTAGGACAAAACAAGTTGTTTAAAATAGGTACATAAATCTAGTATGAAAACCCCTGAGATAACACTACTTTAATGATACATTTACACTTGCACCTCATTCAGATACAAGAGGAAATAGACCATTCGTGAAACAAAAAAAAAAACTTTACTTGTAGTATGCATATTTTGTTAACCTTGGCAGAATTTATATTTTTAAGATGACATGGGGAGAACAAGGAATTGTGTGGCCTCCCAAAAAGACACAGTCATAGTAAATCATTACTGTATGCTTCAGTCAAACATTATTCGTATAGACTTCTGACATTTGTGTCATATCATATGATAACTCTGATTTACACTACATCAGTTATTTTGCATTCAAGCAGCTAAGAACAGCAAAAAGAAACAGAACATTTACAATAAAAAAAAACCTGAAATCAATCAACGTGAGGAATGGAAATAAGATTTTTCCACTTTTTTGTATATTTATTCATGGCTAAGCCTTTGTTGATACAAGGATACTTTCATTTCACTTCATTCAACAGAACAATAACTTTGAGTAAATTTTAGAATACATACTCAACAGTATGAACTTAAGTGGTGTTTACTTACTTCTGGCACAAGATATGTAGCAATTTCTTGCCTCTGAGAAGACGACATACTACTGAGGGTTATTTTCAGGCCTACCAAAAACCTAAAAACCACAATAGTAGTTTTAAAAAGTAACTAGGTTTTGCAACAATAACACCCCCGCCGCAGCAAACCTGCAGACTAAGCAAATTTCCATTTGCCTGATTGGATTTACACTAAAATGTCTTCTTAAAAATTTCACATTTATTTCCTATTTAAATAGCATTATAATTTAACGTGTAGTTAGGTTTGCTGCATCAGGGAGGGTAAAAAGTGTTTTTTTTTAAGTTAATAGTTAAGATATAAACAATGTAAATATTAGATATACAGTAGACTCTCAGTAATCCGGCAGATATAGGACCGCCATACTGCCGGATTAGTGAAAATGCCGGATTACTGGAATGTTATCATTTAAAACACTTAAAATGCAATTAAAACACGTCTCCGAAGTTCGCGTGATCGGAAACCGCTATTGCCGCGATCGGGCATGACAATTACGTATTCGCGGGAGGCGATGAGAACGTCTACAATTCCGCAGGAGATAATCGTAAAATTGCCGCCATCGCGCATGATGACGATGACGTTTTTCGTGACCGCGGGAGATGTTCATGATTTTGCCACAATCGCGCAAGTCGACGATGACATTTCCGGGACTGCGGGAGTAGACAATGATGTTTACACGGCCGCGGGAGATGATAAAATCTTTGCCGTGACCGCGGAAGACAACGATTAATGTCTACATGACCACGGGAGATGTTAATGATTTTGCCGCGATTGCGCAAAACGACGATGACGTTTCCGTGACCGCGGGAGTAGACAATGATGTTTACACGGCCGCGGGAGATGATAAAATTTTTGCTGCGGCCGTGGAAGGCAACAATAATGTCTACATGACCGCGGGAGATGTTCATGATTTTGCCGCAATCGTGCTTGACGACGATGATGTTTCCGTGACCGCGGGAGGCGATGATAACGTCTATACGTCTGCTGGCGATGTTCATGAATTTGCCGCGATCGCGCATGACGACGATGACTTTTCCGTGACTGCGGGAGATTGTAATGATTTTTCCGCGATCCCGCAAGACGACGATGACGTTTTCATGACCTCGTGAGAGAATTATGATGTCTACACGGCCGCGGGAGATAATCAGAATTTTGCCGCGATCGCGGAAGACCTCCCGTCAAAAGACGCCGGATTACTGGAGTGCCGGAGTGGTGCAGTGCCGGATTAGAGAGGGTCTACTGTAATTAGATATTTCTTTTGTAACCATTAGATGCATAATAACGCTTCAATATACTAAACTATTTGTTTTATTAAGCTCTACAAAATGGTTTGTGAAGAAATTGCTAAATTTTATGTTTTTTGGGCCAAAAATGGTAAAAACCTATTTTTACTCCATAAATCCCCCAAACCGCCGTTCCCATAGTCCGATCATGCTGATTCGCGAACTCGTTCGAATAAATGTGTAGGTTTACATGTTTTACACCAAATTTCATCAAAATCAGATTATTTTTGCTTAAGTTATCGTGCTAATGGACATATACCGGCTGTCCAAAACCACCCATACACCCCTTTCAAAACGATGGAAACCTTTTCTTACAAACAAAAAATAATACAGAACTAGCTAAACTGGGCACGGTCTACCAAATGGTGATAATTCCAAGTCCAAAATCACACCGGAAGTGGCTTTTTCAGACCGGAAGTTGACTTTTTTTAAATGTAAACTACCAATTTTGATTACAGAATCGGATTCTACGTTGAAAAATACATAGCTTTTGTCACAAACATTTTTTGAAACACTTGTTTTCTACCTCTAATCCCTTATTAAAGTCAATAAATTTTGGTCATTCATGTGTCAAAGTTACTCGAAACAATAATAGAGAAAAACAAATAACAAAGATTACATAAAGACATATGATTAATAGAATCAGCTGTTTATTTTAAACACCTTAGCAATTGAGTAACAGCTGGTCTACACATTGCTAAGTTTATTTTTTTTTATAATTTATTGTTACATATGACTCCTTAAATGTAAAAACAAATGATTTATTTTAAAAATAAAATGAAATTAGGCAATGTGTAGACCAGCTTTAACTCAATTGCTAAGGTGTTTACAATGAACAGCTGATACTATTTATCACATGTCTTTATGTAATCTTTGTTATTTTTTTTCTCTATTATTGTTTCGAGTAACTTTGAAAGATGATTGACCAAAAATTATCGACTTTAATGGGGCATTAGAGGTAGAAAACAAGTTTTTCAAAAAATGTTTTAGACAAAAGTTATGTATTTTTCAACGTAGGATCCGATTCTGTAATAAAAATTGGTAGTTTACATTTAGCCCTAGCAGTGGCCGATCGACGTCTGGTGACGATCTGACGTTGATGCTTAGAATGGCCAAAGTCGTCTTGTGACGATCTGGGCAGAAAATTTTTTAGCGGTAAAAAAAAACACTTACAATCAACTCAGATGAGAATAATATATATACCATTCGAAAGATCACATTCTGAACTTTCATTTTATTTATTACATAAACAAACCCAGTAGCAGGTATATAACAATGTCACGACGATTAGAAATCAAATGAATTTTTGACGCGGCACGACTTTTGCAGCCGACACTTGGGAACTGGCAAAACACGTCTTGTTTGGCATTACCCTGCTTGGGTAATTTTCGTCGTGGGATGTTGCGAGTGGTACCACTGGTTAGCCATTGATTTTATCTTCATTGTGGTAGTAATATTTAGAACGAAATATTGATTGCACAACCGGTACGATTTTATGAAAACAGCTGTTTTCGAAATTTTTAAGAAATGGCAGATGGTCGTCAGGTGACGATGTGGAAAATACGAATTACATACAGTGTAATTTATTATTACTAGTCATATAGTATGACATTTTGAAGAGGAAGAAATTTAGATTCAGAGAGTGGCAGCCCTGCACTCAGGGTTATTTCTGTATGCTCGCATGTAGACGACGGAAGTGAGTCATTACTGCTACATTCTGTCAGCTGTCTTGTATTCGCCATTGTTTGTTTGTGTTGTTGCCGGTAATAGTGTTATCCGCGATTTATTACTAAATACGTTATTAGTTCGTAATGTTAGTGTTAGTGAAGTTTGTGTGTGTGTGTAACAGTAATCTTCATGCATAAATATTACTGAATTGTGTGAAATAGTGTTCATAAAAGGTTGTATTTTGTTAGCATCATGTCCTAAAATGACGATTCTGACATTCAGAGATTGTTGTACGAGACGGACCTTAGTTCGCCATGCTATATATGCTATATAATGATATACCCAAGGTGTTATACATTTTTATAAAGGTAAATGAATACACTACCACATGTTTATATTGGTTTGGGTGTAAAAAATTTGGTAAAAAAAAATATATAGGCTACTAAATACTGTACACTCCATTTTCTCGAAATGCGCAAAAAATTCAAAACTTTCTCAAATTGATACATAATTATAGGTGAAAATAACTTTTTACCATCATACTTATGACTTTTTTGGATTCCTTACTTCATTAGCTTTACAAATATGTAGGCTACATATCATCAGCCTACATTATGTTTCACAACACAAACAAACACTGTAGGCTATAGTTTACACTTATTTGCGGTTATTGTATTATGTCCCTATTACGTACCTACAAAAAAAAAATATTTCTAACATGTTATACATTTTTATGTAGGTAATTGAATACACTACAAGATTATTATGTTGGTTTGAAGTAAAAAAATTTGGTACAAAAGTTGTATACTAAATACTGTGAATTCTTTTTCTCGAGAAATCGCTAAAATATAAAAACATTAGCTTTACAAACATGTATATATCATTATTAGTATACATATATATTATAGAACTTTTTACAACATAAACTAACGCTGTACGGTTTTCAATTTTTTCGGTTCTCCGTTTGTCATTATATTTCGCTCCAAAAACTTATAAAAAAAAAAATATTTTCCTAACATGTTATATATTTCTATGTAGGGAATTAGATTGTCTACAAAATGTATATAATGAATTTCCCATAAAAAATCCGTAGGAAAAAAAATACCGAGGCCGCTTTTGAAACTTAAAAAAAAAAATTCAAATTTTTTTCACTTTACCGATAAAATACACTGTCTAAATCATTATGATAATACTATTTCTAGATTCTCCTGTTCTTTCCGAACAAAATGAATATGAGGTTGGCTAGGTTTACTTGTACGGTTGAACTTTTACGAATTTTCAAAAAAAGGTCTGCAAAATCGCCAAAATGGGTTGGCCATTCCCCACTTCTAACATTGGCCACTGCTAGGGTTAAAAAAGTCAAGGTCTAGGTCACCTTCATTTTGATTCCATTCTCAAACAACTAAGTTCTTGATTAGTTTTAAATCAGAACATTTCTTTACAATACAAATCATTCAATAATATTTCAAATGACCAGTTTGTTTTATAATTACCTGTGGAGTTGATTCATGAAAATGGGGAGCCTAGACTTTGCATATCTGATTATTTCGTGTCGTTGGTCTCGTGTCAATTCTCCTTTCCGTTTGGAGAACAGATCACACAGGACCAGCAGTTTCACACAAGCTGTGACAAAAAAAATGCACGTTGAAAAGTTATCCAGGATGATACTTTGTTTAATGTTTAACATATTGATAAATTTCATAGGCTATTGAATTTTGTTGCTTGTTATTGTCATTGTTTCTCTGATTGTTAATTATTTAATTGTGTCATTATTTATTATTGTAGCTTAGAAAAAGAGTGACACTGTTTAAAGTAATTTATTTATTTATTTTATTTTATTTTATTTTATTTTCCAATGCTACAAAACAGCACATGCCAATTATTTTGTAGCATTAATCATGTAAAAATAATGACAAAAAGAGTATTACAATATATTAATAAATATAACAAGGGAAAAATGTCCGTCTTCTATGGTGGCAATCATATAACAGTTTCACTCAAAATATAAGTATAAAATATAAATACAAGAATACAAAATATAAATGAAATACCAAATAAATAAGAATGCAATATAATATTTAAATATCCAGTAACAAGAGAATTTAACTAACTAAAATAATAATACTGATGGTCATGAATCAAATATAATAAATACGCAATAAATATAATATAAAAAATAAATAGGTACTATTTCAAAAAACTAATGTACAAATGCATATGATGAATAAAGTATATTTTGATTTGATTTGACCTTATCATGTTGATGTAAACAACGATAAATGAAGGTTTATCACTTATTTAATAGGTAAGAGAAACTCATGCTTGAATTGAAAAATCCAAATTTTGACATAAGTACTTAATTTTTACAAAAATAAAACCCAACTACAACTTGCCAAACAAACACACAATCACAAAAAGTAAAAAAAAAAACATGAGTTTAACTTTTTTCATGACCCGTTGATACTTGGTCAAATAAAGATAAGTTTAGTTTAATCTTTATCACAACAAGCATTAACCTTCATACTCTCCTTTGTAAAATTAGGACTTTTTTTCTTACTTTAGGTCTTTTTAAGACCACGACTCTTTTCGGGCCTGTGAAAGTTCCAGGACAAAATTTGCTGCTCAAAATAAGCAAAACTTAATTATTTATAGCCTTTAGCCTACTTTCTGTCCATTGAAACTCCTTCGACAAATTTTGTAATAGTTTCTCTCTATCACAGCCACATCGGTAATCTCTTTCAATCGTGTCAACAAAAATCATTGCTGAATGCTGATGATTTTTTGTGATCAGGGCAACACGTGTAATAATTTCCCTGATGTTCGTCTATGGCAAACTATGGATAGTACTAACTCTGAGTTGAAGTATATTGCTAATTTAGTGGGAATGAAAAGCCACACCCACAAAGTTTACAATAAACCAACGCATGATGGGCTGTCACAGTTTCACCGACACCGATTTCATACAACTTTAACGAATATGTTTGTCTCGGACGTTTATTACCAAAAAATTTTGAGCTACTAGGGCTACCAAAGTTGAAGCAACCTCTCTTCCTACTCCACTCAGAGGGACAGTCGGCCGTGACACCAAAATTAAAAATTGGGTAGATTAAGACCTCAGGAGGTACTAGGCATGTTCTAGTTAAATCTACTATCTGAGAAAATTCTCAACTAAACTAAAATACACAATGCTATGCTATGTGTGTTTAAAAACACCTAGACTCCCATATTCTCAGGTAGGCTGGATTCCATCCCTATGAAGAAAAAAAACTCTTTAATCATTGAATTTTCAAAAAAGATCAGTTCATAGAGAACAGAGAGAATACATATGCCTATAAAAATTATTTTTTACAATGAATTCTTTGGTTGCTAATGAACCTCGCCGATAAGCTCTTTAAACGTAGCTTCACTACACCCTTGTCTATGAAAACAAGAATAATTATATCCTTAAATAGTAAAGGTATAAACCAAAGTAACCCAGCTACTGTTAACAATGATTCTTACCTACAGCAGCTTCTCTCAGACTTTGTCGAACAACAAAACATAGCTTGGCAGGGTTGGTATTGAGACTATCTCCGGAGGACTTAGCGTTGAGATGCTGAATAATATGGCTGGCACATGTGTGCATGTCATTGACTAAAGACATGATCTCTGAAACAAACACAACGAAAACAACTTTATAGTAAGTAGCTTTAGCTGTATTTTATTTCAGCACTTATGTATAAGAACACATACTCATTGTATTTAATGGAAAGTTAATGAAAAATCGAGAATTATGTCTCAAGAGCCTTAGAACACAAAACATACACAATTTCATACACATAGTTTTCACGAAACGTGCAGGAAGTTTCACCCAAACGCAATTTTCCAAGTAGTACTCACGTTGTTTGAGGGTGATATTCCTCAGGTAGTGTTGACACAAGGTGACTAGAGAGGCCAAGCAGGGGTAGGAGGCTGCAGCAGTGATGCACTGGTGAGCTGTACCCTCGGACAGGTTAGCTGGAAGACACTCCGTGTACAGATAGTGCAGGATCGTACCTACAACCAGCAACTCAGTTTTAGAAACTCATCATTCTAAGATCATAGCGGATAATGTAAATTTGAATTATTCCATAAAGTTAGATTTAAAGTAGGTTTGTTTTCCACTTGAATCAGCAAAATCAGTGTGGATCCTTTCCCCCAAGGTCTGGTAGCTGGTATTCAAGGATAATTCAATTCTTTTTGTGGCCTATTTTCTTTTTCTCAAGACACTCCACATGATGCATCCATCTCATTGAATTCTTTTTCTTGTCCTTTCCAGTAATAAAAACTTCTGGCTAATGTGTTAGTTTTCAATACTATATTCCTAAGTGTAAATTCTTCATAACAATTCCAGTAAGGGATGTAGGAAATCATTACCCTCCACCCGAGGATACAACATTCATGCAGACTCAGCTTACCATTGTAAAATCTGAATATTTTAACAGACTGGCTATTTTGTAAAGTGTGCACTATTAAATTTATTAAATTAAATCTTATTAAATTCCACGTCATGGGAAGTTTCTTTGACACCAGTCTATGATCTGAACTCACTTTATTGTTCTGACTGATTCCTAATCAGTCAGAACAATAAAGTGAGTGTATGTTTTCCTAAAACATCAATTTGGTCAATGCAAGAACTGTTTTCTGTAAAAAATCTAAAGAGAAAATTCGCATTTCTATAATAGTTTTATATTCCGAACTCTATTTTGTAATCAAAGCATGATAAATAAAAAAAATAATTTTACAAGTAAAATGCAGACATGGATGGAAGAATTTATTTCTGGGTTAAAAACTGTGATTAGAGGTTTTTGGTTTTTGGTCAGTTTCTTCCTTGTCTATAATTTTCTTAAGCTTTCATCAATGTTCAAGAGGCAAAAGCAATCGGTTTTTGAGTTCCATCAGGATAAAACAGAGAGAGATAACAGCACCTAGCCCAACAGGAGATGCGTCAGTTGCTAATAGCAGTAAATTTGGATTGTAATGGCAAAGAATAGTATCAAATAAATACAATTTTGGAATCTATCTACTTCGGTTTTTAAAAAACAGATTTGTTTCGATAATTAATTTACACACTGTATTAACTGTAATTAATAGCAAACTGTAATTTTTGCTGGTAGTTATGCTGGAGATTTTTAATCTTTTAAATATATTATGACAGGTTATTTTTTACTTATATAAAACCCGCTGGAGGGACTAAACATAATTAAAATCAGGACAAAGGTCCTATTTTAGGTATCTGGATTTATTGATTTTACTGAATGGTCGAGTCTGTTTACCCAGAACATCCTCTCTGAGGCCTGATAGTGGAGGAGGGTCAGAAGTCCAGTCAAGTTCTGGTGCACTCAGCTGCAGTATACAGGTGTGGACAGCAAACTGTAACATAGTCAATTATTATGTCTTTCTTCAATTTAAATTTAAATTAGGCCTACTTTAATTCAAAACTATTATCAACGTAGGAACAAAACTATCTTCTTTTCCCTTGACGTCTGTCAAAAAACATTTGTGGAAGACTTTATGAAGTATTACATAGGTAAACAACATATGCCATATTGTTGTTATACCATTCTTCAGATAATGTATATTTAATTATCTGGGCTTAATATTCCAAAATCATGGAGAATAAGAGGGGCTTACCTTTTTTTCATTGCTCGATGCGATGGTAAGATCGGAGAAGTAACCGTCCTCCAAAGCAGGCAATAAGCTGAAAGTTGCATCTGATGTCTGGCTAGGCTCAGTAGCTGATGAACGACGGCAATGCAGCACACACCAGCCATCACATATCATCAGCATTTGGTCATGTGCCTCTGGCTGATCCACCTGATACATTCAAAATGATTCGTAAATCTTTATAATTAATACGCCATCATAAAATTACGCAATTAAACTCATCCTGTATTTCTTAGACAATTTTGATCATTCACATCTCATTGGAAAGAGTGTATCACATAGGTACTTTCGAAAAAGCCCGAATTTTAAAGTTCCCATGTTTTCTTTATGAAAAAAAATGTTTACATTATGATCAGCTGGATGATTTAATTGCTGTTAATATTTTAGTTGCAATTAAAGGAAACACTTGCTACAAACATTTACTGACTTGGTTTAAATTTAATACAGTGAAACCATGGTGGAAGTAAATAAGGTGTGCTACTGCGCATCGTAGCCGGCTGCAGGCGGTGCGGGGAGGGGTATCGTGACGTCACCTTGGGGGCAAACTTGCCTCGCGACCATATCGAGCAGTGACGCTGCTCTAATAAAATTGTAATTTTTAATAGTAAGAACCGATAAAAATTCCTGAAACTTTGCATAGTCATGGACTATTAACATAGGATGCTTATGATTTAAATTTTATTAATTTATTTGAAATAAAAACCATTCAACCACCAATCAAACTTCAAACTTTTTCATACGAACACAAAAAAGTTAGTCAGCTACCAAATCACGTATTATTTGGTCAGGTTTATCAGACCTGCGGGAAAGTTTTAGGGAAAGGTTCTAATTTAACTGTAGTATCGGTTGGATTTCGATAAAAGAATTACTTTTTTAGCTACGAAGAATTATATCAAGCGGCAACGGAGCGCGCGCTCAGCCGATGCCACCGTTTATTGGATAATAAGGCCACGCATTATTATCCAAAACACTGTAGCTACATGTTATAAGGATATACTTTGTATTCTACATTTTAAATGAAATATGCAATATTAACATGTGACAGATATAATAAGTTTTACATTAAAATGCGTTGCAACATCTTCGTTTTTATACAAATTAACTCTCTTTGATAACAGTGCCATAACATTTGTAGGATCGGAAATGAATAACATTTCCTTAACCAAAAACATATTTTATTACATTTTGCAATCTTATAAAAGTATTTACGACCTGAAAGTAAATATCTAAAAAATTAAACATTTCATCACCTCTGGATTTTTCTAAACTTTTTTTTTCTTTAGAAATTTTATTTTTTCAGCAAAATTGCATTGTCTTAGCCTCCTGTTGATTTGTTTGATTTTGATATTTGTTTGACATTTTTGTAGAAAGATGCGTGCCCTATGGAAAACTGACATCTACTGCAACTCGCGGTGAACACCGAAACGAAAAAAACAAACAACACGTGATCATCCCCCGCACACACCCCCGCATCCGAGCCAAAGTTGCGACATAGATAACAACCCCAGTGAAATAGGATCCTAGCTGTCAAATTAAACTGGAATATACAATTTTTTTATCATGGTATTACATGAGTGAAACAATTTTACATTTTAACCTGATTATAAATAGGTACAATGTTTAATCACCAACTTATTCTTTAAAAGAGTACATTTTATTTTATATACTACGTTAAATACATTCCTTTGCGTTAAAGATAATTTATTATTTAAACCACTATTTGCAAACTTTTGTTTTAACTAATCAACAACGTTTTGCAATACTTTAAATGCAATTTGTCAACGTTAACTCTTTTCACAGAGGAGACAATATTATATATTCTCTGCGAACTACGAAATAACCCATATTCAAACAGGGAAAAACACACTGAAGTCAACAGAACAACAATTTTTCACATAAAAATATAAAAACAGGAATAAAAATATCACTGATACTATATTCATGAAACTACATTATTTGTTGGGTGGCAATGTGTGAGTGTGATTAATGCAGTACTTGGCAACTGACTTGACTCGCAGCACGCGCTCCGATCACGCGCTCATATAACTTAGCATATCTCAGGAAATAACGCCTCTAACGGTATATAGTTTGAAGGAAAGTTAAATTTGGATCTTTATCTAAAACTTTCCCGCTGGTCAAATGCTTCTAACCAAATAGTACGTGATTTGGTAGCCGACTAACTTTTACATGTTTAGTTTTAAGAAAGGCCAAGTATAAAGAGTGATTACACGCTTAAATTTTTAACAATTACAAACAATTTTTTCACAACACGTATCGTCCACTTATAATTGATGTCCATGTCAAGTTTCATAATTTTTCCTCAATTCTAACAGTTCAAAATGTTGATGTTAATAGAGCAGTGTCACGCTGAGCTATATACGCGCGCGAAGCGGTTTGCCCCCAAGGTGACGTCACGTCGCGATGCGCAGAACGGTCTCAAACTCGTCCGGCTGAGTAGCACACCGCCGTAGGCCTAGTGTTATTATAGTGTTATGTTAGTGTTACATCTCTTAGTAACACTAAGTCCTCAGGTTAGGATGAAATTTCTCTTTTGTCATGAGTTTTTAAATTTATCGAACACCCATTATGCCAAATAGTAAATCAGCCCCTTGAGGAGGGGGTTTTTCCTGATAAGCTTAAGTTTGCTGAGATTAAACTGCTGTTCAAAAAGGGTGATGTCAACGATCCCTCTAACTACCGCCCATTGCCTTGTTTTTCAAAGATTTTTTAAAAATTTTTAAAGATTCAACTAATAGAATTTTTAGAAAGCATTTATCTAATAAATGATTCACAGTTTAGTTTCTACCCAGGAATAAGTACTGAAAAAACCATAAAAAAATTATTAACTGCATTGCGGAAGCTTTGGATGGATAGCAGAAGACTGTGGGTGTGCTATGTGACCTATCCAAGGCTTTTGACTGTGTGGATCATCAGATACTCATAGAAAAATTAAGTATGCATAGAATTAAAAATACTGAATTAAAACGGTTTATATCCTATTTGAAAACCGAAAACAAAGACTTACTTAAAAAAAAAATGCTGAGAAATTATAAATCAGAGTGGAACATTAACCACTGTGGAGTTCCTCAGGGCTCCATTCTTGGCACTTGTTTATTTATGATATATCACATTTATAATATTAGTAAGATGGTCAGGGGTCTCCGATTTACAGCCCGAGAACAGATTTTATCCGGCCCGCAAAGGCCTACTGGAAAATAATTGTTTTTATATAATTGGTATAAATAGATGATCGCCAAAGTTGCGGCAACAGCCGTAAGTAGGCCTAAATGTTTCAGTCTCGGTGATATCGTGATTGTCATTCACGATCGCGGCAACTCGGCGATATCATGGTCATCACTCATGGTCGCGGCAATACTTGTAAGTAAATTTAGCTGTCTCGGTAATAATTTGATCGTCATTCCCGATTGCGGTAACACTTGTACCGGTAAGTAAATATTACAGTCTCTGTGATCACGTTATCGTCAGTCACGGTCGTCAAGGTCGCGGCAATAACCGTAGGTAAATGTTGCAGTCTCGGCGATAACGTGATTGTCTTTTGCGATCTTGTCAATTTGGCAATACCGTGGTCGTCACTCAAGGTCACGGCAACACCCGTAAGTAAATGTTGCTGTCTTGGTAATAATTTGATCAGTATTCTCGATTGCCTTAAAGTCAAACAATCAGAACACTCACGCCAACACTCAGAAGTAAATGTTATGGTCTCTGTGATAACATCATTGTCATTCGCGATTGCGGCAACACTCGCAAGCATATTTTGCGGTCTCTATGATACCGCGATCATCAATCAGGTTCGCGGCAATAACCGTAAGCAAATGTTGCGGTCTGGGTGATACCGTGATCGTCACTCACGAGCACGGCAATACCCGGAAGTATATGTTGCAAACTCGGCGATCGTCATTCGCAATCGCAGCAACACTCGCTAGCATATTTTGTGGTCTCGGCGATAATGCGATCGCAACTTCACTGTGAACATATCGTGCGGTATCAGTAAAATTTCTGTGATGATCTCCAGTGATCGTGATTTACTTATGATGTTAGAAGAGGGCCAATTGACCGCCTTTAATGAATTGATAGTTATTGGCTATTGGTGATCATTGTAGTCCTTGGTACATACCGAATTCAAGTACAATTCTCGGTGCCCAGGTTTTTCTGGATACCCAGATACCCTGTTTAAATATGTGTATAGTACACCTCTCTCACACTTTCCACGTTTTTTCCAATGATAGAAATTGGCTGTAAGCATGTGCCTAGTGATCAAGCTATCTTAATACAGATCTTCCAAGCTAAGTGAACCTTTGAATTGAAAACAATCCTGAGGATCAGGACAATAAACTTTAATCCTGATTTGGCTGACCTTAAAGTGGCAAATACAAAAGTATCCCTGATGATAGTTTTAGCTTCAGACTTCTTGTAAACTCATTGTCAATTATTCTTATCGTCATTACAATTAAATGTTAAATCAAGTAAACTTAGTAGTACTTATCGAACATATTTAGCTACTCATGTACATCAGTCCTACATAAAAACTTCTATTATAGAATAAATACTAATATCATGGTAAATATACTGTAAAGTTAATTTATAGGCTAGAAGCCTACCTTTCTTATGAATTTGAATATTCATAAGCCTACTATCTTACTAATATTATAAATGTGAAAGTTTGTGTGTTTGTTTGTTTGTTTGATTGAAGTTCAATTACGCATTAATTAGGTACTGGAGAGATTGGGCTGAAATTTGGCATGATGATAGCTCACATTCCCGATTAACATATAGGCAAATTCTTATCTCAAAAATCCTTACGGGCTCCGCCCCAGTGGCTCTGGAGTTTCCCATGTTAACCTTATGAGTACTTATATTTAAATGGAATTAAAGAATTTAGTCAGCTATTGCAACTAAAATGGTTGGTTCTATGTTATGCAAAACCATTAAAAGTTATAAGATTTACCAACAGGGTGCAGCACTATTATTTTTTTTTTTCATTTATGACAACAGCTAATTTGAATTAAGCGGCAACAAAAAACTGTGATACACAATGAGAACCGTCTGTTTACAGTTTTGTTTATCTTTTTAATTTCACAAATAATTTGTGATATTTTGTGAATCTTTAATAATTTATTTTTACTATTGTTTGGGTGAAGTGGTAGAACATTATGGCTATGGTAGATGTGTAATACTATAGCATACCGTAAATTTAAAGAAGCAAATTTTATCATACTGTGTCCTCCCCCATTGCAAACGCAAAGCTTCAGTATAACTGCAATAAGCATTTTATACTTATGCCAATCTCGTACGAAGGACGGACCACGTACTCTGCTAGTAATAGTATAAATATGACAAACACAGTTTATATACCCATAAATAATTATGTAAGGTAGGTCAATTATTTTGTTTGATGACGGTATAATTCACAAAAAAAGTAACTTACAGAATTTTAGTTAGTCAAAAGGTTATGTAGCAACAAAAAGTCAGCATGAAATGTTCAAACTTCATCGCTGAGCTCTTAGAAAACTACCGCTTTATGGGTTATTTGGAGGGGGGCTACCTTTCTACACTGAAATGCTAACGTTCCGGCCCGCCTTTCCTCCAAAAATTTTCAATGTGGCCCTTGAGTAAAAAAGGTTTGAGACCCTGAGATACGTTATGAATGATCTATGTAATGCTACTAAGATTTCCAACTTTCAATACGCAGATGATACAGCTCTAATATGTAAAGGACAAAACAATTAGTTCATACAAGCCTCAATAACTCAGGAATTTCAACTCCTCGGGGACTGACAAATCCCCGACAAATTAAACTACAGCCCATACTCACTCTAAACTCTATGATGTGCCCTTGGTAGGCCCCGAAACGTATGGCCACTCCGGACATGGACGAGCCTAAGACGTCGTAAGTTTCACATGTGAACAACGGAAGACCCTCGGCACCAGAGGCTGGACTCCAGGTTACGTCTCCGTTCTCTTCCAGCAGCATAATTGTACTGGCCACAGAACAAAGACAAATTTAAATGAAACAAGGTTTCCACTCATTGACGGCGCTTCAATGGTGGTGTGTAAAGTAAAAAATCACAACTGCAGTGGGCGATTGTAACAGAGCTTTGCGGATGATGCTAAACTCGCTTTTCCAATGTGTCACTTTCTGTTCCTACCATTTACTATATATACAAGCTGTTTGCCCGTCCTACGTACGGGAATCGAGTAGTCCATTATATCTGTTTATAGTGTGTCCATTACTAATTCAAGTATATTTTAAAGAGTTCAACATTTTTAGTAAAGACAAAGCTGCCAAGATGAATGAAAACATGTGATCATTGTTATTTTCCCAACCCCAAAAAGTCGAGTATTAAAATAGTTTTCATAAGCTTTCTTTTGAAGATTCGTGGGCTTCGATTTGTATACAGCACTGGTTATATAATTTTACTTATTTCCTATAATCAATGACAAAATAACAGAGTAATTAAACTAACCTAATAGTTCTATAGAATATTCTTTTATTTAACCAGCTGTTAGTTATAACAAATTATATTGCACTAAAACAAATTAAATATTTTAAAGACTGCTAAAAAAATAACTGAGAACATCTAGTATTTTACTATGTATATTTAAATAATCTCTCATCCTCTTACGGAATAAATGAAAGCACCAATGATTATAACATTACACATAGTATAAATAAGTCAATTCTACGTACCGGTATGTCATTTTATTTTCATCCAAATGCTGAATTTGTGTTGAAAACACTGAATGTTTACAGCTGTTACGTTAAGCAAATGGAATTGTACTAAAAGCTAGAGTAGAATGTTAGCGTCGGCTGCTAGACTTTTTAAAATTTAAAACTTAATTTCTAAAAAACTGTAATTCTAAACTAAAATTATGGCTTCGACATTCCCTAGTTTTCAAAATTAATTTTCTTTTAACACAAAAATCATGAAAATCCGTTAAGTGGTTGATTCAGAATCGTGAAATAAAAAAACCCTGTCACGTTTTAATATATAGGATAGTATAGGAAAGCTGTCTTATACTAAGTTAGGCTGATTCCTACGCTAACTGACCTTTGAAATCGTTTAATAACATGTAAGCTAAAAAATGGATAGAAAATATTTTAAACTTAGGTAGGGTATATTGAATGAATAAAATTTTCAGGATAGCAAGTGCTTTCTTTCTAGAAGCTAGTAATGAACTCGGAATGAAAAATTAAATCCTTGACATTATTTTTGATAGTGAATATTAAGTTAAAATGTTTGTAGGTTAAAGTGGAATTCATAAGTTATCTTTCATGATAAAATGCTACACAAAACCTCAGAGCTCAATTACTCGGACAAGTAGGCCTATCTGACCTAGTAATCCTGTCAACAGCTACCAACAATAAAATGCAAGAAAATGGCTTTTTTTAATTAATTTTCTTTTCTATTATTATTAGTAAAATTAAAAATGAACCCCTGTAAAACCCGCTAAAACCAAATAATAATAATAGCCTAATGAAGGTGGATGGAACTTCAATGGAAGATCTGCAAAGCTCAGAACAAAGAGGTGTTTATGTGCAGCTTAAATAAAAATTAAATTGAGATTAGGTTTTTATAATTTATAAATCACAGCTTTTATAGGCTAATTTTAGTTTCACCAGCTTAGTTGAACTGTGATATTCAAAAAATTTAGAACTAAAGAACTTGAGGCTAAGTTTTTCGTACACACCCCTCAATGCCTGTTGGCTCTTGATGACTTGGCCCACTTCCTGGCTGTATTATGCACATGGTGATCTGAAAAATTACAAAAATATGGACTAAGCCTAGAGTAGAAAATTCTCTATAAGAAAATAGCCATTTGTAAGTAGCTTTATAACTGCCAGCTATACCAACCAGAAAGACTAGGACTGTTTTGGAATATACAATAGGATATAATTATGTGTTATTGACTGACACATTATTGTCGGGACCACGTAAGTTTGCAGTTGAGGGAGGAGCCTAATTACCATATGGTTTTGAATGAACCAATGAGATCCGTGCGGTGTTGCCAAATCTAATAATACCAGCTGATTTTAAAATATTGCTTAGTATATTTTAATTAGTGTTGTCAACGGGTGATGTGGCAACGTCGCACTAGCCTTGTCTTGTGATTGGCTGCCACCAACTGCAAACTTACGTGGTCCCGACAATAAATAATTAATATAACATATGTTAGGCCTACTGAATGAATTGCCAGTTGTTTTTTTTCTAAAATCATTGTATCTTACAGGATCGCTAAATTTTTCATAAAAATGAGTCCAGTAACTTAGTCACAATATGCCTAGAAAAATGGAGCCCTTATCTCACGATAATATTTCAGACAGGCTAGCAGGTTATGTTGGTGGTTGAACTGTCTTAAAAAACTAATTGATCCATAACTCAGTCAACCTCTTGGCTGCAATCTCCAAGGGACCACAGGTCAAATTAAACCGATCAGCTGGTAATAACATTGATACCAAGGATTTAAGAAGGACTAGTGGTCGTCCTGTGGTCGAAACTCGACCAAAAATAATTAATGTACAGACTTCTCTATTTTCTCCCCACACTGTTAATAAAACATGTGATTGGGATTTCTTCCATTTGTTTTGATTTTCTGTTTACATTTTGTTGTTATTTCGTCACCATCATGGCAACCCAGTTGGTCCATGTTAATTTTTAGAAGTTTTCAAGTTCGTTTTTTGTGCTTATTTTTTAGCCTATTTTAATTTTTAAAGGGATTCTGCACATCTACAGGCAAATATCTTTCTAACAGTATGCGTAGATTTCCCCTGCGATGCACACGAGCTGAGAAAAAAGGTTTTAAAGAAACATGCTTGCCTATTAATATATAGATAGATTAGTGCAAGAAAATTGATTGAGACAATATCACCATGGGGCAATTGGTGTATTCCCTGTCCATTAGGTTTAAAATGGAAACTATAACAAAAAGGTCTTCTGGGATTGGTGCTTGACAGATTCCAGGATTAGATTGGAATAAGATAAAAATAAAAAGAACTGTGTTTAGTCTAATCTGTGACAGGCTTAGATGGGTTTATCAATTGAGGCAGCTTAAAAAAAAACTCTCATTGAGCAGTAGCTTATGTGACACTCAGCCCACTGGGTGTTGTTTTACACATAGGGCGCCCGGGAAAAGGGGCTCCTTTAGAGCCGAGCTTCAGAGACAAATTGACTTTTATACATTTAATTTTAACAATTTTGAGGCAATCGATGAGGCGGTAGACAGTATCACCATAGTAACATATTTCGAATATAGTTGTTCCTTAATCCTTACGAAAGAGAAAGAGCAATGGGGCAATTGTACTATAGAACAAAAGTTCTCACAGAATCTATCCTTACAGTATGAAGGGCCAAAAGGCACTCATGGAATAACTTTTGTAGCAACTTGGAAGGGATTAGATACCGTACATCCAGAATAAATACAAGGTTCTTTCTAGGAACAGGTCCATCACCCTCGGTTCCATTGAGGGACGGGTGGAGTTAAGACTTTTGAACCCAGCGAAATACTTAAGGTCATGGCAAGAACTCACTTCCCTGGTTGCAATGTCTCCACTGTGCTGCAGGAAGAGGTGAGAACTGAGCGATCTGATATATGGCTGCATGCCACTCACTCTATGTGGAGTAGCCTACTAACAGTACTGCCTGCTGTACAATTACTTTTAGCAAGGTAAGATGAGCTGTAAGTCTGCTACACCCCTTCAAAATGCAGGGTCCAGATGAGGTAAGATTGGGCTCTTTACAAGGTCTAGATACCCTTATACCAGTGCTTTGTAAGTTGTTCAGGGCAAGCTTAGCTTTGGGTCAATGTCCGTTTTGGATGGAGCTATTTTGCATAGCATTCATCCCAAACCAGGAAGGGACAGATACACTGTTCTCAAGTCATTCATACCTATTTCTTTATCTTCATTTTTTCTGAAGATCCTGGAAAAACTGGTCTTAAAATATGTGGGGGACACAGCTCCTAGGATAAGTCTAAGGCTTCATCAAAAACTAGTATGCATATATTGCAGGAAGATCATGTGAGCCTGTGTTGCACTACTTGGCAAGCAGGATTGAGAAAGCTCTAGAGTGCAAAGAGGTTGCCCTGGATGCATTTCTTGACATTCAGGGTGCCTTTAATGTGTCTAGAGCACGGGGTTTTCATGATGTTGTTTGCAAATTTATCAAGTCGTTGCTCCAAAGCAGGGGACAATCAAAGCAAGAACAACTCAAGGATGCATCCAAGTCCTTTCTCCCCTCCTTTGGAACTTGGTAGCAGATAACCTCGTAACGACTTTAAATGATAGTGGGGTCTTTGCCTTAGGCTATGCTGACTTAGCAATATTGGTACGTACAATCTGGGTTGGCAAGTTCCACAGAACAATTACTTATTACTGATCTGATGAATGAGCTCTAAGAGTTGTTGACCTTTGGTGTCTTTAAGTCGGTCTCTTTATTAATCCCGGTAAAGTTGTAATGGTAACTTACCCTTCAAAAAAGGAGGATACTGGAAGGGATCGGCTAATACTGCAGGGTAGGTACTGAAATTGTGCAGAACCAGTTTATCCATGATCAGTCATCTGCTACTAGTAGGGGGTTTTATTCTCTCAATAAGTCTAATAATCATTGTTGTGAAGACTCACTCAATGGGCGCGTTCTGGGAACATGTACCGGTGCATGTTCTGGAACCTGCAGATTAACCGGTGACTTATTCACTGGTACCCCCCCCAAGGGAAGAGTCTCAGTACAGTATCACAGAACGGTTAGTCACCGGTTTACGGTATACATCGAATTATAATTTACACATACACCTACTATTTACTTTATAATATTTAAATCAAACAAACTTACCCTCACAGAATAAATGATTTGAAAATTATTCACTTATTACGTAAAATATAAACCCCTCATAGAATATTATTCACTCATTAGTTACGTAATATAACCTATAAAATTATGTTGTTTACCTTATGATTGCCAGGTTCTTGATGAAATAATAATGTAAAGCTCTATGTACCTTTCGCCACAAGTGTGGCATCCTTAGGAGCTGTGAGAAGAAACCAGACACAGCTCCTGAGGATGCCACACTTGTGGTGAAATGTACATAGAGCTTAACATTATTATTTCATCAAGAACCTGGCAATCAAAAGGTAAACAACATAATTAATTATTTGTTCTTGAATCTGGGAATACCACATAAAAACCAATGAAAACTTATGAACATTATTCGATGGACCCGACATCTAGTACGGTAGCTGCATACTGTTGTCCAAGAAACTGACCAATCAGAGGCCGCCGATATACTATGCCCTGACAATTTCTCTGGTGCATAAATCTTGCACCAGTGGAGAAAAAAGAGGAAATATCTGTCTCCTGGGTTAACTCACCGGTCTCCCAGAACGACGCATTCTATGCACCGGTCCTGCACCGGTCAGTGTTCCCAGAACGCGCTCACTGTCTTATTTATTGCTACAGTTATGGAAGTTGATGTTATGATGTTGACATCTAAATAAGAAGGGAAGGGATTGTTTTTAAATAGGTAGGCTAACAAATCAGTACCGTGAACTGTTTGTATCATATCAATATTTTTTAAGTAGCCTAGCCTACTTTTATCCCACAACAGTGCATGAGTTTTAGCACCTAGCATCAGGGTTGCCATCCACCTCGAGTCGGGACAGTTCTGACTTTGGTCCCTTTTGACCGTGTTTGTGAATAGGCCTATGTTAATCCTAGTGGGGGGGGGCATCCCAATTTTTCCCTAACCAAATGTGGCAACATGCCTAGCATGGATACACTAGTTAAAATTTGAAGATTATAATATAGGCTAGCTTAAGTTAGAAATTACAATCACTAAGTAAGTTACCTAAGTTAAGCTTGATACATACATAAGACTGACGTTAATTTGTTTTGATAGGCTTTTTAAGGCTGCATTTTACAATAGAAAATAACTAGGTACACATGCCTTATAGGGTAGCCGATCTCAGAAATATTTTTCGTAACTTTACTTATGGCCTAGGGCAACCTAAGAGGGTCATTATTAGGGCCTAAAAAGGGTTGACTAGCGATTATAAACTCTGAAGTAAGTAATAACACTTCAAACATGTAAAATAAATAACACAACTTTGGCCTAGCCGATAAAATAAAAGCATTGATAAAAATCTGAATTGCTGTGCATAGATAAATGGGGGATGAAAGGTTATTTACCTCCCAAGATCCCAAAAACGGTTGAGGAGATTGTGCCATCTTCTCCGGTAAAGCTGATTAATCTAGAATTAAAACATGTAAATTGTATTTTATTTAGCTTAAAAATGATGTAACTACCCCGAATAATCAACAAGCACAAATCTTATATTTTCAATTTTCTCATCAACATTAGCAAAGCAGCATAGCAGACAGCCGTAGTAAGCGACAAGCGTAGTACCATTTTTGACATTTGGAATGGAACGATTTTATAACATGAAAGCATAGAGATACCGATGTAACTGAGCAATATGATAGGTACTATAAGAAAGAGTTTCTTATTATTAGTACAGTACAACGTGAGCGGTTTTATTTTGCAAAATACAAGCATATTAAATATAAATAAATCGAAATAATTAAGCTAGATGTTCAAGTTCTAAAATATATGACAGTACATTATTACATTTCTTTAGCGTACTCACCCACGGCCACCATAGTAACTCCCGCGGCCTTCAAAGTCGCTACGTCACAAGTAGCATCGTTAACAGCTGTTTTGTTTTGAGGCAGCTATTTATGTATTTTTAAGACTACAAAACATACATATTTATCATACCACATTATCATAAGTATGCCAACCTACCTTTGATCGTTATGACAAGGGATCGTTTATCATACCACATTATCATAAGTATGCCAACATACCTTTGATCGTTATGACAAGGGATCGTACACAAAAAGAGCGAGCGCACCTAAAGAAACTTCGGGATGAGCTTGATGAAAGAGTTAAAAAGGGGAGAACCTGACTATATCAAGTACAGAAACGGAGTCCCCACCCTTATTTAAGACCAGCCAAAAAAACTCTTACACTTCCACGGTAACACTCCAAACGTCCTTTTGTACTTTCAAAATGTATATGGCCTTAGAACTAAACTTGAAGAATTGAAGGTAACCGTGAATACTTGCTTTTATAATATTATCTGTCTGTGTGAGACTAATTTACATGACGCCATCTCATCTCCTGAACTTGAACTTCACAACTACAATATCTTTAGGCAAGATAGGTACATAGCTACAAGTAAGAATAAGAATATGTTTATTGTCTTTCAGGCTACATTTTAAGTGATAAGCATGTGTTTTTGTTGGTGTGAAGATTTCTGCAAGATCTTACCTGCTTACATTCCGCCAAATGCAAACGTCAGAACATCAATATTTTACGAAGAAATTTCTTTGGAAGTTGAAGAGATAATTTGTAACCACTTCTTTGCAGGAATAATCATCACTGGTGACTTCAACCAACCCACAACTGACTGGACTTCGCTTGAAAGGGCGCGTGTGAATCGTCTCAAGTGTTGGTTGACCTTGCTCCAACTTTCAATCTCAACCAACTTAATTTATTTTTCTTTCAAATGCTACAATTTAGGTTATGTTCAAACCAAGCGTTGGACGAAAATAGAAAACATAAACTATAAACACGAAATGAGAGGTTATATCGTAGTTAGTTATAATAGTCATCAGCTGATAATAGTATTATTATCATTAAGTGTTGCCAACCTATTTCCAGGCGTACACGGATTACGTGAATAATAAATCCCACTGAGCTATAATTCTAACTGGAGGTAGCACTGAACGTCAACGATGCGTGTCGCCAGCCGCCATGTTTGCGTGAGGTGTGAGTTATAAATAAGCCATGTTATTGGATGAAAAAACTCACTGCTATGCAAACCTAGTTATAGAAGCCATGCTATTGGATGAAAAAACCTGCTGCTATACCAACCTAACAAAATCAGCGACACGCTTTTGACAGACTTCTGCCATGGCAGTGCTACCTCCAGTTATAATTTTAGCTCAGTGATAAATCCACGCTTTTTTGTGTTGTTTGGTTGGAATTCTGATGTGCACCAAAGTATAAACCGTATGACAATAGTAGTTTACACAACGATTGCGTTAAGTTAGTCTTAAGTTAGTAGAAAATTTAAGGCACGAGCCTTGGCGAGTGCCTTAAAAACTTCTACGAGTGTCGTAAAGACTATTAACGCGAGTTGCGTACACTACTTTACCTACGGCCGTTTTTTAATTACTAACAATCTGGGTTATTAATTACTATCAATCACTATTCATTTCTTAGAGAGGTTATGTTTTCGTTTATTGTCATTGCCACAGTGATGCAATGACTTATTGTATAATTAGCTGATTTCATGTAATTACGTGTTTGTAAAACTTCGTTAAATAATACGTTACATTTTTCAGTGAATAGGTTCTGCTAGCAGCATTCTTATTCTTACCATAAACAATGTATCAGGTACAATTAGGGAAATGTTGCATATTTTTCTTTTGGACAACTGAATAATGAAACAGTTAATTTACAGTTAGATCTCAGCATCGAATATGTGGTCCACAACGAGTTGGGTGAAAAAGTGGTTAAGAGAGTTTCAAAATAAACCAGAAGCACATTTATCATTTATCAATTTAACCTTATTTTGTTTAGCCCATTTAATGAATTGCTGGTATGTAATTTCATACCTTTGTTTCGATTTCGGTGGCAAAAGGTTCGCACAAACGGTATGTGCTCTCATTTCCATCTGTCAACTTCACTTTCACTAACTGACATTTTTAAATCAGTTTAATCTACCTTCCTTTAACTTCCACCAACATAAGTTAAGAATACGCGAGTATCAACAGGAACAAGTTGGATCAACAATTAAAATTGTCAACTGATCAGCTGTTTAGTTGAAGATCGAAGCATTACAATTTTACTTCTTTTCTCTCAATCCTTGAACCTCATTGGTCCGTTACCTGTGTTGTTACGAGAAAAACTATGCTGTTATGAAATGAAACTATGCTGTTATGAAAGTAAACAGCTGTTAAGTGAACCTTTTCAATTCCACGAACTGAACTGAAATGGCTACTTTAAAAAAACGGTCGTAGGTAAAGTAAGTAAATACAGCAATTAGCAGCTTTCTGTACTATAAACAGTGCAAGGAAGCCAACTTTGTTAGGTGAGTGTAGGAAAATAAATTATTGTCATATTTAAACAAACTAAGAATCAAATGATCTTTTGCGCAACAACACTGAAAATTATAAGCTAATAATTTTAATATCACTTTAGTGTAAGCATAATTTAACTAAGTTATTTGTTGATTAGTAAACAGCTTCACTCACTCTATGAACAGAATTAATACCCCCGCCGCAGCAAACCTGCAGACTAAGCGAATTTCCATTTGACAGATTGGATTTATTTATTCCTGATTTAAATAGAATTAGTTTAACAAGTACTTAGGTTTGCTGCAACAGGGAGGGTAAAAAGGTGTTTTTTGTAAAATGTTAATAGTTAGTAAGAAATAAAAACATTTTCCAAATTTGATCAAAATATGTTCATAAACAAGCAAACTACAACAGTTTACTTATTCTCCATAAGAATAACATGGGAATTTTAAATTTAAAATTTTTTGGAATTTTCTCTGTAACCATTAGGCGCATAACAACGCTTCAATATACTAAATTATTTGGATTTTTAAGCTCTACAAAATGGTTTGGAAATAAATTGCTAAATTTTATGTTTTTTGGGTCAAAAATGGGAAAAACCTATTTTTACCCCATAAAACCCCCCGTAAACACCCGTTCCCATGGTCCGATCATGCTGGATCGCGAACTCGTTCGAATAAACGTAGGTTTACACGTTTGTACCAAATTTCATCAAAATCGGATCATTTTTGCTCGAGTTATCGTGCTGACGGACATATATATATATATATATATATATATATATATATATATAAATATATAAATATATATATATATATATGAATTTGAACGGATGGTGTTTTTGGCCTCTAGGGACCTCAAAACGAAAAAAAAATCGGTCCCGCGTCCAGGTCTTACCATGAGTACTACGGTAATAGCTTATTCCCTATATGGGAAATTCGCTAATAAAAGTAAAAAAAAATAATACATTTGTAGTCACATGTTTAATGTAAACAAAGCTGATGTTTTTCAATCCCAATGCATTTAAAATGGAAGATTTTTTCGTTATTTCTCATTTTCCGGTAGATTTTTACATAATCTGCTATTTTTTCCGAACCAATGGGGCCAAGACCTTTAATTTGAGCCCTCCCCATCATCCTGGTAAACTATCACAATTTTGATAAAAAAAAATATGCTTACAGAATTAATAATACAGATATTCTTTGTAGCACACGTTTCCTTAAATTACAACTAAAATATTAACAGAAATTAAATTATCCACATGATCATAATGTAAACAATTATTTTCTTCATAAGGATAACATGGGAACTTTACAAGCCACTGGGGTGGAGCCCAAGGGACTGTCACAGTCTAGTAATATTGTTGTCTTGGTCCAGACAGTGGAAATAGGGAGTTCCAAAGAGCCATCCTACGAGGGAAGGGGACTCCCTGAACCATGCGGTAACATCTGTTGATCATCAGAAACTTGTCATCCCCTCGTCTCAGTGGCTCCCACGTGGTTGACTTGCATGGGTTACCTGGGATTCTGCAAGAAACAACAATCCTCAAGCTTGTTAATCACAGGGATATAACGCTACAATAATAAAAAAAAACAGGATAGAAACAGGGCCTCGCTCCTCAAAGGGCCCTGGGCTTAGGCAAAACACAAATTTTTTTTAAGTCTGTGAATTACATGAAAATTGCCATTAGTCCTCATTTTACGCCGCGAGTTAGGATCGCAGAACATGATCTTGATATTGCCCTACACACATCATCACGGTTGTTGGCACGCCGTTGTCAGAAAAATATCTCAGTTGCTAACGACTTCCAGAGTTGATCAAGGGTTTTACCGTGTTCAAGAAATCAACATGGATGTGCTGGGATCATAGGAAACCATCAGGATATGCTGACTTTCGCAGGAAATCATTTCGAGCTTGTCTGTGATCGCAGGAAATCATTGTTGAAATCCACCAATTTAAACTATTTGAGGAGGTAACAATTTTAAAATGTAACTTTTGGGTGTTTTACTTCAATGTTAAGAACATTTAAGTACAAATATATATCCAAAAAATAATTTTAGAAATTAAAAACACATTGAAAAACTTAAATTGATCCAGTATCTCGGTCTCAATGTCGGTTATGGGGTAACAATGAGTTTTTTTTTTCAAATTTTTAACTCTCAAAACATAAAATTTTGCAAATTATTTCAAAACCATTTGGTAGAGCTTAAAAAACCAATTAATTTTATACATTGAAGCGTTTCTGTAAGCCAAATGGTTACAGGGAAATTACAAAATACTAAAATATTTTAATTCACATGTAATTCTTATGAAGAATAAGTAAACTGTTGTATTGGAGATATTTTGACCAATTTTGGTAAGTTTATTTATCTACTTATAAAAACTATTGATATTTTTCTGGAAAGACCCTTTATATAATTTATTGTAGCAGCAAATCTAAGTACCGGTAACTCTTTTAAACCTACTGAGAATTTAATAGGGAATAAATCTGACATGTTTAAAAAATTATTTTAATGAAAACCCGATAATGTTAATTAAAATTCACTTACTCCGCAGGTTTGCTGGGATGGGGGTATTTTTTAGTTAGGAGGTGGTAGAGTAATAGTCTAAGTCCACCTTGCTTTTGTGAAATTTGCAATATGATGTGTCAGATTATTTGAAGTGTGCAAAATAGCATGTAATTGAATCCTCGTTGCTGAAATTCTTATAGGTCAGGAAGAAAGAATCCCTTATTTTTCCACTTCTCTTAGTGGAAAAGGTGATTAAATACATCCAATGGTGTAACAATTAATTTTATCCTTAACTCAAGAGTAATGGCTTTAAGAACAGACACATAGATAGAAACCACTCAATTCTTTAGAATTCTGTAGATCTATTAAAATCTACTAATTTAATATAATCCGCCCTATTTAAAAAAAATATTGAACTATACAGCTTAGTTTGATATTTTCATCAGATTAACCTTTTAGTGAACAATAAACTATGGCAATAAAATGTCATTAGAATATGTATGATGATAGAGGAATAAATAGTTGAAGAGAGGTTATTGGTAGCATTGATGGTTTGAATATGGACCCAGAGCTGCCCCTGATCATTGGGCTTTGAATAAACTAGCTGTTACCATAGACAAAAAGAATTGCCTATGCTGTTACCCACAGCCTTCATGCTTCACCCCGTTTGACTTCATTCAATAAAACTATTGATTGGTTAAGCTGAAATAAACAAATCAGAATACAAACAAAATAATCACACCTGAGGTAAATTGAAAGAATAACATATAGTACAGCTGAGGTTTTTTTAACATTAGGTAAATGGAAAGTCCCCTTTAAAAAGGAATTACGACCTTAAAGGGCGATTTATGAAATAATGGATAGTTTTGCGCAAGGTTTTTCGTCATGACGAACATTTTAAGTATGGGGGTGTGACTTATTGTAGTTTTCTCAAAAGTTCATGGGTACTTTGGGATTTATATATGGATGATCCTGACTGATGAATCAGCAGATCTTAGTCAGTAACAAAGCTACACAGATCATCTCACAACATTCTACACTCATCCTTCACTCATATTTGGGTTAAAATACACAACTAGGTGGCGTCCCTAAATCAGCGTCAACAAATTGAATTGAATTGACTAGTAAATTTAATTACCCTGTAGCTGCAAAGGTTGTCCATGTTGAAGTCAAGATTCGTACCATTGATGCATCTGGATCTGAAGAGTTAAACTCCGGGAACAGTTTGGAAATATAAAACAAGTAGATGAGATCATCATGGTGGGCTATACCTGTCAGATTAATGAGATACATAAAAACAATAGTTCATATTTTGTAGCACTAGTATATTATTGGTACCGTAAGTTATCAAAGCACAGCAATAATTAACACCACTAATAAATATTCTTTTTAAAGACAGTGACATGTGTGACACTTGGGTGCATACTTTTAAGCTGAACATTTAATTATTTATTTCTCCAAACAATTTTGATACCTATAGGTATATTACCGATAACAGCTATAATGATTAATAGTACAATATTAATAAATACCTTTTATTTGTTATGCCATATGTACAATTTATTTGGTATTGTTTTGTATCATTTATCCTACTTCCTACTTTAGGATAGTATTGTAAGTGAGAAAGATTAGATGCATGGATGTTTGTGACAAGTAAACACAAAAAATACTGGTCGGATTGGGCTGAAATTTGGTGTGGTGATAGCTCAAAGTTCCGATTAAAATATAGACACATATTCTTATCTCAAAAGTCCATTTCGGGCTCCGCCTCAGTGGCTCTGGAGCTTTCCCATGTTATTATGAGTACGGTATTCATTTAAAAGGAATAAAATAATTTTGTCAGCTGCTTCAACTAAACATAAGTTGGTTCTATGACATTAAATAGCATTAAAAAGTTATAAGGTTTACCAACAGGGTGCAGCACTATTAATTTTTTTGCATTAAAAAAAGCTGTGAAAATGAGAATTTATCTTTTTTGTTTTGTTTAGGTGCAGTGGTAGAACTCTGGTAGATGTGCTATACTATAGCATACCGTAAATTAAAAGAACCAAATTTTCTTAAACCGTGTCCTCTCCCATTGCAAAAGCAAAGCATGGGTATAACCTTTGACTATTAATCCAATAGTCAATGGTATAACTGTAATAAGCATTTTACACTTATATCCAACCCCGTACGAAGGATGGGTACTCTGCTAGTGTGTTATAAATTTCTATTGCAAACAAATTTAAAGCCATCTAAATAGTGTGTAGTCTGAGATGTAAATAGACTTTCTAAAGAGTAAGAACTTACCTAGAGGGGTTTTTGTGCCAGGAACATAATTGTGGCTGTATTTTCCTTGATAGTCGAATAAATATAAATACACACTTGATGAGCTTTTTGCAGCAAATAACCGAGCAGTTTGAACAACAGAAAATGTTATCAATGAATCAGTGTAAATCTGAAAACAAATACCGATAAAGTATCAATACATTGAATATAAATACAAAGAGAAAAGGCCCTAAGGCTAAATTGTATATTAGAATTGCATAGAAATATTTCAACTTTGTTTATTGTAGTATTGCAAATTTCAAAGTCAGGTTGAGCTGTTTGAGCATAAAGTGGAAACAAAACTCGCGTTGGAGGAACAAGGAGATTTGAATTAGGCCTGTTTCAGTTTTGATGAGGTGTGAAATGTGCTAAAAACAAAAGACTGTACACATTCAAGAGATATACAATTTAAAAAATGTAAGTTTCATTTAATTTACATAGATGGGACTAGTTTACCAAACAGCATCTTGTTTCCTTAATTTCCCAGAGAAATTTCAACTGACTGTTGTTAATACACACTAGAACAAAACTGTTAATTGTATCTTAGGACAAAAACTGTTTTAGAAAAAGATAGACTGATAATAAATTAGATTAATTTTACGATAAATTGGAATATTACGTATTTTCATTACCACTGCATATAAATGATTGCATTGCCACACCTGTAACAGTAGGCCTACGGTATGCAAAATAGCTCATTATATCAGCTGATTTTACTGTTGAAGTTTCTATAAAACACTAACATTCGATAAATAATGAACAACCCGAAAAAGCAAAAAAAAAAAAAATAAAATAAAAAAAATAAAACATAACCTAATTGATATTTTATGTACGACTAAAATGTTTATCTTTGTGTTATAACAAATTTATTATGGTGGTATAAAAAAATATTGTGTGTACAGTATTACAATCACAGTAATTGCAGCTTTAGAAAAGTATGGTCATCTACTGTTCTGGAGTGGAAATGATATACTTTGTGACAAATAGCTATTTTTATTTAGATTGTCAGACACTACTAAAAACAAAAAAAAATATTTTTTAGCGAATTTCCCTATAGGGAAGTAGCTATTACCGTAGGTGGCACGGTAAGACCTAGACCCGGGACCGATTTACTTTTTCATTTTGATGTCCCAAGAGGCCAAAAACATCATTCGTTCAAATTTTTATATATGTATATATATATATATATATATAGATTTATATATATATATATATATATACGTCCGTGAACGCGATAACTTGAGTAATTTTTGTCCGATTTTGATGAAATGTGGTTTAAAGGTGTAAAGGGGGATAAACTTGAATGAGTTCGGGAACCAGCACGATCGCATCATGGGAACGGGGCTTTACGGGGGACAAATTCGGACAAATTGAAATTCGCTTAGTCGGCAGGTTTGCTGCGGCGGGGGTATTTCATTTAATAATCGTCACAAATTTTACTACAGTGTACCAATGCATTCCAATTAGTTTGTCCTCAATCTCTATCACATAGAGGCTCTTCTTCAAGCCTCACATCTTAATCTTTTTCCTTTAATTTCAGTCTAAAATCAATTTACCATGACTAGTGTACCTGTTGCTCGAATTCGAGCAATTGGGAAGCATTACATGCGTTATTTTAAAACGAATAACGGTCATAATTTCCGAGGACTTTATAAAAGTCGACTCAAAGATTATGGAAATACTCACGATGTACACACCAGTTAGATATAATCAAAATTGTTTGTAAATATCTTATCTTTTTTCAAAAGCTGGTCTTGTTTTTTAGAGTATTCTACAAATGTTTTCCACTCATAGCCGCATTAGGTTCTCTATAATAACGATTATAAATGAACAAAAAAACATTATTTCTACATATTATGCGATACGCCAAAGAACATCATCTACGTGCAACACACCTACGCACAATCTCCAAGAAGTGATAAAAAAAGGCAGAAACCAACCCATACAATAGACATAAGTTAACTCCATAAGAAATATTTTAAGAGTTACTGTGATATTAGGATTTTCCACTGATTTGGATTGCACATATAACATTACAACATCATTTTGCAAAACATGACACGATGCAGAAGAAAATCGGTTTTAAAATCAGAAAAAACCTTTGCAAATACTTCATTTTTTGACAAATTCAATAAATCACAATTTAAATATCAACAGCTGTTTCATTAAAAAGTAGTGTAAAATTATACATATGGCCATAATGTAAACAAATCTGTTGAGACTTTAAAGGCCTCTGGGGCAGAGCCCCAAGGGAATTTACCTCGTTTCTCTTTTGATGGCTCATCTACAGACTAAGACCTTTCTTTAGAGACCCCTACCAAATTTCTACGCCCAGCCGTTCTCTGAAATTAGCTGTGACAAAAACCCGTTTTTCCCCCATAAGAATAACATGGGATGGGAATTTAAAGGCCACTGGGGCTGAGCCCCAAGGGAATTTACCACGTTTCTCTTTTGATGGCTCATCTACAGACCAAGACCTTTCTTTAGACACCTCTACCGAGTTTCTACGCCTAGCCGTTCTCTCAAATTAGCTGTCACAAAGAAAAACAGTTTCAAATTAATATATAGATAATAGAGATAATAGATTGTTGTAACTATATCTTAAAATTGACAAGGATTTATACTTATTCTTATTGCAAAAACAGGTTGACCATTTTATACCTGCATAAATTGCGTTTTTGACTTATTGCTTATTTTCTGATCACCAAGATAAAATCTTTTTATCTCTGCGCTTATGTTACTTGAACGTTCACCTTCCCTTTCATACATAAATTCTATTGGGGCAAATTTTTCAAATTTGTTATTAAACTCTTCTGTAAGGCTCTTATTTTGTAGTACATCTGAAAAAATAATGAAAGATTAAGATAATAAATATTGAATGTAAATTGTTTTTAAAAAGTTCATACTCATTTTAAAAATAGTTTACATCTAAAGTGTGTGTGAAGCACGTAAAATAAATATTTTCAAATGAATTTCCTGTGGTTATTAGTCGGTTGACCTGAGATCTACATCAACTTGGGGAACTAGCAATGTTATTTTTTAACAACATTTTTGATCTCAAACTAATCCCAAATGGTTTTAATGACAACTAGAGGACCCTGTGGTGCTACACAGCGTTGAAATATGTTTTTTCTTTAGTAATACAGTATCTTGAACTTAACTGGTTAAAATGAAACCCTTTATTTCAAGGAGTATTTTAAGACCAAGACATATAAAATAACTAAAATAAAAATGGATTTGCATATCAATGATTGCAGATAAGTCCTAAGATAATTATAATATATTGTCGATTCGTGATTCAGGACGTCTGATCGTGATCTTAATACTCAATAGGTCAAATGATTCTTAGACCAAAACATATAGGATAATATAATTAGAAATGGTCAAATACCGGTACACCTTTAATGAAGTAAGAATTTGAAAAAATCAAATTTATAAAGTTTGGCCCAGTAATACAGTAGATAAATGAATGATGATGCTTTATGGCAAATATGTGTGTGCATACCTTTAATTTAAGACCAAAATTATGAAAAACAGTTGGGTAGAAGAGCCAAATGAACTGGGAAAAGAAAAACCAAAATTAACTCCAATAAGAAATGTACAGGGAGGAAGTTGCTTTTGTGCATAACTCGAAATATACGATAAATTAATGCCGATGCTTGCAAATAGGGGTTGGTATTAAAAAAAATCAAAACCCTACCAGCAACCCCTAAAGTTTTAAATTCACCCCAGCAACCCCTATTTAGTGATGGGAGGTGAATTTAAAATACTACCAAAAAGTACTTTTCATTGCCCTAATAGTGTGTATCGAAGCGTTTTGACTACATGCAGCGATTCAAAAATTAACCAGGGGGGAGCATTATGGGACACCCGGTATAAATAATCAACTGAATTAAAAATATAATTAATTCTAAGGTAAATTCTTTCTCAAAACTAGTTTCTTATTGGAATGCTTAACGAGTTCAAGAAATGCTTACAAGACTGAAGATATGACAAATTAACTGTCTTGCTCAAAAGAAGTTATTAAACTTATTTATATGTTTAAGATCCATCCTCACAATATCCTCTTGCAGCAAACTCGTCTCTAGTAATTCCAGTGACAAAGGGAACTTGAGCAAAACGACCATCTCGGATGAGAATTAGAGGGTCTTCTTGTAGAAATGGGTTGGAATCTGTAGCTACTTCAATCACAGGAGCAAACAAGGCTATTGGCTCAAATGCAAAATCCTGTAAATAACAGAACACAGAGTTTTGAAATAAAGCATTTGGGATCTATACCTTCTATATTTTCCTTTCTTATTAAATTTATAATTCACTAGCTGTGTACCCGTTCTACTCACGGGGATCTTATAGTAATCAGTTGAAACCTTCTTATATAAAGAACAGCAGTTGGTTTGCATATTTTCAGATATGCTGGCCAAACTATTTATTATACATAACTTCATTTTATGTAGTTTGTTGTTGTTCCGGATTGGTATGACAATCAATAAAAGGCTAAATTACCTGTGTCCGCTGGTCGATCCTAATGTATCATATTACAGGAGATGCATTTCGGCGAAATTAAATCGCCATCATCAGTCCTAAAGGTCTTGAGCTTCCCCATTAGGTGCGTCTTGGAGTTTTTGAAACACATACACGAACTGTACACTTATACACATGACGAATAAAACATAAATACACAGTAGGCCTACTTTTATTTTTACTATAGACAAGTAGACGCGCGTCGGTCGTGTGCCGAGTCTCGACTGAAAACGCTCATTTAAAAAATGTAAGTTTCCCAGCAATATACAACACTGATTCAAGGTCTATTTCCCGGTTATCAAAACTCAAGAACAATTTTATAAACAAAGAATCTCTATTTTCATTTACTGTTACCCTACATATTATTGCACTTGCGATTAATTAAATCCGTTATGTAAGGAAAAACGTTTTTAATCTTAATTGGTTTAAATTTGCTTTCAAGACGTGATCGGAAATGGTTGCGGTATTTGTAAACAACATTCAATGTAAACATATCAGTGACAGCTAGAAGAAATAATCTTGATTTGAACAGCTGTTCGTTATTTCATAGAAGAATATGTGCTAAACATTGGGAGAAAAAATCGCACAAAATTGGGTTTTTAAACGTCCGTTATTTTATTTACAAAGTGGTGACGCCATATTTTAATGGCTAAATACAATTTCGCCAATCCAGTGAATACATTAAAATGATTTGGAACTTGATAGGTACTCTCGTTTTTCAGGAGTAGGCCGCGTAAAATGGCTCTTGGGTCGTAACAGACATGAAGACAGACAGAAATTTAGATGAGACTTGTTTCGGTTTCTCTAATGTATAAAACGTAAAAATAACCTAAAAGTTTATGATTCTGAGCAATGTACAGACAAAACTCTAATTTTATTTATATAGATTATGCCCTCCATAATATATTTTACACCCTTGGTTGTTACCCTTTAGGCACCAGGCCATCTGGTATAAACTACAATCAAACTACAACAAATATCACAACTACTACAGTTAATTATCTTCCCCAAATAATAATAAAAAAATTGTCAAATACAATTTTGGATCTTTAAATCTCTTTATTTATAAAAATATATTTTCTAATGCAGAGTAAGCTCCCCTTAACTGTATTCCCTACAAATATTTTTTTTAACTGCATAAAATATCAAAATATAAATTTTGGTAAGGCATATTTAATACAATGAGGGAAGTTGAAAAAACATTCTGCGACCACAATTCTAACAGGATCTATCCTATTACTTCTCCATATCATGTCCTTAACTCTGTAGACATAACTGTGCTGTAACAAAACAAAAACTGCCAATGAAAAAAGTGGAAAATGTTTTTCCTGTCTCCAAATCATAAAATTCTTACTGTGCATAGTTGATAACTTTAAAAATAGGGTTTCTTACAATAAAAGATCTCAAACGCTGTCCCACTCCTTTATCTCCTTATCTCCTCTCCAGTTTGATCACTAAATAAGCAGTTCCAAACTGGTTGAACAATAGACATATCTTTACAAGTCTCGAAATGTAAAAAAAAAAAACACAAAATATGTGTTACACAACTCTAAAAACAACTTACCTTAATTACATTTAACGTTTGTAAGATAGAATCTAACTTGTTATGGTAGCAGATACCTTTATAAGACTGGTAGCATTGACTATCTGCTCAGCAGAGTGAGACATGAGACAAGCATAGATGAGTCTGGAGTCAGAGGATGAACACCCCAGATGTCGAGCGAGTCGAGAGGCCAGTGATTTAGGATCTCGATTTAACGCCCAGCCTGATGTGAAAGATCCACTCATAGCTATGGCTCTATGGAACAAGCCTAGGACAAGGAATAGGGAATATATTACGTTGGTAGATTTAAAATATACAAAATTGTGTGGAACTGGACCTAAATATCAATCATGGATGGTTTGTGCAGATCAATAATCACATGATTTGGTAATGAGATATTTTTTTCAAATCAATATTGTAACCCATAGTCACATTTAGGTACTTGTTGATCTTTGCAACTGATGCCATTGTTACCTGTTTTCTGGTATTTATTTTTTATTATGATTATTTTTTCACTTTGTACAAAAATGTGTCCATTATGTACAGTATGTGTACTGTATACTGTGTACTGTACAGCATGTGGCCATAGTGCCTGAAAAGAATAATGGCTCTGCCTGGACCCTGACCTACCTGACGAGCAGAAATATGTAAATATGATCGGAGATGAAGTTCTGTAGACTTTTGCCAAGATCATACTCGAGATGGACCCAGATTGACCAAAGTTCACCTTAAGTAAAGAGAGGGATATTTGATCTAGTTTCGATTACTCCTTCAATTTCTAGATGTTGGTTTTAGTTATCACATATTTAAGTTGAGAATAAGCATTTATGTATTGGTTGTGTTTGTACCTACCTCTAGACAACGGGGACACCATGTGAAGAGTGACACTGGCTCCACCTGCACTGTACCCGAAGATAGTCACATTGTCAGGATCACCTCCGAATGCCAATATGTTCTGTTGGACCCATTTGAAAGCTTCCACTTGGTCCTTCATACCGTAGTTCCCTGGCAAAATGGTGTCTTGAGTGCTCAAAAACCCTGCAACAGGGTTACTTGTCAAAAATAATGTTTTAAGTCATGAAAAACGTTGAAACAAATTTATTTTACATTGATGCAACACAATTCTAAACATCACATTAAGGTAACAGTGTTAGGATCAAAATTAAGCTAAACAATACTAGCCCTACTGCTATTTACTGTTGGCAATAGCTTTACTTTTGCCACATATATTTTTTTATCATTTACTGTTAAAAGAATTAGACATTCAAATTCCATGTTAAGCTGATACTTGTGCACATCTAATGCAAGCCGAGAATACTCGACAGCTGTTCTGACTTGTTTGGATATACTTCACTCCCCCAACAGACTGTATATACTTGTATGTAACATATTTATATTGCCGGTATCATTAATTATTATTTGAGACAGGGATGCCACCTAGGTGCATATTTTAACCCAAATGTGAGTAAAGAATGAGTGTAGAATGCTGAGTAGCTTTTGTTACTAACTGAACCAAAATGAAGGATGATAATGAACTATGAGCAGCGTACACTAGCTGTGAGTGGCTCATTTAACTTCAGCATGTTCTATTTGAATAAACATTGGCAATGGTTGGTCATTTAGATGTGACGTCTACTTCATTGTCTAAAAGCCAATGTTTTCTTTCAGGTTTACCTAGAGCTCCAAGGCGGTAGTTGATAGTGACTAGTACAATGTCCTTTTCGAGCAGATATTGTGGACCATCCCAGTAGCTGCTCCCTGTGACAGCAGCATAACCACCAGGGTGGAGGAACACCATCACTGGCTGCTTGGCATTATTAGATAGCTGGAAGTAGAGATATGTTTAATACAATACGTCTGGGTGTAATATGAGGGTCGATTTTTAAGCAAGGGCCGTTTTTGCGTTTAACTCAGTAGTTTTTGTAAACCGCAAAGATGCTCCCCTACGCTTACTGGCATCGTTTGTAAACATAATGACACCGTTTTGAAGTGTACACTTTGCTGAGTCAAAAGAAAATTGTAAAATTAATCTTCTGATAATAAGCATGCCAGCTGTTTTATTCACCACCATTTTTCTAATATTACCGCCAACTTTGATTTTTCTTATGGAAGACCCTATATTGTATGCATTTATTTGAAAGTAAATGCCATTTTAAAAGGTTTTATTCTTGGTATTTTTTCTCTAAAGCTACTCATTTAGGAGTTACGGCAAGTTAAAACTAAGAAAAATGACTTGCTGTGTAGGGAAAGATTAAATAAGAAAGAGCTGAAATATTACGAATTTTAGTTGTAATAATAAAATGGGGTAGAAAAAGGCTAAGCTAGTAAACATTTCCCAATTTTAAAACTAAAAATCTTAAAATTTCAGCTATTTCATATTCGATCTTTTTGAACTTGGTATCGTTTAATAAGTAATTAAAAATGCTAAAGAAAGTAATCTTAACATTTTTTCATAAAATCAGCCATCTTTTAGTAATTTACTAAATTTTGGAACTAGGGATTTATAGCCTTAAAACGTGATTGGCGACAGGCACTACCTCAGGGAAATTCATATTTTTCTACACAACTCATTTGAAAAAAAAAATAACATTGGCCTTATGGGTTGCCAATTAGCTGTGTTGGTTGAACAAAATAACAAGGAAAAACAAAAGACTCGTTAAATGTGTTTATAACTAGCCCTCCCTCAGTATACAGTACTAGCAAATTACACAATTTGGTTCAAAAGGAAAAACATTAGTTATAAATATGAAGCAAAGATTACACTGGAAATTACTCGATACAGGAGAAAATAATTGATAAGGGTTCCATGTTGGTGACGTTTGAGTGCACTGGCGTCAAATCAATGTTTCACTCTTTTTTAAGGGTAGATTTTAAATTTTGTATACACTCTGTTTTTATGGTTTACATAATATGGACAGTGTATGTAGTACAATAATCTTTATGGTAAAACAATATAAGCTTGAATCGGATGTAATCTGTCTTCAGCTAATCATCTAATTTATGTACGATATTATTTTAGAGAGTACGCTCATGGTGAAGTTTAATTTTACTTAAGGAAAAATTTAGTACCAAGAAATATATCACACTACTTTTTTCACGATAAATGTTAATAAAACTTAAGTAAGATCATATGTTTATCCTACTATTTTATTGCATACTTTTATATGACAGACTTGTTATAATTTCAGCGAACAATTATCTATGGTTTGTAACAAAATATTTTTTGTAAAATATAAAATTTGTATGTTTATGATGTTGTTTTAACGATTAAACCTAAATTAACCAGAACGGACTGAGCAAGGCTCACACCCGGTACTGTTATTTAAATAGGAAATAAATCTGACAATTTTAAGAGTGAGTGGAAATCTAGCCAGGTAAATGGAAATTATCTTAGTCTGCAGGTTTGCTGCAGCAGGGGTTTTATACCAAGCTTGACTGCTCTTAGCTACTATGCTTTCTAACAAACTATGGTCGACATTAGACCGTATAACAACATCCTAATTTATACTATTCATCGACAGAAAAAAATACAAATTGCATGGAAATTAACCCATTTAAGGTGGTAGTGATGGTAAAAAACTTCCTGTATAAGAAAACCATATTACATTATTATTTTAATTATTTATGTAATTAAAACGTTTTTTTCCAATATATTACCATGCAATTTTCAAAATTGTTGATGTTTACCTTTTTGCTGTAAATATTGAGGAAAAGACAATCCTCTGACCACTTGGGTCCTATCTGTGAAGCGTAGGGCTGTGGACACACGGGTCCATCCTCCATTGCGTCTCGGACCTGAGACCCCCACGGCTTCACCGGGACTGGCGGCTGTCAACAGTGTGTTACAGTTGAACAACAGACATGGCTGTGGGATTCAGTGTTTGGTCAATGTTAGAGATAACGTTTTTTTACATCAGGGTCTATGGTAAATAATTTATTTGGATCAACAATTACATTGTTATAGAAAAGGAAAAAAAAATAGTTTATGTGCCTACTTGAGAATTATAAAATATCCCTTTGGCTTCCTGGGGGATCTGCCTTCCCCTAGTTGCCCATTTGGTGATTGTATTGGTAACTAGCCCTAGTAGAAATCAGAACGTTCATAAGAGCACTATGAGATATATAGAATTAGATATTAGATTCAACATTAGATATTAACAAAACCACGGTTGGAACCGTTCCCTTACAAATACATTAAAAGTTATTAAAAAGTGTAAGAAAATAATAATAATGAAAATGTAAATAAGTGAAAATAGAAATAGTGAAAAAATATTCTATTAAAAAACATTATTATTTATTGTATTGTATGCAACAGTAAAGTAAGCACATTATTAGTTAATATTTATTTAAATTGATTTTTTTAAAGGGACCTTGACTTAACTAAGGAAATACCTACAGGACACTTAATCGGAACTTTAATGGTTTATGAACCAATTTATTTAATCCTTGAATGTGGTATATCTGATCTAGGATGTTACTTGTTCCTTAGCAAATGAAGATATTTATTAAAACTCCAAAACAGTCTCCAGTGTAAGGAAAACTAATTGATATCACGAAAAAAATTAAAGTTAAACACTAGAAACTCAACAATAATTTGTTAAACTAACAAAGTATTTAATGTTTTATATTCTATATTTGAAAAATATAAATCAGATATTTGAAGTTGTCATTTTGCCACCCTGCGAAGTACCTCAGGGTGGGTAGTTTGTTTGAGGATATGATATCTCACTCTCTAAAATGGCTTAAGATGTGTTGCTTCCTCCACTTGGGTTTTATCATTATAAGCTCACAATTAGTCAGGGTGATTACAAATTAAATAGACTGTTTGTATATTTAATTAATATACAGTTTGTCTATTTAATTTGTAATCACCATATATTTACAAAATTGAATCAGTAGTCGATTAGTTATTGAGCTTGTTTTTTTAAATCTGTTGTTGGGGTATTCAACAAAAGGTTGACATTATAATAGCAAGATCCGGGTTAGAGCATTCCTTTACAAATAATGAATAACAAGCTAACGGAAGATATGAAAACAGATCATTTTTCTAATCCTCCATTAGTCATAGTAAGTTAACTTACACCAAGGAGTTATTAGTTATTATATAGTTAGTTGCTTTCAGAATATCTATTATGTAAAAGTTTCACTCATACTCATTTAACTGTCTGCTATATATCAGGGCGTGCTCTAGACATATTCACGGTCATTACATCTTTACAGCAGAAGCACCTTAAATGTTATCTTTACTGTTAAAACCAGCCTTTATGCTCTGAACAGTGAGTACTAAAACTAAATTGAATTTCTAATATTATTGCCATAAACGTTGAAGAAGGATAATAAGAATATTTTTCAAGTGACTAATTGATTGGTGACAATTAATTTTATAGTATAAAAACAACACGTATTGCGTACAAATAACCAAATGCACGTAGCACGGCATTTTAGTAACATAGTATTATTAAAATGATTAAGAGATTGACTCTTTTTAGCTTTTTAAATCAAGTACGAATAAGGTCGAAAGTGTTGTTAATATTAATAACAGTGAGTGCAACTATTACGTGTTGTTCGAATAAATAAATAACCCCTGCTCACTAAGCGAATTTCCATTTGTCTGAATTGATTTTCAAGTAAATCTATTTTATAGTTTCATATAACGTAAGTTTTAACGAGTACCTAGGTTTGCTGCTACAAGGAAACTAAGAAAGTGTGTTTTAGTAAAATATTAATAGCTTAGTATACAATAAATAAATTTGTCATGTTTAATAAAAAATATATGCATAAAGAAGCAAACTAAAACATTTTACAATATTCTCCAAAAGAATAACATGGAAATTTTAAATTTACATTTTATTTTATTTTATTCATTACCAATAACTTAACAAAAACACTTAACAAATCGCAAAAAATTTCTTAAGTCATGCAGTCACGGGGTGTATATATATATATATATATATATACATATATCTTACTAATATTATATGTATATAAATTTGAACGAATTGTTTTTTTGGCCTCTGGCGACATCAAAATGAAAGAGTTAATTGGTCCTGGGCCTAAATTTAACCTTGCCACCTACGGTAATAGCTACTTCCCTATAGAGAAATTCGCTGTTAGTACCACTGCAATCCTACATCACTATCTTTTCTCTTTAGACAGAATCACAGAAATGATGTTCAATTTATGAAAATAATACGAAATAAATTTTAAAACTAGACATTACATTCAAACTGAGAAAATAGGCCTACATACATTCTGCTAATTCAGCTAATATCAAAATAGGATAAAGCTGAAAATAATATTCTGAATGGAAAAACAACGTTTAAAAGTATCATAATAATTTCAAATCCTGTAAAAAGTATGACAGATAAATAATAAAATAAGTACTTTATATGTTCAGAATGTCTGAAACATAATACGTTAATATGATCCACTATGATACTATAATGCGGCTACTATATTGCATTATTTTAAAAAGGTTATAGTTTGCACCATTTTAAGCTACAGTAATTCCTTATAACTGTTTTACAGCTTCGAAATTTCAACTCTTACATATAGTTTATGTTGAAGAATTGGTGAACAAAATACATAAATATGCCTGATTATTATTTAGTATGTTTACGTACAAAATAAAACAGTAGGTACTAACATTCTTACCTTAAATCTGTAATCTCCTGTAGGCTCCTCTGCATACCTTACTCCTCTAAAGGCAAAGAAGGATGTGCCAGTGTAGGTAACCAAGCTATTGCCTCTCAAGTTACCTAGAGCTGTCCTGACCACGGCGGGGTCCGGGGGTAAAGAGGATCCCAGAGATAGTGTCATCAAACACAAAACAAACACCACGGCTACCTGAACACAACACCGCCTCATCTTGACTGAGACAGCTGACAGCCAGCAGACGACAGGAATGATTATCCCAGCTGATTGAACCTTGAACTTCAAGTCTACCAAACAGCTGATCATAACCTCACTTTGGCCTGGCGCCAATTCTGCCAATCTGCTAAATTGCTTGGCTTTCCCAACAGTTCAACACTCACGTATTTCCCATTGAACTGTTATTTACAGATAAACGGGCGTTATCGTAGGGATTTCTTGTGTTTACTCTGTTTACTCTTTTTTTTATTGTGAAATATTGAGACTCATTAAACACGTAGTGAAATGGATGGAAATTAACTTTCACCTATAAAAACATCATGAACTTGTTACGAAGTTTCTCAGTAATCTTGAATAGAATCCAACATTTAACTGTATTTATATATCTTCAGCAGAAGATGACTAAAGTAAGTCGTTCTAGTAGAGCCTGAAGATGGGCAAAAACTAGTAGCTAAACATAATTATATAAATTGTAATTAAGCAGCTATTTTCACTATTTTAATATTTGTTGGCATTCCGGAGACTATAACATCATTAATAAATAAATGAAAAGATCACTATTGAGCAATCGTTTTTCAGATACAATTATGCTTTTCAATATAACCTTTGTAATTATCCTACTTAAACTAAATAAAATACATTCTTAAAATCAATCCAAGAATACAATCGATACTGTATGATAAATAATCCATCTTTAAAAAAAAATCACGAACAACAGTCTATAAAACAATACATCACAACAAAACAATCTAAAACGAAAACAACGTAATAATATTAATAAATAAATATAAATAAAAATAACATATAATATTAATAAGCTACCTAATAATTGAATAATTATTATTATTTAAAAAGTGTTTGTAAAAATCGGCTCACCCGATCATTTTGGAATTAATTTTAATTCTCATACAGTATACAGTTGTTTTAAAACAACTAATTTAAATGAAACTAACTCTAATTCAAACTACTGCGGTGCACGGCCGCTTCTCAATAGGTAATGTATAATATCAGCCATTGAGAGTTTAAAATTACTAAACCATAAATACACCAGTGACATCATTCGCAATTACAGCTAAACAAAATTTAAGAACTTTATGGTCTCTTATCTCCATACTAACTTCATACAACACAAATCGTAGAGACGTGAATAAAGCGTCCGCTAAGTCGTTAGATAATCAGAAACGTAATACAACCACACATCCACTGAAATAAAAGTTATTAAACACAATAAAAATAAGACAATGATAGGTTTTACATACTTCCTTCAAATAGTCCTACGATTAATAATGCTAATCAGCCTACAAGTTTCGTTGCAAATACAACATTTTCAAAGCTTGCAACTCGTCAAAAACACGATTAAAACAAGGACGATACGAACATAAAAACATTAAAATGGTACGAATTCACAAACATTTAGATAGCGTTATCATAATAATAGCTTCACTATCTATTATACTAATTCCGTAAGGAATTTCTTGTGCACAGCAAAACTCTTTTATTTATTAATCGATTTTGATGATTGTTGTGTCAAATTAAAGGGAATTATGTGCAGAAGTCATGGAATAATTTTTGTCACGCTCAGTTCAATGTGCTTCGCCCCATTGGACTTTAAAGTTGCCATGTATTTTTATATAGGTGAAAATTTAGTTAAGTTTATCAAACATATGATTCATTTCATCTGCATTTATAAAAATAACCTCTTTCTCTTGCGTCATTTAAATGTTTACTTTCTCTGTTTGTTTATCAGTTTACTTTCCAATACAAGGATGGCTGATGAAATGGGATAGTTTATTTGTGCAGTTGCATTCAGAGTGTTAGGGAGATTTATATAAGGAATTGTAAAGAAATATTATGGGATGAAGCTCATATGTCTATCAAGTAAGCTTTATCGTCTGTAGAAAGATTACTGCAAGATATTGCCAGAAGAGAAGACCAAGAAAAGCCTTTTGGTGGAAAGGTGATTGTTTTGGGGGGTGATTTTCGGCAATGTGCTCCCATAGTACCTGGCGCGAGTCGCTGTGCAATAGTAGAACATTCAATAATTAGATCACCTTTATGGCCAATGTTTAAAAAGATTTTACTTGCAAAAAAAATGAGAGCCAATCCAAGCGAATCAATATTTGCTAAATATCTTGTATGAATAGATAATGGCCAAGAGAGCTACCATAATGATCTTGGTGTCTTGGTGAGTTTCCGGTGCTTGGTGGTATCTTTGGTGATACGTCTTCCGCCCCAATGTATTGTGAATTAAAATATTATTGACAAAATCTTCAGTTAAGGATTCTCTGAAGATGCTTTAAAAAGGACAAAAAAATCATGCAATACTTTCACCAAAGAATGAACTTTGTGACGAAATAAGTAATAAAATAGTTGAGCAACTAAAATTATGACAGCCGAGTTTACTACTCGGTGGACACTTTGATTCAAGAAGAGGGAGACCCGTTACTTGTGCCTGATGAATTTCTTCACACTTTAGCACCAAGTGGTTTACCTCCTCACAAGTTATGCGAAAAAAGTGTGTAATTGTAATTTTACTTAGAAATTTAAATCCACAAAAAGGACTGATTAATAAAGCCAGATTAAAGGTGAAAGAGATGAATCATTAATTCCTAAGTCTTGAAATTATTACTGGAAGTTTAGCTGGAAAACGAGTGTTACTGCCCCAATTGAGCTTAGAACCATCAGAAAGAAATTTTCCTCTAAAATTCCAACGTCGACAATTCCCATGTCGAATCGCTTTTGTCATGACTATTACAAAATTCAAGGAGAGACACTTGAAAAGTTGGTCTTTATCTGCCAGAGCCCTGCTTTCAGCATGGGGAATTGTACGTAGCAATGTCAAGATGCCGCGCTTTTGATGATCTAATGGTTAAAGAACAACGAAACCAAGGTAATCTGGCTAAAGACGTTCGAGTGTTTACAAGAAACATAGTAGCCTATGGGAAGAATTTCTTATTTAACATTTTAAAAGTAATATGAACATTTTAACTGGTCTGTCAGTCAGTATTCTAAACATATTCTGTTAGAACCTTTATTAAAACAGTATTGAGCTTAAGATTTTTATTTATGGTTAAATAAAAGTTAAGCTCTTAAAAGTTCTTCCTTTTTTCGTATTGATAAGTTAAAAGGTTATTAACATTTTTTAACGATATTTAAATATAGTAAATATTATTAACTGGAAACAACTAGTTATAATCAACTATCGTAATTGGCTTCATTATTATACCATTTTGTTTGATTGAGGCGATGGAAGTGTTTAACACATTTCACTGATACTGCTAACGTCTCTAGAAGTGTTATTCGCACCTTTTAAGAAACAAATTTATAAATTTAACAACAAACTGTTTACACTAAAAATAACCAACGCCACCTACTATTTAAATAAGACACATTTTTGTGAAAAATTCAAGACTTGAAAAAGAGAAACGAATGTTGTACGAGTGAATCGCCCCAACGGTCGAGAAATGCTTAATGCAATTTCAAGGGTGCGAACCCTAGTAAAAGAAGTTCACTTGGTTGTGAAATAAATTAAATTCCGTCCAACGTAGACGAGCAAAGCCCTGGAGGCTCAGATTTTACGTTTCCCTAACAAATAAACGAGAATTCTTTGAACCCTTGGAAAATCTTTAATTGTATGAATGGTTGCCTTAAGTCTCCTATTATTTCCAATTCTAGATTATATTTATTCCATCTCTTAAATGGGATTTTATTAATTTAGTTAATTTATTGTTCCTACACTAAATAATAATTTTACAAAAGCTTTCATGCAATAATGATAGTTAATAAAAATGATCATTTGACACATACAGAATTATTTAGGAATGTGAGAGAAAAAAAATTGTGTAGTTATTGTATCCATAACTATTTTAATATTGTTTTACAATATTGTAGGCTGTATTTGGTTAAAATACAATTCTATTACATTGGTGCTTGTAACCTATCGTAAAATGTGAATTTTTAAGCTTTTGTACAGCCGATTTTTGCCCTTGTGTTGTAATAATTTTACTCACCTACGTAATAGGTGCTTAAAATAAAATAAGTTGTTTAAAAACTATCATTTTAACACCAAATATGGATTGTAAAAAAATTACAAAAGTTAGTCTTCTACTTGTATTCCATGTAAATTCCACCAGACCAGATCAAAGATTCATGGGATATAACTTTGGCGGCTCATATCGTATGTATGTATTATACTGTTGTAAGGAATGCCAACTACGCGCATTACATACGCTGGCAGAATATATAGCATCGCATATGAATATCTGGCAGCAGAATAAAATCATTTGTTTTAATGTAAAATTGTAAAAAAGTGTCACCGATCTTAATCATGACAGAATAAAAAAATAAATTTCCTCCAAGCCTGCAATATAACTTAATTATTGTTAGTTGAATAACTAAACACTGTATCAATTTTGTTGTTAAATAATTATTTAAAATAACTTATGGCTTTCGGAAAATGTAATTATGTTTAAGATAATCAGTACGCGTTATTTTAGCTACAAATTAAATTCTCAGGTATTATTAAAACATGCTACAATGCACTTAGCTTACCTAAAACAATATAACGCAGTTAAAATTTAAAAATAATAATTAGATTAAAAATATGGTACCTAATTAAAAAACATTACGCACAAGATTGGTTAAAACTGAAATATTTCAAATGCATTATGCCTATAAACTCGTGAACCTGTTGCTGACGTTAAAATCTAATTAAGAGCACGTGTTTTCCTTATTAAACTTTCCGTCTTCGTTTTCTCAAGATATGGGAGTTAGCTCAACGTAGGAAACAGTCGTGAAAAGTTTGTTCAAATATTGAAGGACTTTTTACATTGCATACCGAGGAAAAAATACAATAAAAGCAATTTGTTTTGACGGGGTCGACAGAACCACAGATGTATCCTACTGATTCCAACTTCGTTTTTACTTAGGGGTAAAATGATAACAAAACCTCTTTTTCGTGTGAAGAGAGTTTAATTTTTTAAATCGTAACGCAATTTTGACACCTCTATCCCCCCAAAAACAAGATGAAGTTGTCCAGGGTTTTTATGAAAACCTTGAGCCTTGAACTATACACTTTTTCCTTCAGTTGCCT